TCCTCCTCGCCGCTATTGTCTGCGTCGACGGCGTCCATGTATCGCCCCACGGCTCGCGAGTCCAGACGGTCAACGTTCCGGATGTGTGTTGTAGAAATAACACGTTTGGTTCGCGGGATGAGAACACGGTACGCACTCTTCTTGAAGTCGATGCCAATAATAACTCTTCTTTCAGCGCGCTTTTTCGCTGATCGCTTCGTTGCATGAGCGATGTGGCTCGTACACTTCGAGCCGAATTTGAGGATGTGCGAGACACTGGGTCGTTTTCCGGAGAGGGCCTCAATGGGAGACGCATGGTCGGCGTTCGCTCGAGTCGGCAGATAGTTGCGAATGTAGCTCGCATACAGAACAGCATCGCCCCAAAATCGCTGTGGCAATGCCGAGGCCCAGAGCATCGCTCGGGCGGAATCTATGACAGTCCGGTGAAAACGCTCTGCTTTCCCGTTTGATGATGACATGCCCGCCTCCGTTTCTTGGTGGAGAATACCCCGGTTGCGGAGGAAGCGACCGAGTCTGGTGCTGCCAAATTCACCACCACCGTCTGAGCGAATCATCTTCACTTTGGTGTCGTATTGTCGCTCAAATTCGCTAACAAAGTCCTCCAAATGCCCTTCCGCGTCGATCTTTTTGCGGAGCAAGTAGACGCGATTGTAGTTCGTAGCGTGGTCTACAATGGTCAAAATGTGTTTGTGACCGAGCCGATCCGGGGTCATGTCCGTCTTCAGGTCAACGCACAAGGTAGCGCCCGGTTCGTCCGTTGGGGCAGATGTAGAAGTATCCTGCTTGTTCTTCGCGCGTCGAGCTTGTTTCACTTCAGCGCAGTTCATGCAGAAATCCACCTTCCGATTAGAGGCAACCATGCCTTCAACGAGGTTTTTGTCAATCATGCGTACCAGATCCTGGTAGTTCACGTGCCCCAGGCGTTCATGCCACTGCTGAAGCGTAGAGGTCGTCATTGCTGCGAAGGAGGCCGCGCCTTGCTCGATTCCAACAGACCAAAGCCCAGTCGAGGCTGAATTACCCACTTCGGCAACAATCTTGCCCGTCTTGTTCGTAATTGTACACTGCTCCTCACCAAAGGTGCAGGTGTAGCCTCGAGCGGTGAGTTGAGCCACTGAAATCAGGTTGCGGTCAATACCTTTTGCGAAGTACACGTTTTCTAGCAGGACAGTACGAGGCACTCCTTCTGCCATCGTCGTGATGACAGTCTTTCCCTTCTCAGTAGCGGCGACAAGATCTCCATTCGCCACTCGCACCGACAGGAATGCTGGCTCTATCGCGAAAAGTTGGTCACGGTCGATGCAAAGGTGGTGAGTTGCTCCCGAATCCACTGTCCAAACATTTCCTCTCGTGGCAGAAGCGCCGCGCTCGGCACCGTCGGCAGCGACCCAGACATAGCCTTCATCATCAGAATCTCTGGATGTGTCGTCATCATCATCAGCGGCTACGTTCGCACTTCCTCTGGTGGCTAGTTGTTTTGCCTGTTCCACGAGTGGACACGTGAAAATCTTGTGACCAGGCTTCCCGCACACATGGCGATGTATTTCACCACGATGACCAGCGGCGGCAAAGGCTTGGCCGTTATTTTGCTGCTGCGGACGTCGATCCGAGTTGTCGTTGTTGTTTCGCTGGTTACGCCAATGCTGATCATCATTGTGGCGATTTCCGCTGCGGTGGCCATGTGAATTCGGGTTCCGGCGGTCAGCATGACGGTTTTTGCGTTCATCTCGCTTCGCACCACATCTGCGCCCGTCACCTTTCAGCTTGTATAGCAGTCGCTTCATGCGATCGGTTTCCGCAACGTAATCGCTTGCGTCGTCGGGCACTGAAGACAACAGCGTGGGCGCTAACTCGGGGCATGCATTGTTTACGAACACCTCCATGACCATCTTGGTCTGATCACCTTCCATGAGGCTCTCGATGAAGTTCAAGTATTCCAGGTAGTCATGCCACGTATCGCCTTCACGCTTGTTATACTGCATCTTCGTGCTGAGTTCGAGTTGGCTTAGTTTACAGCCAAACTCTGCACGCATCGCGCGCTTCACATCTGAGTACGGCATGCTGTCACCATTATGACGGCGCAGCCACTCTGAGTTCTTCTTGTGATAGTACCTAGACGCTTTCCCCTCGAGGAAGTTGACAATCACCGATGCCTTGATGTCGTCGGTCCAGGTGGATCCGTTCACGAGCTCCTCCGTCCTTATTGCATGCTCGAACTCGTGGATGAAATTCTCGAAGCCAGCTCCTAACCCAGGGTAAACCTCGTTTCCCTTGAAGTTCGAGCAGCGTACGTCCTTGATTTTAGGCTTCTTCGGTGATGGAGGTGCGGTTTCCATGCTAGTATCCGACATGGAGGGGGAACGGGGCGCTCGCGTCGCGAGCTGCTTCTTCAGTTCTGCCAGCTAGGACTGCAGTCGAAGGATGAGCTGGAGCTGGTCGTGGTGCTCCATTGTCTTTTGGTCCGAAGGGTCGAAGTGCAGGTCGTCTGGCAGTCCTAGGCGAGTATTCCTTCCGTCTTGGTGGTCTTCGTCAGCCTCGTTAGCACCTCGTGCCTCCGAGTATTCTTCAAGGTCTTCGTTGTCGCCTCGCGAGTCTTTGAAGTCTTCACTGGTCGCTGCAGAAGGCGAGCCAGTTGGGCTCATAACCTGAAGGGAGCACTCGTTGATCCTGCACGGGTTGCTCCTTGTAGTGGTGCCTCGCACCTGGTGTATTGCAGAATGAGTTAGGTTGGATGATGCTAGGATGTCTGTGCTAGGCTAATATGCATCGGTAGTTTCGTGTTGTGTAGCTGGAGGGGTCGTTGTGGTCGTCGCAGGCCGTTATCGTCGCCACTGCACTCATCGCAGGTGGCGCCAGCTCTTGCGATCTCCAACATTCTTTGTAACGGGGTTACACGCACAAGTGGCTACAGTCACTTGTAATACATTCCTATTCATACAACATGGATAATCGAATTCAAGGCGCAAATGCACCCGTCATCGCCGTCCCACAACTTAAGCACAGCGCATGGATTCCCGTCAGTCCCGATACAAAGTCATACACAATAGAAAAACGCTCACATACCGTCAGCGAGCGCGCACGACTTCGTGCTTGGCCGACAGCTACCAAAACCGGCAGCATAACACCCGCCCTGCCGGGTTTTGTAGCTGCTTTCGACGGGTCCTTGCGTGGGGCGCGTGGGGCGCACTCGGGTCTGGGGTGGTCGGTGGGGGAGGCGTGCGGCACGCTCGGAGCGCGCTGTCGTGTCGGAGATGCGGGGCGGAAAGTGTGAAGGCGGAGAAGGCTGCGCAGCCGGCCAAAAATAAAACCTTAAGGTTTTTTCTTGGCTTTGGAGCCGATAAACCAGTCCATACTTTGTTGAAGTCATTTGGAATCTCACTTATGATTGGCTCTCCTCATTGGGAGCGGCGTTTGGGACCTGGTCGATTAATGTAGAGCGTGCACCCGCAACTGCAGTAACCGGTCGCTGAGCAGCAGAGCTGATCAGCAATACAGAATTCTGCCCGAATAAGGAACGGGTGTACAACTAATAGCCTCACATATTTAATATTATTTTACAGTCGATGTGGCGATAGGGGGATGTGCAAGGTACTGCAAGGTACTGAGGTACTAAGATGAAAAATTCAGTGCCAATCATCAGCTCTCCACCCTCGTTTGAAAAATGGCGTGTACCGTAGGGGTAGACTCGCACTTTTGCTTTTGCACCTCGCCCCACAAAGTCACCTCCCCCCCCACTCCACCCATGAAGTCCACACCGTCCAAGCGTCTCCGCCTCACTTAAGATGATGCAGGCTCTAGACCGGCATGGTGAAGGGCTAGATAATCCCTACGAGGTCGACCAGTTGACAGCGCTGTTGTGGTGCGAGGATGCCTGGTCAAAGGTTAGTGCTTCGACCATACGCCACTGTTGGAATCATTCCGGACTCGTAGGTAAAGCTGCTCTTCAGTTCATTTTGAAATAACTAAATCAGTACATTGGAAAAGTATACTCAACTTAACATCAATTTATATATTCTGCGTCTTTATATATATCAGGCGTTTCTTACTCGGGCAGATTACTGTAACGCGACAGACCACGTCTTAGCGACGGCTTCAACAAGCTCGAGAGCTGCTTTCCTGCTGTCCATCTACACATCACTGTACTAATACTTCCTCGTCGATGATGCTTCAAGCTTGCATGTACTGGTTGAAGAATCTGTTCAAATGCGTCCCCATGTTAGAGCAAACCCCAATACTTAAGTTCTTGTATACAGCACACTGCGCGTATTTGTACATGTAAGCAATAACACACTCGCGCGCGCGGGTAAACCTTCTGGTCTCCAAGGTTGTGGCTCCGCTGAGCTGGCGCTTTGTCGCTCAGCCGCACTCTGACCTCTACCAAGTTTCCCGCGTCATCCAAGTCACAAATGCAGTGGGCGTCTGTCTTACCCATGATCGAGTCACGGATTGGGCCATTATCGTGACAGATTGGGGACTTCCAGCTGAATATTCCCTGGCTAACGTGAGACCAGCATAAGGACCACAGACAACGACGGATAAATCCGGCATAACTGAATGACATCCTCCATAGTAAATGTGCCAGAATTCTCTGTCGGGAACGATAGAGATTGTACAAGGCAATGACATAAAATACACGTAACGGAGCATAAAGTACACACAAATTTAGAGAAAGTACTTAAAACCATATGGAATACAAATGTCAAGTGTAACTCTCGAAGATGATTGGCTTTCTGAATTACTTATTGTAAAAAGTACAACATATGTGTGCCGGGTTTTGCGTTGCCGTATTTATCCGTCGTTGTGTGTAGCTCGTTGGGGGAGAGAGTCTCTCAGAGACGGCCCAGAGCGTGACAGATTGGCGATTGCAAGGCGCATGGACAGCTCATTCTTTGCCGCGCGCGTCGTCAAAAAGCTCCACAACTCCAAGAGCGTCACAGTCGACTGAGCAGTTATTGAGACGAAAGTCACACTTACACACTCACAACACACTGCAGCTAGCAATGGACAGCGCCCTCTACCCCCCAAACATGCAACAGCTCAGCGACGGCATCGTCCGCCGCGTGGTGCAGCGCAACCAGCCGCAGTCGCTCGACCTCTTCGCGGTGGCCGCCAGCGGCAGCAGCTCCATGCACCAGGTGGACGACACGAGGCACCTGCCCATGAACGAGGCCGAGATGAAGCGCGTCGCGGCCGAGATCGAGCTGCGGCGCCAGCGCAACCGCATGCACCAGGCCAAGCACAAGATGAAGCAGCAGAAGATGGTCCTGGACCTTGAGATCGGCATCAACCAGCTCCGAGACGAGATCCAGCAGCTCAAGCTGCGGAAGGAGGTCATCTCGGCGGGGGTGGCCACCGACACGACGGTGTGGAGCGTGGCGGCCGAGTACTTCCGTCTCTTCCGGAACGGCTTCAAGGGCCCGATGCTGACGCTGCAGCCGGCCGCCTCGGACCCGTCGTTGGGGGCGTTGCAGCCCCGCGAGTCGTTTGCTCAGCGAGATTTCTTCATCGCGACAATGGCGGAGGACGTTGCGGGGGACACGGGCTTCGGCGTCGAGAGATTGTTAGAGAACTGGCGGCAGCTGTCCACGTACCACGAGGACATGGAAATCGAGCTCGTGCGTCTTGATTTGGGCTCGGACGATGGTCTGGTCGCTACGGTCAGAAGCGCTACGACGCTGAGTGAGAGGGCGTTGAGGCATGGATTTCCGCACCTGTTTAACAGTGGACAGTGGACCGATATCGGCAGAAGGCTGCTAGGGAAGCGCTTGGTGATGGATGGAGCTGTGAATTTCGTGTGGAGCGAGGAGAAAGGCCGCGTGGTGAGTTTGCAGTACTCCGCAGACATGTTAACACCGATGCTGCAGTTGTTGGGCAACTTGGAGGATGTCGCTCGCGTGTTTGCTGGTGCGAACATCACTCCAGATAGTAGATTGGCCAGAAATGTAGAGTTATAATGTGCCAGTCTTGGTAGGTTATGAATGAATTCACTTACATTGTACCTGGTTCGCCCATAGTTAAACCTTTGTCGGTCCAATACGAGATTGTGCTAGGGCAATGCGAGAGAAGAGAGGAAATACAAGTCGTGTTTCGCCTAGTGTTCGCACAAACACTAACTGTATAGCTAAGACTAGCGTTTGCAAACTGTTTGTTTGTGTGTTGTGAATCTGTTTGTGGAGTTAGACAATATTTAACTATTTACTTTACTAAGTATCTTGAACTAAAAGCTCTCTTCACTTGTCGGAAGCTGACTAGCACGCGAAGGAAGGTCTTCGTCCTTACACCAACCATGATCTTGTGGACAGCGGACAACCCCGTGAGAGTGACGATCGATCTCACGGGAGTGACGTTGAAGAGGGCAGTTGAAGCTGCAGGACGAGATCGAGATGCGTTCGGTGGTAGACTGGGTGCCGGGGCAGGACCCAATGGCTGGTGTCACCGGTCAGCCGAAGTGAGGCGTCAGTACACAGACGATGGCGTGCTCGCGGTAGGGGGGGATGACACGGCGAAGGACATGAGGGCAGGAGTATGCGAGTGAGGATGGAGACGGTGAAAGATGCGGAATGAGCGGCGGAGAGTGAAGCTACGGCGAGTCGCCGAGAGAAGGAATCCAGCAAGCAAGAGACCCCTGGTACGCTATAGTAAAAGTAGGTGTAGCTATAGTTAGGCTAGGCTAAGTGAGAGCTCTGGGTGCGCAGTTGCAGTTTGGACAGGAACGGTCTAAGCCAAGCAGCTAATCAACTACGCGTAGGGATTCGTCCTTACCCAACACCAGGCGAGGTCTTAAGTGCTCTGTTCTGCGGCGGTAGCCCTTTACTGTATGAGTAAGCTAATAGTGAATTGAAGCGTCATCTCGCAGAAAACAAAAGAATAGTTTCCCTAAAGGGTTTGTAGCACGCTATTTGTGTTCGTGACGCAGCGCACGAGTTTAAATGAAGTTTATGTACTCGGAAGTCCGAGCACATTACTTAGTACTCGAAAGTCCGCGAAGTACTCAAAAGTAAGGACGACCCCTCGACAACAAGTAACAGTCCTCTTGAGGAGCCATTAGTTTGATCCGCAAGTAATAGAACAGCAAACATACTAGCACAAACGCGTTTGCAAATAGCACTTACTGTTAGTTGGTGTGTTGTGAAAATCACTAACATGTTTGCGGAGTACACTAGTTTCGCCCAAAGAAGCTCTGAAATTTACTACTACTGTAGGATAAGAGTATTTTGGCCGGACACCCCACCCCTCATACAGAGACTACAGGGGCATGGCCCAATCCGCAACGCGTACGCAAGGATTACAGTGAATTATACCCAATCACAGAGTATTAGGGGTATGTTAAGTGTGTCCCAGCTAATTTCCGGAATTGCTCGGAATCGCAAGAAATTATCTAATAAGAGATACAAACATTTATATAAAGTGCAACTTATCCGATAATAGCACTGCTTGCCAGAAAGATAGGCAACTTAAAGGTTCGATAGCTTGCGATGGTTTTAAAATAGATTATAGCCGAGCTCGTGCTCATTCTCGATCTCCCGCAACAGCCACGATGCAGAGGGCATCACGCGGGCTTGACACTCCAGCTGGCACGATCAGCCAGAAGCTAGCTACCGAGAAGCTTTTCGAGGAATTTATTATCTTCGATGATATACATAGAGCGCATAGCGATGATGCTAGTCTACCTACTCAAAACTTTTATTCATTGCTAACAGCTTTTACAATCTTCATACAGACTCGAAAAAGTAACAGAGCCCATGCTGCCGACGGATTACTGGCGAATGCAACAGCTCTTGGCTACTTCTCACAAGTCGTCAATCTTCTACGAGAGCGCTACACTACGTCGCTAACCGACTCAGAGAGAATCGCAAAACTGAGGGACAAGATGGCAAGTCACATTGAGGAACGCAATCTTCGCGCCAACGTTCAAACGAATGACGCCCCAGGGTGTACAATTGATGATTTGTGTGGACTAGTGGAATTTCTCGTGACTCATGCCGATGTGAAAACTGGTCTAAAGTCTGTGCATGATGCTGCGCTTTTGACAATGATGTGGCATACATTTGGGCGGGCTATGGATACATGCTTCCCACGCAAGCAACAACTTTCAATTGCCGCCTCTGGAGAGCTTTTCCTGCATATCGCCCGGATTAAGACCTCGGTTGTACAGGGCGTGTCAATTTATAAGTCACCCGAGCGCTGGCAGCAGTGCATGCTTCATGCGTTTGGCCTGTTGTTCATATGCTACGATGTACCCTCTGAACACCACTTCCCCTTGGCCCCACGCTTTTCTGAGTCGGACCTTCCTGGAGGCGAGCCTTATTCTCAGGAAGAAGCCACCATGTACTGGGAAAGGCTGCAGAAAGAGGACGAACCCCCGCAGAAACGAGAGAGAAAGCGGCCAAACATAGCAAGTTACATTACCGAGCTCATTAGGGATACCTTGAAGGCGATGCTGCCTTCAGCGAGCCAACGTATTACTTCGGGGATGACCAGCCATTCTCTTCGCCGCGGTGCTGCTGCTTACGCGAACGCATCGCCGAAGCTGGCAATCCAGTGGTTATCCACTCGAGGCGCGTGGCTGCTGGAATCTTTGACGAAAGCATTTGCCTATATTGGGACAACTTCAAAAGAAGATCAAAGTGTGGCTAAAGTCCTGGCAGGGTTCCAATCTTCAGACTTACCCGCGACAACGCCGTCTATTCATGACCTGTACCAGCGACCCTCTGAAGCTGAGTATGGACAGCTCATGGCACTGCGCGACAAGCTGTACCGCCATGTGGCTTTCACGATCCTCGATTTAACATCGCGTTGGACGTGGTCGATGTGACGTTCGCCCCCCTCTTGATGCACCTCGAGTCCGTCCTCGAAGCCACGGAGAGCGCTGGATCTAACGTGCTTGTCACTTGCTATGTCTACGAGCTGAACCGGGGCATCACGGCTGTAAACTCACGCTTAGGCTCCTGTATAACAACGCGCACATGTTGTGAGTGGGGTAAGCATCTGCGAGATCACTGGCAAACTACGAACCACGCGCAGCTCGGTAACGCTGCTGCTGGCGGTGACTCGCCGCTGTCCTCGACACTGGAGAACATGCTCACGCAATTGGTGAGCATCAACGAGCGGCTCGGCCGGCTTGAAGATGTGCACACCCGGCTGCCACTTTGTTCTGTCGACGCTCCACCTCCTGCCGCCAGCGCATCATTCACTACTGCCGTCGAGCTCTCAGCTCCAGCGCCTGCAACAGCGTCGATGCTCACGGGATCGCTGCTCAACTGGTATACTAATCACATCTGGGAAACCGTTAAGGGAAAGAAAGAGCAGAACAAACGAGCAGAGGCAAAGGCTGCGATCAACATCATGGCAATACTTTACCAAGCGCCATTCCAGATACCGAAGCAGCCCAGTCGATCCGACGTCGCGGCTTACCAGCACTGGAAAGACGACATTTGGACGCTTGCCTTGGCCATGGCCTTCACCGTCAACGCGCGGCTGCACTCCTTCGACCAAAAGAAACCTACACGCAAAGCGTCTTCGTTACGCAAGCGCTGGCGACAGCTGCGTACATCGCATCCCGACGCATACCGCACGCTTGGTATATAATGTAGTGGGCCTACCTTGGCTCACTACTACGGCTTACACGTATGCGCACGCGTATGAGGAAGCGTAGGTTTCTTTTACTTGAGTTAAGTATACTCGAGATCCACGAGTATACTTTAAACAAGAGAAATACTCCAAGTAGCGGGTTTTGGTAAAAGATGAGAATGGCTATTTTTGTTTTATGTTTCTGACTTCCTCTAAATGTAATATTCTAAGATAGGAATCTGCCAACGGCTGGTTGGCAGGATTCTGCTAACGTGCAAGTCACTCATTGGCTAAAAGATGCTGCTTTCAGCCAATAGGAATCCTAAATGTGTATGGACCACCCGTCGTGGTGGTCGTAAATGTATGTAGCCATTGGTGTACCTTACACCAAGATCGAGGAAGTGTTCAAACCTCTAACAGACATCACATCTGTTAGAGTAACAAGTGACTGTAGCCACTTGTGCGTGTAACCCCGTTACACCCAATATTTAGCGCTCAAAGCCAACGGCGCTGTTGTGGACGCTTGTACGCCTGCATCGCACCAATGGGGGCTTCGGATCTGGCTTAGTGCTCGTCTACAAGCACGCACAAAGCACAAGCAACACACAGAGCACGATTGCCCCCGGCTGGAGTCGAACCCGCGACCTGGAGGCATAGCCTCCCGCTCTGCCGCTGAGCTACAGGGGCGTGGAGAGTAATACGACCTACCTCCGGAGATTCACAGCTGTCCGCGTCGCCACTGTCCGCCACGCTGTCACTGTCCGCTGCCGTCACCGCCACCACACCGCTGCTCACTCCATGCCGACCGCATTCTTGCCTCCGTCGATCTGCTGCTGTACCGTTGTACGCCGTGCTGCCGCGCGCACTCCGAGTCCGCCGCGTCGCTGTTCGCCGTGCTGCCGCGCGCACTCCGAGTCCCCCGCGCCGCGCCGTGTGGCTGCCTCGAAGAACGCCGAATGAGGGAGAACAAGTGGAAAGGATTTACACATTTCATATAAGTACGAATTTTAGCCCTTTACACTCCCGTCCGGAATGAATGTCGACGTTGATTGGAACGAGGTTTATTATGTGTCGCCAGCGTGTCTCTATTGCATGTTTGACAGGTTTTCGGATTCCGGTCCGGAATCTGGCAATTACTGTAGAAATATCAGCCAGTTGTGCAACCTGGTTTGCTACCAGGCTCTGATTGGCTAAATATTGTACCGATCAACTTGACGGCCAAGTGCGACGCCAACATGCACAGCAGTCCTGAATACGTTGCTTGTTGATTCATTAAGAGCCCACAGCGTAGCTTCATGTAGCGTTACTGTTCTGTGATGATGGATCTGCATTATGCTTCTATAGTATACGTGGGTTTAAAGTTGTCGAACGACTACATATTTTTGCCTGCCATCACTTGCATATTGGTCGATGGGGATGTAAAAGCGATCACCCCAGCATCCCACTTGCCCTTATGATCACTATTATAGGCTTTACTGGTGCCGCGAACGCCAGGTGAGAGCCTTGGATGCTATAGTAGCGCAAATTACACGCTTCCCAGTAATAGTTATTACCTCGTAGGCTACGCATTGCTACAGTGTCTCGCCAATGACGAGCCGCTCCAAATTACTACTACTGTACTAATATTGTGCCTTTCACGTATTTTGGCGGCTGAGCTGTTAATTCAGGCAGAATTAGAACCATAAAAGGGCGATCAACGCTTATTTATTGTACTGGCACAATGAAATGTTACACCAACCTGATATTTTAGGCCATAACTTTATTGTGAGGACCAGATAAAATGCCCATCTGTAGCAACCGCTTATTAGATCTCGATCAATTATTTAATCAGAATACACATCAGGGATGAAATCGATCGCGTTCTAGATGCATCGCTTGGCTGCGCGATTGCCCAGTAAAAGTTGGGCATTCTGCTCCAAACGCGGCTATATCGACTTGGCTTCCATAAAACGATCGCCTAATCTGCACATCCCCTCACATATGCATAGCAGGACGCAATCAATTTACAAATTGATCGAGCTAAATCAGGGTGATAATCAATCGATTTACGAGCAAAATAGGCAAATGAAGCGGTTTCCACAATAAAACTACTTCGCGCATTAAGGCAAGAAGACCCGCAATAGAAAACTTGTAACTTCAGCATTGTAGACAACCACTGCGTATTGACACCGCTAAGTTTTTAATTGATATGAAGAAGCAAACGCCATCGCTAAAAAATGATGCAAATCGTTATCGCAAAACAATTTTTGACCGCTATATAAAAGACAAAAGCACTTCAACCATGCAAACGCACAGCTTGTACGACAGCTAGCAAGTTTTAATGAGCAATAGCTGCGCCGAGTGAACGCCACACGAGGTTCATTGCGTCTCCAACGGTTGTGTTGCCACCACTCCAACGTGCATAAAAGACTCCTAAAAAGGTCATATTGAAATTAGTACTATAATTTGTATGGTATGCGCCATATGTTGACATATGGTGCGAACATAGCCTCGATTTTTGGGAAATCGAACTACCCAACTTTTTCGTGAAAGTGTAACGGAGCCATCCGTTAGAGTCACAGTATGTGCTTAGATGGTGTTTACTTGAAAGAGAAAACACAGAGCTTTCCAGCAAAAAAAAGCACATAAAAATCTGACAATTGGGTCATGAGCTATGATCGTGCAAAAATTGGTGTATCATTTCATCTTGCCAGTACAATAGTCCTAATTCTGCCTAAGATAGTGAGCGCTTCCCCTAACACCCGCGATCAGCATTTGAGAGCGAATCGACGGAGATACGAGCAAAATGGCATGGATTGGGAGTGAGCTTGAACGTCCATGGCAGGGACTGGGGGTAGATCTGCAGTGGGGGTTCCTTCACGCGGGTCTGGGTAGGTCGATCCTTGGTCTTGGCTGTAGATCTTGTGGATCCGATAAGTAATATACCAGATCCGGAGTTGTTGCCTTGTTGGTGGTGTTGTTTCCGTTTCCTTTACGTTGCATACCGGCTCCTATTAGTGGGGAAGTTGATGGGCGAGGGCCGAAGGGCGCGAGCTGCTGGCCAAGCTATCCAGCAGTCTGCCACGTGTGCGGGGGGCAAATCACTTGATTAAAGTATGGCCCAATACTAATTCCAATACTAAGGACCAAGTGTGTGGTTCCCAAGCAAATTCGACTCTGATTTATGTTAGCATGTACCTAGCCTTCCCATCCGGCTTGGATCCTATCTGCTACTGGCTCTCCTTCCTGCCTAATTATCCCAACATAGCCACTGTACCAATAAATTGGTACGGATCCATACCTAATCTAGGGGGTCCTAATGTAGGTGACCAGATCTGTGTGCACCACACCGCGTGTACCTGATCCAGCTTCAACTGCCCTGATCCAGCAACCGCGCCGCCATCTAGCAACCATGGCGTCATCCGAGGGACCAGGCATTGTTACCAACTGCCGGATCCCATTATCTGGTCAACTGGCGGATCCGGTTCCATCAAGACCATTCTTGAGCGGATCTTCTTACCACATACCTGAGGCGTTATCTCTCTTCTTAACACAGATTATTTACTGGTAGGTCACGAAAAGCCGTCATTTGCTATGCTAGGTCAAAAGTCTTTTAAATCCGTTAGGTCATTCTACATGGGGATAAATACGTCTTCGGATAGCCCTGCGTGTGCTCTAAATGATAAGCAATTCCACTCGGGAGGAAGAGCATTATTAAACGCAGAGCATGCTATGAAGTACAACCACTCGACTGAAAATGCATGCCATCAGGTCGATTCTAAAATAGCGCTCATGCGACCCTTCAAACAACTGAGCTTCAGTATCAACAATGGACATCTAAGTGGTGGACTCATGGGTAGGAGAATAGGAATGCTACTACTACCTAAACTAGCAGCAACCAGAGCGTGAAAACGTGCTAGGACATGTTTAAGATGCTTCCGAGGGCATCGTCAAAGTATGGGGTGGTTTGAGCCATTTACGGATTTAATTCTGATGAAACCAGCATAATTTGAAGTGACCTTCCAGTAAATAATCTGTGTTAATATATGTAGTAAAAAGTTAAAAGTACTTTAAACTTTAGGTCGTGTTCGACTTGCATCCAACTCAGTTGTTTTAGGCCAAATGCAGCCGGATTTGCTTTATCCAGCGATCTGAAACACCCAAAAAGCGATTCACCTCGATAAGCTCAAAAGAGCTGGATTTGAAATTCAGGTCTACGCAAATTTATGAATCGGGCTGGATAAGTCTGCCTTTTTACGTGCCTTCCAAACCAACAATTTGCCCGAAACCAGATCTTTTTGAATCGAGCTGGAATGGGGTGTGCAAGTCGAACCCGGCTTTAACACTGATTCCAGTGTTGAAAGGCGACGTCACAGCTGAACGATTGTGGCCAACTATATCTGCACCTATGTATTTCGAGTGCTGCTGCGTCTGAATATGCAGCTATGTAGCTAATCACTACTAACAACGACTAGTGGAAGCAAGAGGCACAGTTAGCTGTAGCGTGTTACGAAGCTGGTTTTGCAGTAGGCTGGTGCGTGCTGTCTGGTGCGTACAACGCCAAATCGCAGGTCAGAGTGATGGTGGTGAAGCGTGACGAACATAGATGCCAACAGTAGGAGCAGAACAGCAGCCACAGTTTGTCTTTGTATTGATTGGAAGGAGAGCAGACTCAGAGGAATCGCAGTCGCGGTCGAGGTGTAAGCCGCAGTAACAAGAATTGGTTTGCTTCTTACTGCTGTCGCTATCTAACAGGGTTGTGAGCCCAACGAAGGATTGGGCGGCAATGGGGTCAGGGGCGATTTAACCGGACGTGCATTTGTCGGTCTGGATGGGAGTGATTCAGATCAGGACCAAGAAGTACATGTCCATTTCGAAGATGAACCAGAGTCCAAACCTGATTCCCTTCCTGCCCCAGTGAACGAAAGCCTGGATGGAGTTGTTCGAGACGCCATCGCAGAGAGTACGGCCAGGGAGGACGAGATGAGGAAGGCTGTTTTTCGGATCTTGGAACATTCAGGCTGGCGTCCCCTGAATCAGGATTTGCGGTCAGGGGCGAAGTCACCCAGGCAGGGTGATCCTGATCGGAACAACTCGGATCGGTCCGACTATTGTGAAAACTATCACAAGTTTGGACATCGCGCTGAACGCGGCTGGGCCGACCTGGTTTGTGACCGCTGTGGACGCATGGGACATCCGACTGACAGATGCCGAGCCCTGCCCTGCAAGTATGGCGAATTCCACGTTGGACGATGTGAAGAGCACAAGGCCATCATGGACCTCATTCGCAAGGGTGCCTTGAAAGACCTGCCCAAGGCCGTCCTGGATCCCATCCAGGGTGGTCAGGCCGATCCTGGTCGGTCGTTAAACCAATAAGCTCGCTGGATGGGGATCCAGTACGCGCCGGGCTTAGGAAGGCCCCAGGATTGTGTGTCTTAGTGTATGTCGTCCCTGAATTGAGGATGAAGAAACGAGATAACCAACAATGCATGACTTCTATGATTCAAGATGGACCCGCTGACCCTGAACCAAATCGGCTTGAATCGCAGACCCTGAATGGAGAAGACCGGATCGGGGAAGCCCCGAATGGAGAGACCCCGGATGGGCCAGTCGAATTCAGGCTGAATTTCGGTGAACGATACGGATGGTGGGAAGATCACGAAGCAGACGAAAATAGTCATGATGTTGCGATGGTGTACGGTGCAGTGAACGATTTCCGGACAAGTATCCTCCTGGACACTGCTGCGTCTGTCTGCATGATCAGCCTGGATCTAGCGCGTAGACTCAAGCTGAAACTGCATATGCACAGACAAATCAAGGTGTCTGGTCTAGGAGGTGTTCCGACTGCCCGGGCTCGAATCGAGCTCACGCTCGGTCTCCGAGTGGTGTATGTCCTGAATGTGTGGGTCTCGACCATTGGAGAAGGATTGGATGTGCTGTTGGGCTTGAACTTCATGTATTCTGCTGGAGTCAGGATCTGTGTGCGAGAAGCCCTGGTTCAGCTCCCGGATGAAGAGACTATCGTGATGCGGGATGGGCAACTGAGGCGGCGTCCAGAATTGGACCTGCCTGTGGTCCCCAGACGAACGCTTTATCTTCAGCCAGGAGAACACGCTATTGTTCGGATCGAGTATGGTCGAGCACACCCCGAGCGAGATGTGGTTTGGGCCGGCCGGGGAGATCGCTGGGTGACACAGGTCATCTACGCATCCCGATCCTGGCCGTTGGCGATTAAGGTGATGAACATTTTGTCGCAGATGATTTGGATTGACTCTCGGACACCGGTAGCCAGGATCGTGGCTTACGGACACTATCCAGCTTACGGACGTTTCGTCCGACCTGGACGGGGTGACTACCAGGAGTGGCAGAAGTAGGAGTGCGCCCTGACTCCGGAGGAAATAGCCGAGGCTTACCGACTTGATGAGCTACCACCACCCGTCCTGAAGCAGGACTACAGGTGTCCATCCGGGCTCCGGATTAATACTGGATCAGACAGGAAGGAAGAGAAGCTGGTTCGCCTACAACAACCACCGCTCCCCCAGGGGCGGCCACCCAGGATCATGTGCCATGCCGCCACTCAAACGATCACGACTCAAAATGTACCCATGAAGTGTGGATTCAGGACATCGATGCACAGGAAACCGCGGACGAAGTGTTGTATATCCTGGAAGATGTGACAGACTGCCCGTTTCCGGTTACGCTACTGGAACATCTCGGTTAGTCTGCCTAAAAGCGAGTTCGGGAAGTTGTCTATTCCGTACCTCTCTCACGAGATCAGTGCAGAAGGGATCCGGGCTACTCCGAAGATTGCGAAGGGTGTCCAGGATCTCCCATTCCCGTCGACCCTGAAAAGAGTCCAATCGTTCCTGGGCAGTCTGAATTACTACCACAAGTTCATCGAGGACTTCCCGATGGTGGCGGCTGTCCTGTATAAGTTGACGGATGACCAGATCCGGGCTGGGCGAGACCTCGACCAGGCCAAGGAGGCTTTTGAGATCCTGAAACACATGATTGTGTCGACTCCGCTTCTCAGGCACCCAGACCGGACGAAGTCATTTGTGATCATCCCCCACGTCAACCCGTGGGCAGCTTGCGCTGTCCTTGGCCAGGAACATGAAGGGGTAATTCAGCCTGTCCGGTACACGGGGCGTGCCCTGAACGACGCAGAGCTACGTTACCATATTGCGGAGAAGGAAGTCGTTGCAGTCCTGCGGGTTCTGGAAGTGTTCAAAACTATCGTCCAGGGCGTCAAGATTCTGGTTTATTCAAGGTATTATGTCCTGAATTGGCTGCTCAAATCCAAGTCGGCCGACTGTAGATGTGTGCGCTGGGGAGTCATCCTGTCTCAGTGGAACCTGGAAATTCGGAAGGTACAGAAGGACGAGGACGGACTTGCTGCCATCATGGGAGCAGCAATCACGCCACGCGAACACCTGGATCAGGTTGCCGAACCCTGATTCCGGCCAAGGGGCGCGTCAAGGCGCCACCCGTAATCAGTGTAGAGATGCTGGATTCATACTACCAAGGATATGTCCTAAGCTTCGACGGCGCTGCAAAAACATCTACGCGCCAAGGAAGTTGTGGATACATCATTTGGGAGCTTCCTGACTGGCATGTCCTGATCGCACACGGTTACATCCTAGATGACGTTATTGTAAACGACGCCGAATACCATAGCCTGCTGAAAGGCTTGGAACTCTGGCGTCTGAATGCGGGATCCAGGATCTTGTCGTTGTGGGCGATTCCAGGATCGTGATTCAGCAAGCTGAGGGATTGATCATCTGTAACCAGCCCAACTAATAGCGCCGACTCGCCGTGTATGAAGTTCAGAAGTACCAGTTCAAGCGGATCAGGCTGGTCCATGTCAAGCGTGACTACAACCAGGCTGCAGACTACCTGAGGCCCAAGTCGCTAGCGTTGGGCGAGTTGTGGCAGGTTCAAGAGCTGCTTCACCTGGAACGTGTGGCGAAGATCCAAGAAAGGCTCATGAAGACGGTCGTGGTGCTGGATGAATCAGCCCAGATTGAAGTCAAACACGACAGTCCGCACCAGACTGCTCTGGTCGGCATCCAGGAAGGAGAAGGTGTTTCGGATGTGGTTTCAAAACCATTGCCCCTGGTCGCTCGTGTCATGGCCGCAGCCACTCGAAGTAGGACCGCCATGGCGTCCGAGGATCGGGCCCCGATGGGCCCACTCGAGTATCAGGCTGAGCGGTGGAGACGCATCAAAGCGCATCAGGATCAGGACAGCCAGCTCGTCGTGATCAAGAAGTTCCTGAATGGCGAGTTGGAAGACTTCTCTCACCCTCAGATACGGCGGATCTCTAAGTAGGCTGAGCTTTTCGCCCTGGATGCTAGAGACGTTCTCTACCGCCTGAGTCGGGCTGCTCGCGATCGACCCAGGGACATGAATGATGAGCTCAGGCTAGTCGTGCCTGAATCTTTGAAGGCTGACATGCTTCATTACGCCCACAAAAATTTTCAGGGTGGTTACCAGGGTATTACCCGGACCCACGAGAAGCTCCGATCAGAGTTCTATTGGCATGGTATCTACGCCGATGTGGAGGCGTTCGTGAAAGAGTGTACAGATTGTGCTAGCGGCAAGGGGCGCCCGCCTAACCCAGGCCCGTCTCCCGGGAACATTGAACTTAGGCGACCTTTCGAGGTTGTATCTATGGACTTTGTGACCCACCTGCCCAAATCAGAGCGTGGAAACACGTTCCTATTACTATTTCAGGACGCACTTTCCGGATACGTGATGTGAAAGCCGATGGACTCCACGACTGCCCGAGATGTTGCCGAGGCCTACGAGGAGCGGGTATTCAGGAGGTTCGGGGCGACTTCAATGCTGCGCCACCACCAGGATCCTGGATTTATGAGTGAGATCTTCACTCGGTTCCGGGACCTCATGGGTAGTAAGCAACGCGCCACCCTGGCCTACCGGCCCCATGCTAACGGCCAGCAAGAACGCTCTGTCCAGACCGTGGTCAGGAGCATCCGGGCCTACGTGGCCGAGGCAGACCAGAGTGACTGGGACGAACACGCCGAAAGGTTGATGTTTGCCCTGAATGCCTCTTTCGATGCAACCAGGCTCGAAACTCCGTTCTACCTTGTCCATGGATGGGATGCCCAGGGTACCGTGTCCGCGATGCTAGGGCCAAAACCGTCCAACCTTCCTGAACCTACAGCCTACGAGTGGCGAAAGAAGTTTCAGCGAGACTACAGCTACGCCTAAGCGTGTGCGGAGAACTTGCAGAAGAACGCCAAGAGGGCCCGCGCGGAGGAGCAAACGAGGAAGTGGCGTGAACGGCCAGACCGGATCAAGACTGGATTCGAGATTGGAGACGCAGTTTGGCTCTATATCCCGAAAGTGCAGCCTGGTTTGAGTCGAAAGCTCGCTCACCTTTGGCATGGCCCGTTCCGAGTGGAGGAGATTCAGGACGATTTCCGGGTCAAGCTCAAGATTGAGGATACCGGTTACCGCGTGAATCCGTGGGCTCACATCAGCCGCCTGAAACCACGAGCACTTTTCCCGAAGCGGACGACTACTGAAATCGTGGTGGAAGAAGATGACGATTTTGACGCGGCACGGTAACCAGAAGACAGTTGGGAAGCAGAAAACCAGAACCAGGAGTATGAAGTCGAGAAAATCCTGGATCTGCGCTGGACGAAGCGTAGACGCACGTCGAAACGTGTTCGAGAGTACCTCGTCAAGTGGAAGGGTTATGATGACCCTGAATGGTTGCCAGTTTCACAGCTGAATTGCGGGGCCCTGCTTTACGAATTTAATCAGGGTGCGCGGGCGCGGGCTCGTTTCCAGGCTATGCAAGCCGGAGACGATCACCCCAACGTTCAATAGCCCTGGTTCCAGCCAGCCCGAATGGAAATAGACAGTCGAATTGTGAAACTGCTGAAACTGCTCGATTTTGATGTGACCGGAAGCTGATTCAGGATACGCGTGCGGAGCTAAGCCTAGATGTGCTCGATTTGGAGATGATGATGATGATCTCGGATACGAATGAGTGGAGTACGCGTGTAAGTTGCGGATGTAGGATGAGCTTGGAGTGATTAGTCTGGATGACACGAGTTGATCATGAATGGAGTTGATATTGAGGATGATCAAGACAAGGACGTGCTGAAACATGAAGTCCGACTGTTGATTCAAAGGTTAAGTGGTACGCTACTAGATCGGAGAAAATGTGAAAGTGACGAAGATTCAGGACACGGTGGCCCAGCCAAGCTTGGGCGACCTTACGTTTGGTACTTCGCGGACACCCAGTTGCCGACACATAGCTCTGGTTGCAACAGATTCTTCTTGACTCTTGGGGACACATGCTTCAGGCGCTCTTCTTCGGTATAACCCTGACCCCACTGTCGGCGCGCTGGTTCATCTGCTTCCGCCATCTGAATCTGCTCGACCTACGAATACGAATGCCCGTTCTCTTTCGTGGTTCCAGGATCCATGAGGCAAATCTGGTTCGGATACTGCCAGACTCCGGGTTCTTCGAACAGGGTTTCAGGGAAGCCTTCCGAGATCAAGCGTTTCTTGAGTTTCTGAAACTTCTGAGCGGCCTTGTTACGACGCTTGACTCGACCGTCGTTCAGCTTTTTGGACTTAGTCAGGGCCTTGGTCTCGGCATTTGTCTTGCCCCTGGTCTTTATCGTGATCCAGTGCAAAATCTCCCAGATCTCCCGATCCCACTTCTCCATGAATTTGACGACCTCATCCAGCTTTTTCAGGACAGACTCATCCAGATCCTCCCGAATGTGGAAGTACAGGACCTTGATTCGGCCTTGAAACATATCTAGTCAGGGTTCGTCGTCGATAACCTTTCCTGTATTCGGCCTCGTCCCAACGGTCTTGGAGAATGCACGATTCAGACTTTTGGGGAAAGTAATCAGGAAATCCAGGGGTCTGAGAAAGAACCAAGGCTGTCCGTGGAGTGAATTGCGCTGCAACCCCGAAGATGCGCCAGGCCAAGATACCCCGGCCTGGTTCTTCGATGATGCCGATCTCCTCCGGAGTCAGCTCCTTGTACGCCTTGGCAGCAAGTGCCGTCTGGTGTGGGGTGGCCGTCTGGTGTGGGGTGGCCCGATTCGGGGAGAAGACTTGGGTTAAACTTGGATCCCTTGGGAGTACCCTCAATCGACTTGTCCGACTCCGACCGTTCCACGCTGCTGGACCGAGTGCGCTTCTCTGTGCCGGCGACAGTGACCGACCACCGTCGTCTGACTCTGTTCCCGAACCGGATTCAGGATGGCCAGCCCTGCTCGGCTTGGAGGTGGTGTGCTTGGACTTTGACTTGTGACGACGCTTGCGCTTGGAAGACTTCTTGTCCTTCTTACGCTCGGAGTATGATTCATCACTGCTGTGAGTATCTTCCTCTTCATCGTCCTCACCCAGAACCTCGATCACTTCCGACTGCTGGATACCATCTAGTGGAGGCCACTCATCCAAAGCCCAACCCGTTTTCAGGGCGTGCTGGTAGATTAACTCGGCCATCCGAAAGTAGGATTCAGGGACATACCTGGCCCAATATGTGGCATCAAGAACGACCCAGTACATCATGAGGGCCAGCATGTCCAGGAGCTGCGGACGGTGAAACAGAGTGTGCGCGACACGGTCTTCCCGGATCCATTCCATAGGCCCCCTTGTAGCCAACCCCAGTCAGAATCACCAGCTGAACATCCGTCCGGACCTGTTCCCAAGCAACAAACTCAGGGATCATTGCTCGGCCTTCCTCGACTGTGAGCAAAAGAGGACGTGTCGGTGAGCGGGGGCCTGAATTGGTCTCGACCATCCTGGATGGGCGCCACTGGCACTTAGCTGGCGGCTTAGCTGGCGACCCCTGAACTCCGGGCGAGAGCGGAGCCGTTCTAGAGCGAGGCGGAGACGACGGGTTATCTTCAGTCTTATCTTCTTGATCCAAGCTCAGGCCACCATTGTCGTCCTGAATCTCGTCCATCTGATCACCATCCGTGCCATCGTATTCATTGTCATCCTCACTATCTGCTGGAGCTGGACCTGGATACGGATGAATCCTTCTGCTTGGCTTGTCGACTGCATCAACTTGGACCCAGGTCTGCCATGACGGTGTGGGTAATTTGCCGCACTCGAACAGCTGGAGCAGAGGGGCCAGTTGTTGCGAACCTCGTTCCGGCTCTGATTTAGGAAGGTCATCAAGTCGTCGGCCCGGAAAGTTTTCTTGCGCAGGCGTTCTCGTAGTTCCCGGTTCTCAGCTTCAGCCAGGCCAAGTTTGTGTTCAAGCTCCTCGATCTTGGGTGCAGAAGCCTGTTCCTGCGCCAGGTGTTCAGTGGCGAGGCGCTCGAAGTCGGATTGGGCTGTAGTTTTTTGGCTGACGCAATCTCTTTCCTGATTCTGTCCGATTCAGCCTTGAAATGGTCGTGCAGGCCCCAATTCTCTCGCTTGACCTGATTCAATTCCGCCCGAACAGCCTGGATAGACTCGACGTCCTGGCCTTTGGATTGGAGTTGCGGCTTGGCCTTACGAAGCTCACTCAGAACGACGCGCAGGAACGACATGGTGTGGAATGTTTTCTCGGCCAAGTGCTCCGGATCGAAGTGCCGGATGACGGACGCTAGCTCTCGGCGCTATTCCATCGAGGACTGGATGTTTTCCAGCTGACTCAACTTTGGAGGATCCTGATTCCAAGGTCGTAAGATCTTGGAGCGGACGTCGTTGTTAGGCCCGAGCAGCAGGTCCAAGTCGAGCAAGTCCTGTTCGGACAGGCCCAGAAACTGGATCAGAGCCTCGGTCCCTCCGTAACCATCCTGGATGTGCGAATGCTGAACAACGGCGTCTGTCGTAGCCGGAACGCCGACAATGAAAGTGTGCCCGCCCGGGATGCGCTTCGGTGGAGCCACGAACCGAGAAGGCACTACATTCTGGATCAGGGCCGGACAGCGATGAGAGGCAGGCATGACACCTGCTCTCTAACACGTCATTCAGAGAGAGCAAGTGTACGGCTGCCTCCGGAATGTCATGACGACTCGGGTTGTTCGGTCCAGAGCTGACCCGTGCGTCTTCACCCGAATCTACTGTATGTCGCCCTGAATCCGGGTTCGTCGCGCCGGCGGGAGCTTTAGAGGCGCCGCAGTCCCTCTCCATGTCCTCCTCCTCCTCTTCTTCTTCCTCCTCTTTGTCCTGGTCGCCGAGCTCCTCGTCAGCTGGGTCCACCACCTCGCGGACCAGGTTGCCGTCAGCACGCTCCATGTCTATGTCGCTCTGGTCGCCGCCCGCGTTCGCGCCTGGTGCGGCCCCTGCAGCAGCAGGAGCGCCAGCCGGAGGGCGCGCTGGAGGCGTCGGTGTCGTACCCGAGGTCGCGAGCTCGCTCATCGGGATCGCTGACATTAGCGTGCACGCCAGCAAAGGCTGATTGGTGTGTGACGATTGGATTGTGGATTTCGGCCGAAATGATGTGAAGTGATTCGACTCGGCGAAGGGGCGCAGAACAGTCGCCAGACTGGTCAACCGTCTGACGTGGCACGGATTCAGGGTGAAATCACACCCGAGGATGCCAACGTGGTCGTGGGGTACGATTAGTGATAGCCTACCAAGATAAGACCAAAAAGAGTTCGTTTTTCCTGCTACAGCGCAAGTGTCTTCGGTTGGGGGCCAGGCTATTTAGAGCTGGTTCAGACTCAAAGGAGCCTTGTGTCTTTGGTTCTCCCCCTGCAGTCAGGGCACTCAGCTAACAGCGTAAGGGTCGTGTGTGGTATCAGATCAAGTTAAGGCGAGTACCTGAGTTGTCGCACGGCCAGGGTTGATAAACTTTATTTCATATTCTAGTTGGGGTGTTTGTACTGTACACCACTGCCATTTCATATTAAGCTACTCCTAGGGCGGTTGAAGTAGTCACCACCTAGTGATTTGTTGATAGGCGACTGAGTGATAGGAAGGACTGTGTTTTGTATTGATTCGGCTTTTTCCCTCTTTATTGAGGGTGGTGCGCGATTGATTGAGGGTCTTGGACTTGCCAGTGTCCTGGATCTACCCTCTTTGTTGGCTGGTGTGTAGGGCCCACCGTCCAAGGGCCAACCAAAGAATAAGTGACGGTTGTGTGTATTGTATATTTGTGTATAACTCTGTATTGTTAAGGTTATCTCTCCGGATCCAGGCTGTGGAAGCTGCATTCTGAAGTGTGCATTGGATCTGCTTCCTCGTCCTAACGATATTATCCTGTTTCCCGCAACTCACGCAACGCAAGTCTCACGTTCGAAGACAAACGACACCAAAAGGGATTCCACAAGAATCACACGCCACCCGGGACGACACCTAGTGCTCGTCCAGGGTTGTTTCGAGGGACAAGTCTAGAACCTTTTCGGGCCACTGTACACCTGGGCGGCAAAAGGCGTTCACCCGCCTCGCCTCAGCTACGACGACGGGTGTGGACGAGTGTGCAAGCTGACGAAAGGTCTCTACGGCTTGAAGCAGGCGTCCCGTCTGGAACGAGATGCTGCACAAGTACCGGACATACATTGGCTTCACGCAGTGTACATACGACCTGGACATCGATTGGAACAAGGGCAGGCCGGTGCCATCTACTTGGCTGTCTACATAGACGATCCGTTACTGGCGCTCAACATGCAGGGCATCACCGTGGTGATCTCAAAGCTGGCCACGAAGTTCAAGCGGATGGACGTGGGCCGAGTGCACAACTTCCTTAGAATGGATGTGAAATACTTGCCGTGCTCGATGACCTGTCTCTCGCAAACCGCTTACATTGAACGCTTGACAGAGAAGTTGGGCCTAGCGTTTGCACGGCGGTCGGCTCGTCACAGATTCACAACGAGCCCACGGAACCGATTGAGAAGAACGAAGACAAAATCAACGATCCTGCTTTGCCGTACAGAGAGATCGTCGGCTCCCTGCAGTATTTCGTGGCCTACACTAGGGCCGGACATGGTCAATGTTGTTCGCACGTTAGGACGCTATTCTGGAGTATACACCACTCACAACTACAGCAGGCAAAGCGTGCTGCTCGCTACGTAGTTGCGACCAAGAATTCGAGGCCTGGGATTGGCGATGGGGGGGGGTAAAGTTGGGAGCATTTGCGGATGCTGACACGCACGTTGTCCTGATACTAGCCGCTCGGTTAGTGGCTACGTGATGCGATTGGGTGGGTTCTTCTTTGGCGCCAGCGTTCTGTGACAACGAACACCTGTGACTCGGAGCTGATTGGTGCGGAACAGTGCACGAAGTGCGTCATGTGGACGTATCGGTTGCTGAAGGAGTTGATCGACAGCGAACCGCTAATCGGTACGCTGTCCTGCAACAACCAGAGTACCATTGCGGTGGTAAGAAACAACGACAACAGCCAGACGTCGCCGTAGATGGCCAAGCACGCTCGGTTGGTCGGGTGACGAGAGGCAAGATATAGGTCGCCTAGGTCCCGACCAACGAGAACGGGGTGGATTTGTTCATCAAGTCTCTGGGCCCGTTCCGTTTCGAGTAGCTTTCTCTCAGATTTACACTGATGTACTCAATTACACAATTCAATTTGCTGCCTTCCTGACATCAAGTTCTAGCGTCCGTTTTCCTACACATCTTCTTCACGCCACGACTCAAGTCAAGCCGTGAAGCCCACATACTTAGAGAGCGCCTCGCTCTTTCTTGCGCAAGAAAGCGTGGGTTGGCAAATGCGCCAGTCCAACGGCAATCTAAGTCCAACGGCAATCCAAGTCCAACGCAACGGAGGGCTCTAAATGATAAGCGATAGCCTCGAAATGAATACTTATCGTTGAATTATGATAAAACAACCAATTCAGATTGAGTTAGATTATAAAACAACGGGTTGGGGCTGCTGACGGCCCTGGGGTTAACGGTGGCGCGTTAACTCCGAATCCGCGCGTTGGTGCGAGTTCAAATCCCGCTGACGCACGTATTTTTTGCCCCTGCGCTGATCTCTCTATTGGCTTCCCCTTCACCTTACACTAGCTCTACACGACATCAGGGGTCAAAGCCAAACCAACTCAGCCATCGCCACCAATGAAGGACCAAGCACGCAGATTTGTGACCTGTCACTAACGAACGGAAAACTAGCAAGTAGGAGTAGAAAAAAATAAGGAGAAAGAAAGGCACACACAAACACACACAACACACAAATCACAGCAACAGGATCCCCCCTCCCCTAATGAGTTAGCTTCGTTTAGACATATTGTGCTTTTAGTTGTTTTGGCAAAGCGGACGTGTAAAACAGCTACCTACTAAGATGGGGCTAGGTTATCGGAGCAGATTAGCAGGTCCCTCGTAGGGAATTAGGACCAAGATTTGCTATTCTGATGGAAGCAATTGCGCAGGTCCTACAAACAGCCAAAAGCCCGAATGTCGCCCATTGTCACGGCATTCGGGGTCTGAAGTCTTACGGATGACTTCTGCCAAGTCTTGTGGCACGACTTTCATGCAACCTGTGGTGCATGTCAAACACAGAATAAACCTAGAAGACACGATGTGGGTGATACATTCATGGCATTAAACACTCTAGTCTTCGCCCTACATCTTCGTGGGCTCCGACACCAATTACTTGCCAAAATGAAGCTTGCTTGGCTTCGACTCCAACCGGAGTCCATTGAACAGAGACCGCTCATCGGACTCGTCCGAAATTGAATATCATATTTAATGATCCTCAACCTCAGATTAATTGACTTCCAAAATCCTACGTAGGACTCGGTAAAATGACGGAAAGGCACAATAAATAAAGTAAAGCACAATAATGAGAGCATCTCCAACGGTAGTGCAAAACGCAAGCAATTGCACGATATTTGCACAAGTGCAAAAAAATCATCCCCAACGGGGAAGTGATAGGGGTTCAGAAGAAGAGGTATTGTACTCGTCATTAACATTGGAACAACGTCCATACACAAATCCAATCAACAAAAGAAAGACATGTTCTAGGGGTATTTTTACGCGTAGAACTCAAAAATGCGGTCAGATTTGGCTAATTCGCAGTCGTTTTGGCGCTACAGGTAGTCAAAGAAGTTGACCGACCGGAAGGTACATTTCGCTACAATTTTCAAGATAAACCTTAAAAAAGAGCCACGGTTTTTGAAAACTCGCAGGCAAATCCCTTCAAATCCCACATGTTTGCTCGCATTGACCAATCATGGACTTCAAATTCAGAAGAAAAGAGGCAACCCTTTTCCCACCCAATTATAAAAAAAAGACATTTTCGAGCTCTAATTTGAGCACAAAGGACTGCGAATTCGCCAATTCTGAATGTATACTCCTCATCGTCTCTGTCCCCGATCTATACCGTGTAAACCCAGATATAGTGTATAAAAAAAAATCAAGCGTGCTCGTCCTGTTTATGTTGCTAATTGACATGTACTTTGCCTTATCACTTTTGCAATTTGCACTACCGCTGGAGATGCTCTTTTGTTTCACTACACTATAGTATATAGTCCTAAATTTGTTATAGCCTTTGACTAATGTTCGTCCTATCCGATGGCCATGCTGAGCTGGCGGTCCAAACGCATTGACCGCTTAACCATTCTTACGCCTATGTAGTATGTTGGTGAACTCGAAATTGCCGGCGGGTAGTTTTCCTGCTGTCGAATTGAGTAGCGTCGCTACTGCTGCGACTGACTTAATCAGGGTGGTTTCGCACATGTACGAATTAATTCATTTGAAGACTCCGCGGTCAGTTGAACGACACCGCATGGTTCGGCCCTTGGATCATCACCTGAGTTGAGCTGGAAATTGTGGTTCTCGGACTGTTCTGACTGCTGTAGAAAGCATGTTGTAGATCAGACTACTAGTTGTGTTGGCTGTGGAATCCTTATTTCTTATATTTTCTGTACAATATTTTTTCATTTTCCGGGCCCTGCAGACATGAAACGAGCACGAATCTGTCGTATTTTCCCAGCTGGGTGGTAGTTGATCGTTGTAGCGGGGAAACCTATGGTGGCTGGGTCAGACTCGAGGAGTGTTGCCACAGGGCAACACCATTTGAGACCAGTTTCTTGAACGGTGTTCAATGAAAGTGGTGAACGCCCTCCATGTCTCTTTGTTCGGTGAGCCGGACCAATTCGTGTCAACTCTACAACATCTCGATTCCGCCGTGCAGATAACTTAGCGGCCGTGCAATAGTGAAGGTGAAGCAGCACCATACATGTATTATCACATTCGTGCTCTCATTAAGTTGGTCAACGGCATTCTGCATTACTAATAGGTCTGAGTCTGGTACCATGGTATGTATGTGTATGAAGTTCTTGCATTCCTTCATGAACTCGTTAAAAGTAAATGCATACCAATTTAGCGCAATGAAACTACTGAGCATGCAATACGCTGAGGGCGTGCCACCACGACCACGATCACGAGTGCCAGATGGACTCAGTTAGACTCGCTTCCGTTCACATGAACAGCGGAAACAAGCACGAACAGCCAAAGGACGCAGTGCATTCACTATCTCGGACACCAATCGCCCAAGAGAGGACAGAGAGCAGCTGGAAAGCTGGCATGGTACGGGCTAACATCGTCGAGTCGAGCTCATGACGACCACAAGCAAGATGTACAGATGACGAATAGCCGACGCGTACTGTACTATACATACTACTACTAATATGTATAGTTATGAAATTATACTACCATACCATGCATGTGTACTTATCTGCCTAGGGGCTGGTGGTCTCGCTGCGTTTCCGACTTATCACTTATCCATTTGCCACCAAGCCGCAAGTTTTCAATCAAAATGCGCTGCTCCATCGCCCTGGTCCTCCTCGCCGCCCCCCCTCGTGTCTGCGACGCTGGACCCGTGCGTGTCCAACGCGAAGGGCATGTGCCCGAAGCTGCACAACTGCGAGGCGACCAAGGTGTCTACCGCCATCCAGGCCGTCGAGTGCTCGCACAACACCCACGAGAAGCAGACGTACGCCGTCTTCAAGCAGGACCACCAGTACGACGGCAACCACGGCTACCCGTACGGAGACTGCGCCGCCTACACGTGCGAGGTGAGCAGCGACCTGATCGAAGACGACGACTGCTGGACGTTCTTCTGGGAGAGTAAGTGATTGTATGGTCTGTTGTCGAGCACAGCTGAGCGACATCGTACTTATACTTTGTGTCGTGTTTTTAGTGTGAGTGTCAATGGCACTGAGTCGGGCGACGGCACGGGTTGCATCAAGGACCCCAACACGAGTGAATGCGGCTGCGAGGACTCGGCCGCGGGCAAGTTCCACGTCGGCAAGACTGGCTGCGTGTAATAAGTCGTAAGCGTCAACAGCGAGTTCCAGCGAAAGAGGCTCGGTCGAGTTGATGTACCTAGTGCTGTAGCGTCAAGCAAGATCTCTACACGCCGCTTGTCTGATAGAGCAGAACAATTCATGTATGTCCCCCCAACTCTTTATTTCTTGCGTCAAACTATCTTCGGCATTGTTAACCCCTTGGTTCCCGGGATTTAGGCACCGAAACACGTAATCTACGGTACTGTATGTCGTAACTTACGACGAAAAAAGTAACTACGAGTTTGTATTGGCGCGCCCTGTCCGTAACAAGAGAAGCCCCATCAGACATATAAGATTGTAGAGATCTATGGGGGGAACTTACGACATAAGAGTCGAAAACGACGTGAAGTACGCCGGAACTTACGACATTGAACGTAGATCGAGTGCATACTAATCCCAGATGGTGGATCAATAGGATTGGTGAACTACACAAAACATCCATCTTTCGCGGTGTTGATAGATGACTGCGAGGTTGTAATCACCAAATCATCAATATATAGCCAATCAAAACATTTTCCCTCTCACTTATGCACAGGTCAGGTAATGGGGAACCGTATCCCCTTCAAGAAAAATGGGTAATCGCTGCAACCAACAAAGGGGTACTTGGAGTGCTGACTTACTTTGTATGTCAGTGCTAAAGCAGCTCTATAACCGTAGCAGCAGCTTCACTTCTTCGCTTTGTTTGTCAGCTTTACGATATCTGCCCAACAACTCGCCCATTTCTATAGTGTTGTTGCCGAGGCAACGGCCTACACCGCCGGCTTTTCTCAATCCGGAACACTGAAGCAATACCGAAATTGCTTCGTTTTACCGTTCCTAGAAAAAGTTTAAGCCTACCACGGTTATTCTAGTTCGCAGCAGGTATATTGATGCTGCTCTCGAGGGTGGCCGCACCGGTAGCGGCACTCGGGCTTCGCGTACTATAGAAATCGCCTCATACACGGAGACTGTCAAAGCAGCCGAAGAGGATCTCTATACGCACAAATATGGCGTTATGGTCGGATTGACTAGTTGATGACACGCGTACGAGCCAGACCTCCGTCGTTCCCGGCGATACCGAAGTATACGTCGTGCTTAAGTTGGTTAGTAGTAGGATACTCTCGTCATCTTAGTTTAGTTATTGGGAGAGGTCATTGTACGATCAAGGTTATTTACGCACTACTCCATGCCCTTGTTTCAATCCGGCATTTACGTGGCGCGAAATACGCTGCAACATTGTCGCTGCCAAAACCAGCTACACCGTACAGTTGTTATAAGGCTGCAAATAGATATTTCTTCGTGTTAGAAGTCTCGGCAGACATAGTCTACTTCCGGTTATACTTACTTTGTATATTCGGCACCTAAACTCGAGGAAATAGCAGCAACAGCCCTTGGAGAGTTATTTAGACGCCATTCCATCCATGGTTTTTATCATTTACTTGTTTATTGTGTGTACGGGCGTTTAAAAGCTATTCTACGAGCTCGTGGGAGCTCTTGACAGCCGCATACGCCGTACTCTCCCCTTCAAGGTCGCTGTTGTGTTTGCTTGAAAGTGGGTACTCGCGCAAACCTTAAAAGGGGATGCTCGTCTTTCTCTGTACAAAATGCCCCATTAGCCAGCCCCGGCTTATGCACAACCCATCTCTGATGACAGCTCTATATCCGTGTTTTTGTGCAATTCTGAGTTTTACCTCTCTTGCTTATACTTTTGCCGACGAAAATAGTCTTGATTAAAGTATTGCAATCTCGTTTCGAGCCAAATGCTATTGTTAATCGAGCTATGTCGTATTATACCACATTGAGATTCGGCAAAGTCGTAACTTACGACGTCGGGAACCAAGGGGTTAATATCCATTGCGTTTGGGCAAGGCAGGAATTCACAGCCACAACTAAATTGCTTGCGCGAAATCAGTATCATGTAATTTCACCTCAATTTTAGTCTATGAATTATCTTGGCGATTAGCAAGCAGGACCATGCGAAAGATGACACTGTTAAGCATGCCACCGGCACCTAAGAATTGCTCGATACCATCCTTCTTACTGACGTGATTTCCAATAAGTTATCGTCCCAAGGACGCCGATGAGGGAGATGCAGGTTTGCAACCAGTGCTTCGAAAATAATCAGGGAAAGCGAAGGGAACAGGTGCCATCAATATCTTTCGGATAGGGTCCATAGGCCTATGGTAGTTTCCCTAGCTACAGACTTTACAGTAACGCAGGCTATCATCAACAGGTCTATACTCGCGCTTCGTACTTTTCCATGCTGAGCGACTTGGACGCGCAAAGCCTCGCTGTCGGCGGCGTAAGTACAATCGAAGCCTACACACACGTCTCTGACTCAGAGGTCCTGGCCCCCACGACTATCTGCACAAGTCAGAGGGCGTCACATGCTCTCGCCCACTTCAATCCTCGAGTAGACCTACTGCTAAGCGCCTTCTTCCCACGGTAGCCCTCTCTTGAACAGCTATCTACAACCAAGCAACGAGCATCACACGGGGACAAGGTTGTTGCTCGTCACTGGCCGCACCATGGTTCCAACACGCGCTGTTCCAGGAGGTGACGCTCATCCCAGATGAAGCGAGGTCGGAGAGGGTGCCTTGAGGTGTGGAACGCGAAACCGGAAATGATAGCAATATCGGATAGGACGAGAGCAACAGAGCAGTCTTGGCGTTGGCGTTGAGCTGCAAGCAGCTTAGCATTCAAGGTCTCAGCGGGTCATTATACTTGGTTTTTGTATGGCCTTAGGGTAGGTCCCTTGAGACACGATTCCCTCCATTATGGTTATGGGTAATGGATATTGATGGACCATCACCATTCACATTTTCGATGCACTGTTTGCAACAAACTTCCAGGTCAGCGGCTTGTTGTTTTGAGCAATACAAACGATAGTAAAGTTATCCTTGTTGCAGGGTAGTAGTGACTTCTCGATAAGCAACCAACGTTCTAACTACGGAGCTAAGAAAGACGTAATGTGTGGGTGACGTCCAAGTTTAATAGGGTGTCCGAAGCGCTGGGTGGCGCATGAAGAGCTCCCTCGGTGTTTCAGCTTGTTGTTTTTGTTCGAACAGCTTCGGCGGCATTCGTCCCCGAAATGGTGATACGATGCCTACACTTACACTATACAGTCGAATGCCTCTGTAACAGTGTGAGTCGATAGAGCGATTTACACCTTTTCAACTTCAAACCGCAAATTCCAAGTTCAATTCTGCAAAAGGTAAGTTCAAAACTGCACGAGCAGAGACCAGACTAGCTTCGTACTTTTATACACGCTCATTGGTTGGCACGCAGCACAGCTAGCCAATAGGCAAATTGTACTCTATAATCGTATACGATGATAGATATCATACAGTTTGTAATATGCATTTATAGAGTATTGTTGTTTTGATATTACCTTTTGCTGTTTTGAACTTTCAATTTGCAGTTTTGAAGTTGAAAAGGTGTAGAAGGAAATTTACTATAATAGCGCAAATTTGCTTATAGTCTTCCTGCTATCTGTGTTCAGATTCAACGGGATATTGAAGTAGCATACTGAGGGGATCGACTGTACATGAAATGGCTACAACAGGGCGAAACGGAACTTCGGAGATTCTCCTTCACCTTTACACGAACGGAAGTCGTTTATCGTGGCTTGAATGTTTTCCCACAACCTTAGATCGAAGGGACAATACGAAAATCTGGCGTGCACCAGAATCGTTCAGTTGCTTTTAACTACCGTTTGTGGGCGCTTTTTGCCACTTTAGAAGTCACCAACGACCCCCGAGACTCTCCTATCCTGAATTTCAGCTCACTGAAGCGTTGTTCCAGTGGTCGTGAAGTGAATGCTCCCTCCCTCTACCTCCCCTTGGCAGCATTTTGTCCACTAGCTATTCCCGGAGGTGGTGGCGACACTACAGCGACGTGAATTCTCCTCGACTTCATCCAACATCCAGCCAATGTCTTGAGGTCAAGGTTGTTTTGAACAACGCTAGCGGTACACCTTTGGAAGAACAAACGCGCGATAGGTCAGCTTCAGAAGCTACGGATCCGGGCCACAACGTAATTGCCACTATAGCAACCGAGATGGGCGCACCAGCAAACGAAGCTGCCACCGAAGAGAAACGACGCCAACGCTGCCAGCTTTACCAATCGCGGCACATAATGAAGAAGCGCAAACGCTTGTCCGACCTCGAGGACGGTATCGAAAACGAGGTCGAGAGTCTGAAGGTGCAGTAGCAGATTGTGGCTCACAATGTCTCGGTGACGTCGACGATTTCGAATGTGCAGTGGCGGCCGAGTTTTTTCGTATTTTCAGGAACGGCTTGAAAGGTCCAAACAGCCACAAGAAGTATTGGTACAGAACAACTTCATGAGGTTTGTGGTGGCTACGGACGTAATTTGCAGAATGGGTTATGGAGTGGGGACGCTTCTGGATTGATATCACTCTACCATGAGGACATCGACCTGCAAGTTCTTAGACTCGAGTATATCTCTGATCAGGTAAGGTTTTAAACAGGTCTTATGCTGGTCTGGTCCTGTTTTGGTCCTACGACATCTAAACGAGACCGAACGGGAAATAAGATTTCCCCGGTGGTCTCGTTTGGTTGCCGAGACCCAAATGGTATCACTACGCTAATTTTAGACCCTCTTCACTTTGATATATATTATCGTGATATTTAGTAGTAGTAGTAGATGATATAGCTTAGTATTTTGGGGCTAGTTGACTTAGAGTACTGCTGGGGATTATAATTTGGTTCACAACATGTCTGAAATGTCCGTGTGGTAGACGAATATTGCATAACAACAATGGAAACGGTGTACTAAAGGTAGAATTGGTCAATATAGGATAATTTCTAGATCACTTTATCTTCCTCGTACGTTTAGTATCAAGGACCTTTAAGTCTACGAAGCTATTACTATCGTTTGAATAGGCGGTTGAAAAAGGTTATGTAAAGGCAACGACGACAAATGGAGGGGCTAGCCACCCCTTTAGCGGCGCCCGGTAAAGCAGTAGTCGCCATTTGATCAGAGCTGGCCCCTTCATCCAATGTTTGTTATATTCAAATCACCGTTAGTTTGCTGAGAGTACTAAGTGTACTGGACTGAAGACTGGATCTCAAAATCTCGATCTAAATCGTAGTTTGGGCCATTCCAAGTTTAGGCTTACAGAGGTGGTCTATGTAACAGGGTGCTACCCTTAGAACATCCCAAGATTTTTAATATTATTGCATGGTGGAACTATTCCATCAAAACTCAGCCTTATTGTCTATTTCAAAGCTTTAGACTATGTATTCCCAACATCATGAGATTGTCCAGGGTTGGGAAGTTGTATATCGACACTGAAAAGACAAAAACGGAAAACTTTCTATAGTGAAGGCTTCCCATAGGCTGGATTTCTGAACATTCTCAAGCACTATGCGATTGAACAGGGAGTTCCAAATTCCGTTACGTGGGATTGTGCTGCTAAGAATACACAAGTTCGAATACTGACGGACTCTTATTGGCTGAACCAATTCGATCTATTAGTAACATTATGCGATTGAACGGGGGTTTCCAAACATACCAGTAGTTACGTAGGTTTAGACTGGTAACAAAAACTTTTGCTGCTGTCGGGCTTTGCTCTAACGGTGTGAATTTGGGTTCATTCGGATTTTTTCTGACAACCCACCAGCTCTTCGCCTTCGCCGCCTCCACCCTGCAGCCCCTGCTCTGCGTCAAGTCGTGATGCCAACCACCACCGCATCAACTCCGACCTCTTCAAGCCGCCGCAGCGACGGTGAATTCGACCAGGAGTGGGAATTTGGCTTCAATTCGGATCGTGGAGGAGCGTCGGCGAGCGACAGTAATGCTGACAGCGATGCTGGCTATCTCTCTCCTGTTTATGGGGATCGAGAATCCTGTTTCAGCAGTGATGACGACAGCGATACTGCTGGAGTTACTTCGGTATTCGGGCTCGCAGATGTTCGTCGACGGAACTTTCCGGTGCGCCCGAGGTCGTTCTACCAGTGTGTGGTGTTGATGGTGAGCGACGCAGCAAGTGGTGTGTTCGTGCCTTGCGTTTACGCTCTTACGACTGGCAAAACCCATCAATTATACCAAAAGTTGATGCGGTTCATGAATGACTGCACGGTAGTCGCCTTCAACCTGGGAGTGTCGTCTGCGACTTCGAGGCAGCGCTGATCGATTCAGTGACCGACCAGTTCCCGCACGCCAGGGTCATCGGATGCTTGTTTCACTTCAAGCAAGCGACCCGACGACGCATGATGAAGTTGCGTATCCGACCCCAGGAGATCTCGATTGCGATGGAAGTCGGCGTGTTGGACATGCTAACCGTGATCGTACCTGCTCATGTCGATCCCCACGGAATCAACTATGTCTCCGAGTTGATTATGTCTCGCTGTCGTACCGAAGAGATTGAGTACTCGGCGGTTGGGTGGGATCGTTTCTGGAAGTACTTTCGTCGCACATGAATCAACATTTTTCCAGTCGATGTGTGGAATGTTTATGGCATGGATTTGGGAGTGGTAAGCCGAACCAACAACCCCATGGAGCGGTTCAACCGGGAACTCAACGCAGGCATCGCTGCGCCACACCCAAGCATCCCCGCTTTCGTATCGACAATCGACACATTATCGCGGCGGTACGTGCAACTGCTTGGCGATATCTCTAATCGCAGAGCTGTTGCCCCAGCTCACGGGGAGATCGAGTTGCCAGTTGCGGTCGACTTGACATCGCGTGTTAGCGCTGCGCGTCGTGAAGCCAGTAGGTCGTCGAACTCACGAACCAGTCGCGCTGGTCGTGCTGCTTCAACTCGCGGTGGTCGTACACCTTCAACTCGCGGTGGTCGTACAGCTTCAACTCGAGGTGGCAGGGCAACTTCAACTCGTGGTGGCAGGGGTGATCATCGAGGTCTAGCATCGATGCGTTCCCAGGAAGCCCAAGTGGATAGACCAAGTCGGACGGCCCGGGCAGCTAGAGTCGAGCGACGTACAAGCCGGGTTACCCGCAGCATGACTGACAATTAACGGTTGACAGCAGGTTGAAGGCCCTGACACGGTTTGCTTTTTATGCATTTTCCCCTCCAATACATAATACATCTAATTTCCGTTTACCTATACAGTTATAGAGTTTTTTTAAACCATGTTTTGTTAGGATCTTTTTTAGGTCCCATTTGGAGGCAAATTTTATTTCGGTCCTGTTTTGGTCCTACGGACCAAAAAAGACCAGACTTGCATAAGACCTGTTTAAAAATCTTCCTCTGATCAGGTGATGGTTGCTACCACAAAAGATCGCGTTCAGATCAGTGGAACTTCGATACGCAATGCGTTCCCTCATCTACTCAGCAGCAGCGACAGTGGACCGAAGTGCCTGATTTCCAGGTTATTGGGTCAGGAATTTACAATGTTCGGCGCGGTTAATCTCAGGTGGGACGCTAATGACGGGCGAGTCACAAGCTTCCTCTACAAGGCTGACATGATAAAACCCATTATGAGAATTTTGGGCAGCTTGCATGATGTATCACTGCTTTTTCATGGCGCTCTTGTCACCGCAGACTGCAACATTGCGGTAGAAGGAAACCCCCAATTACGAACTGCTTCTTACAGGGTAGTAGAACTCCATCTAGAGATACCCCCCAGCAACACGAGACCCAAAAGAAAAGGATTAGGCTCCTTCCGGGCTGTTGAAAACGAGTTGGTCTTGGTTTTATTTCGGTTTATTAAGCCACGCTACAATGTCCGTGGGAAGAAAAAATAACAGGCACTGGCGCTTTCATCACGGCTCTATACTTTACGTCTTGTGAAGCGCGTCAGTGTGCTCCTACGAGACCGCAGTCGGGTGTGATAGAGGCATTGCTGAACAGTAGCGACACTTCATCTAGGTTTCCCAAAATCTTCAGCATCGGAGTCAGCATATCAGCTGTGTGGTGGAAGCTTGTCACCCGACCCGTTTTCTCGTCCCACTGCAGGCTAATCGAACCGTACATCGCGAATTCTTGGCCCATTAACTTTGCACTCAGCCGCTTGGCCTCTGCATTGTTCTCGTAGATGCGGGAAGGTGTATCTCAGCGTAGCTTCATCGATGCAGACTCGATCCACAGTGGTAGCGACGATGGTGTGGTCGGGGCCGAACTCGAGCCTCACGAGCCGCAGATAAATCTCCTCGTGCAGAATAGAGATCATTCTCCACTCTTGCAGTAAGGCTTCAACTCCACGTCCAGATTGAACGAGCACGTCCTCAGCAATAGTATAAAGCAGAAACTCTCGCTGCACAATCGATTCGTGCGGACCCGGCGAGCATGACACGTTGTAGCGCTCTGCTTGTGGCACGTACGCGTTCAATCCGAATCGGAACAGACGGAACCACTCGGCTGTCACGTTCATCACCGTGTTGTCATCCACGATACGCGGAGAAACATTGAGGTGCTGCACCTCCAGCTTCTGCACTTCTTCACGCAACAACCGAACGTCCTTCTCAAGCCGTGATCCATTCTCGCGAAGCTTCTTTCGGTATCGGATCTGGGTCATCCAGCGGCATTCGCGGAGCAGTTGCCGTGGACTCGCGTCACCGCCGTGAGCACTCGTGGAGTGGAGTTTGTTATGAATCGGCTCCGGTTGCAGCCGTTAGCGCACACGGTGGTGCGTTGGCGCACTGGAGGGGGCGTCGCAGGAGCGACGGTGCGGACACTGCCCTGGAAGACGCCGAAGGAAGGAGAGACAAGGTCCTGGGAGAAGGACAGCAGGGGACAGGAGTTGAAGTGCAACGAGTGGTTGGGAGCTCTGGAGACGCTGCCCAACATGCATGTGTAGCAGTAGGAGTAGGAGCTCAGTCTAATATCTACCAAGTGCGTGTCAAGTCGTGCGGGTGTTCGCCTCCTCAGTCTTCGTCGAGGTCGTGGCCTCACTGCGTGGAGCGAACCGACCCAAAGCGGAACAGGGTTATAGAGCCCAAGGTCAGCAAGTGGCCGAACGAGCCTGCGCGTGGATTAACGACTCCGACCACTGTCCGATCAGCTCGTAGCTAGTGACCGAGTGGGGTAGCGTGCTGTCCGATCAGCGGGAGCTGGTGACCGAGCGCGTATTGCCGCTGTCCGATCAGCCGGTGGTTGGTGACCAAGCGGAGAACGAGCCGCCGTCCGATCAGCCGTTGGTTGGTGACCGAGCGGAGAAGAAGCACTTTCCGATCAGCTCGTAGTTGGTGACCGAGTGCAACCTCGACTCACTGTCCGATCAGCCGCTGGCTGGTGACCGAGTGCTGTTGGGGAGGGGCCAAGGCGTGGCTCAGGGCGTGATCATGTCGGACAAGGTGGAGATCAACAAGCACGGGCGACCGGTGGGTTGGCACGGGCATACTACAAGGGCATGATGATGATTGCGTTCGAGGAGAAGGACGTGCTGGACTTCGCGACGGGCAAGAAGACGCTCGCGGACGCGAAGGACCAGGCGGAGTTTGACAGAGTTCAAGTGAAGATCAAGTCGATCATCATGGCATCGCTGTCCATGGAGTTGGGGCAGCAGGTGATGTTGAACAAGACCGGCACCGAGATGTGGAAGTATCTCGAGGACATCTACGAGGGCAAGACGAATGCGGCCACGCGGGCCAACCAGGAGATCATTCTGTTCAACCGCTTGCAGACGGCGAAGTGCAAGGCGGGTGAAGACGTCGGCCAGCACGTGGACAAGTTGTTCACGATCAAGGTGCAGTTGGAGGCGCTGAATGCGGGCGTGCGAGGGCCGTCTTCACGCAGACGCTGGTGCAGTCATTGCCGAAGGACGAACGATTCGACCGCCTCAAGGGCATGATGGAGAGTGGGTCGAAGAAGATGGACTCGCCGGAGAAGGCGAGGGACCAGATTCTCCGCATGGAGAGTTACAACAAGAAGGACCGTTTGCTTGGTGCATACGGCCAAGGATCGAGTGGTGGTGGTGGTGGTAACCAGCAAGGAGCGCAAGGGGCGACTCGAGCGGCGAATTGGAAGCAGGGGGCTTGCTTCAATTGCCACCAGACTGGCCATCGCTTCAGCGAATGTCCAGGCTTAGCCATGGACGCGGACGTGGACGCCAAGGACAAGGTCAAGGACGTCAACGAGGTCAAGGCGGGCGTGGAGTGAGAGGTTCCGGCGTGGTGCGCCGGAGGGGGCGTGTTATGAATCGGCTTCGGTTGCAGCCGTTAGCGCACACGGTGGTGCGTTGGCGCACTGGAGGGGGCGTCGCAGGAGCGACGGTGCGGACACTGCCCTGGAAGAAGCCGAAGGAAGGAGAGACAAGGTCCTGGGAGAAGGACAGCAGGGGACAGGAGTTGAAGTGCAACGAGTGGTTGGGAGCTCTGGAGACGCTGCCCAACGTGCATGTGTAGCAGTAGGAGTAGGAGCTCAGTCTAATATCTACCAAGTGCGTGTCAAGTCGTGCGGGTGTTCGCCTCCTCAGTCTTCGTCGAGGTCGTGGCCTCACTGCGTGGAGCGAACCGACCCAAAGCGGAACAGAGTTGGTCTAAGCTTGTGTCTGATTCATGATGTGCCCTGCGCACCCGACTACTAGGAGCAGCCACCACTGTGAACGTCTGAAGCGTAGTGTCGGCAGAAGTGTACGCTCTCCTTGCACACGGGCGGCCTGGACTGCAGGAGCCGTCAGTACTGTCGAGTTGCTCCGCACCTTGTCGTAGGTATCCGACGTAAGAGGAGGTTTCGGGGCAGGGGCTTCAGTAAGGTAGGACGCTGGCTTGGCTCGGAGAACGACAGAGCCGATGACCGTGCCGCTCAAGCGCTGCATGTTGGGCGGGTAGAGCGCGCTGCTGTTCATTGCTCGATCCATTCTTGATGGTGCACGTGTGGGGTGTTTTCACCATCCAGTAACTAGCAGTACTGCAGAGTACGAGTATTCGAGGACGGTAAAGTATTATAATCGAGGACGAAGTACTATAATGTCGCTTCACCGACGTGCTCGTATGCGGCGAAGTTGCCCGATGAGTTGCATTCGAACTTGGTGGCACGTCTCCGGGTTCCGGGTCTGGGGCGCTGTTGCTAAGGTGAGGGTGTGGTAAGTTAAACATTTTAATTTTATTAAAATAGGCGTGGAACGTGGAACGAGATGCCTCCACTGTTGTGTCTCTGCGAACCAGTGAAGTATCTACAGCAGCTTAAATTCGCTTCTTCGGCAGCGTATCCCATGTGAAACAACTCAGATAGTACATGTAGTATGAAAAGAAAACTCGATCGACTCAAAAGTGTATTACAGAACTTACGAAAATTCAAATGTGAATTAATACCTCCGGTACTCTTATTAGCAGGCGCGAAGATCACTCTCAGGTGTCAAACTGCCGTCCGGCTTGATAAGGGAGTGTTCAAACACTCGAGCAACGCCGTCCATGGATCCTACCAACTCCAATACTGGCGTTAATAGGTCGATATTGCAGTGTAGGCTTGCCACGCGGCAAGTTTCGTCGTCCCAGATGAAGCGCACGGAGCCACGAGTATCAATCTGCTTCCCCAGTAGCTTGGTACCCAGCGTAGCCTACGATTGATTGTCGTTTACCAAATGTGGGAACGCCAGTCGAAGCGTGCCCTCAGTAATCGTGGCCTTGACGTTGGTGGCCGCGATAATCGTGTCTCCGAACTTGTTCTCCAAGTTAACCAGTTGGACGTCCAGGTCTGGGAAGTAGCGGGAAATACGCCGGTAGTCTCCCAGCTGAGCCTCAACGCCGAGTCCTGAGGAAGTGATGCGGTTTGGAGTCATAGTCGACGTCAGAAACGCTCGATGGACTTGCAAGTGCTGCGGGCGCAGCTCCTCCATGCCACTGCAGGAGCCTTGTGGCACCACCGGCTCCTTGAGGGCATAGCGGAAGAGGCGGAAATACTCCGACACAACGTTCCAGGATGTTCTCGTCGTAGAGATTCCGAAGTCCAGGAGCTGCCGCTGCAACTCGAGCCTGTACGTTTCTTCTCGCAGCTCTTGGATGGTATCTTCGAGGCCCGTGACTCGACCCAACATCTCCTTCCGGTATCGTGCCATGTTCTGACGGCTCTGCTGGTGCCGACGTAGCAACGCGCGCTCAGTGAGTTCGACGCATCTTTGTCAGGCCGTTCGATAGGAGAACTCTGGAGTTGACGAGGGGCAACAACTACGGAACCATTGTCGGTGAATACATCCCCTCCTTCGCTGGGACGTGTCTGTATCGGTCGGGAAACTCGACGCGTTGGACGACGTGACTGATGACTTGATCGCTCAATGACCGACAGTTAGGAGGGTAGAGCGCGCTGGTGTTCATCGCAGGTGGGTTGAAGGAGAAGAAGTGGTTGTGGGACTGCGAAAATTGAAGAATGACCTCAATTAAATTAAAGCGCAACGCAGGCTGAATTTGTCGACCACCCATACATACTGTTCTCTATTACATGAGCTACCACGGCCACCCACGACGATCTCGCATCATCGATCGCGTTAGCTCAGAGCGGCTAATGTCTGATCGCGTTAGCTCTGGCTATCCCTAATGTAAGATTGCGTTAGCCCACAAATTGCAAAAGTACGATTTAGATATAAAAACCTACAAATGTAGACGCTTCAACACACTTGGACCAGTGTTCGTTAGGATAAAGTTGCGCCTAGAACTGAAGTTTATCTTATCTTCTATGCGCAATTTATAGTTTAGCTTCCTGATGTTTCATGGTCGTCAGTTTGCGGGCGTGATAACCAATCGCATTCCCGACAAACGCCGCGCCATGGACCGCAGCGCGCTCTACCCGCCGAACCGCCAGCAGCTAAGCGACGCCGTGATCGGCAGCGTACCGCTGCGCGCTCAAGCCCCGTATTCCTCTCGCGATGCCGACGCCAGCGCCGGCGCGCTCCTCTCGCTGCAAAGCACTCAGTCTCTGCTGCCAAGTACCGGTCTGAGGGTCCATTTGACGGTTTCATCGGAAGTCTCGAGTGGACAGTTAATTCCCTCCGTCCAACAGAACCAAAAGGCTGCCAATGACCTGGAGCTGCGCCGCCAGCGCAACCGCATGCACCAGGCGCGACACAAGATGAAGCAGCGCCAGAAGCTGCTGGACCTGGAGAGCAGCATCCAGCGGCTGAGCGAGGAGCTCCAGGAGCTCAGGCTGCAGAGAGAAGTGCTCTCGGTCGGTGTCATGTTCAACACGACGATCTGGAACGTGGCGGCCGAGTACTTCCGCATGTTCCGCTACGGAGTGAAAGTCCCCGAGACTTCGGCCACGACGGTGCTGAGGCCTCCGATGGAGACGCAGCGTCATTTCCTGCTATCGACGATGACGTCGAGTGTTGTGAGTGAATCTGGATACGGTGCGGACGCTCTGATGGACAACTGGAGCTTTGTGTCGCGGTATCACCCGGACATAGATATTCAGCTCACCTGCTTGGAGACGACCGCGGACGGATTCATGGTCGGAAGGACACTGGGGAGACTGACCATCACGGGAAATACGCTGCGCAACGCGTTCCCGCACTTGGTGGACGCTGAGGGACAAGAACAAGCGCGGCTTGCTGGGAAGATGCTGGGGCAGCAGATAGCGATGCGCGGTGCGATTGAGTTCGAGTGGGACGACAGCACTCGACGCATCGTCCGAGTGCAGCACAAGGCGGACCTGCTGACGCCGCTGTTGGAGCTGCTAGGCAGTCTGGAAGAAGTCTCGCGCGTGTTTGATAACGCCCGGGTCACTCCTGAAAGCACAGTCGCGATCAGTTAAAGCTGTAAGCTTTCCTGCTGTACTGTAAGACCTGTTAGCATTGCGATATGTATTGACATCAATTGGATACATATTATGTACCTTTGGCCTACTTTCTGTATTTGTTTCGAGCTACCGCAACTCTTCTGCTAATTGGCCTTCATGTAGTAGGACCCTTAAAGCGGCACTTGGAAGCTTTCCCCGCCAGCTTGCATTCCGGTGTGAGGAAGGCCTTGTCGAACACTCGACTGACGGCTTCCAAATCACCGAGAAGCTTCAGCAACGGTATGATCATATCTCCCGTGTACTTCAAGCTGATAATTCGGTCACTCTTGTCGTCCCACTCGAATGTGACGGCGCCTCGCATCTCAAACTGCTGGCCGATGAGCTTTGCTCCCAGCGTTGCGAGGGAGCCGTCGCACAGAGGCGGGAAGGCGCGTCGAAGCATATTTTCGGTTATGGTGAACTTGTTCTTGGTCGCTGCGATCAGTGAGTTCCCGAGTCCTTCTTCGAGACGCACAAGCTCGATCTTCATGTCAGGCAGGTTGAACGAGACCCACTTCCAGTCGTCGATCAGCAGCTGGACGCCGCGTCCTCTCTCGCCAAGAACGTCCGGGGCCATAACGACCGTCAGAAAGTCTTGGAACGCCCCGCAGTCATACTGGAACAGCGCTGCAGAGGTATTGTATGGTTCTGGTGCCGCCAGGAAAGATGTCAGCCCGTTGCGGAACAGTCGACAGTACTCGGCCGCCACTTTCCATGGCGTTGTTTTCGTCAGAGAGGAAACTCTGGGAGAATTGATCTGGCGCTGCAGCGTCCGAATTTTTTGCCGAAGTCGTTGACAATCTAGAGCGATTTCTTTCTCCTTCATTTTCTTCCGGGCACGAGCCATGCTCTCTCGGTTACGCTTCCTTCTGATCGCCTCTTTGTCCAGCGTGGTTGGCGGTGGGAAGCTGTTCTGGTGATGACCGGTCGGGTGGCGACTATCCTCAAGAGAACTGCTCGAGCCGGGGCTCTTGTAAGTGGGCACGTTTTCTCGTTGCCCTTCGGTCATCAAGCAGGCCCAAGTCGATGATGTTGAGTCGTCGAGATCGACGAAGCACTCGTCCAGCGCATCAGAAAAAAGTGTGGCGTCAAAGTGTGCAGTCCCGGAGCTTGAGTAGCTGGGGCCCGCGAGTGTGCCGTCGGGGCTAGAGCTGCAGATAGCTTGGTCGGAGCGTCGGTCAGAACGCTCCTTGACGTGTCCGATCACGGTGTCACTGAGCTACTGGCAGTTTGGTGGGTAGAGCACGCTGCTCATTGTAGAGTGAGGTAGGCCGTGGTGTGTCGAAGGCAAATCGCGAAGTGAGTGAGTGACCGCAATGAGTTGTGAGGTGATTTCGCTCGAGAAGTTAGTCGTGGGCCAGCTGGCGGGTGGTGGCGCCGAGGTGATCAGCGATTGCAAGTGTGACGTGGCACTATGCCGTTCACCGCAGCATGCTCGTTGCCTGGTAATGACCAGAAAGGACCGATGATCTTGTCAGAGAGGTTGACATCTGCAGTTGCGTTATGCTCTCTAAGGAAATCGCCCTGGCTGTAGGAAATTCTCGCGCGATTACTGGTGATAAAACTCCAAAGTGACATGCAAGACACAATCAGAACCTTGCCGTTCGGAAAACCTGCTGCTTTGGGGGTAGACGGCGTGGCTTTTGACTCACATGCCCAATGAAGACCCAGGTTAATGCCTTGTCATAACTCGTGTAAGACTTAGAAAAGCCAAGCGCGAGTTGTCATGATATAGCACTGGATCCCAGAGCTAACTATTTTAATAGCGACAGAGCCACGAAAAAAAATACCTACGGCTTTAAGTTTTAGGCTGTGTTCGAGCTAGGTGACGTTTTTCGTGCTCTTTTTGATGCAGTGCTAACTAACTACCCCGTCGTACACTAGATAGCAAGTACTACAGGACCGACACGGTACCTTCGAGTAGTCACCGGCGACATGCAGGCATATACTTTGTTTTCCTTAACTTTTAAAAGTAGGTCAATATTCTTGCAAAGTATACTTAGAGAACAGTAGAAATTACGGTGTTTAGCCCACTTGGAAAATGTACGAAAGCTGGCATCACATCTAGTGAATTCTTTTTTAAAGTCTATCTTATTAAGGGGAATTCTTTAGAATTTTCTTCTCAAAAGAAGTCAGACAAGGTATTGTCTAACTTTGGATGATGTGGTGTATGTAGTGCGGCACTACATACACCACATCATCCAACTCATTTTTGTCGCGAATTTTTAGGTAGTAAGCTACATCACTTCGAAGTACTACTGCACAGTCATGGACCAACCACCAGCGTTCTTTTCTACGATTCTAAATCGACGTGGCTTCCGTGCAGGTTTTTATCAAAATGTATTTTGACCTACTACTAGTTTTGTCGAGGGACAGCTTCTAGAAACCTCATGGGCCCCTTAAGTCGACTTCCATGACGCCTAGCAACACAAACCTTCAAGTACTAAAAGGAAACACAACTGGGGAATCAATTACATGTAAGTGTTCACTAGGAATGTATCCTACATGACGAGCGGGTCTTCGAGTACCGAGATGTTGCGGTGTTTGAGTGTCACCAGCTCCTGCTGGTGCTCCAAGCCCAGGAAGTTCGTCATGAGCTTGTTCAGGTATGTGTTCTCGTGGACGCCCTTGCACATGCGCTCGAAGAGCAGCGGGCCCTTACAGTACAAGTTCACGTCCGTGCCAACGTGGCCCACCGTAGTCCAGTCCACGGCAGCACGCAGGCTGATCACGTGGCCCAGCTCAATCATGACGTCCTCCAAGTCCCGCGTCTCGTCCACCGCCGTCGCAATTTGCGTGACGAGCTCGACCACCTCTTCGTCCGTGACCGTCGTGACGTTGGTGTAGTTGGTTAGGAGGGACTTGGACGAAGTAAGCAGAGCTGCCTTGCACGTCTCATTGGCTCCAACAGCACAGTCGCCACCCTCAAGAACAACCTCCAGCTGCTCCTGCATGGCCTCCGTCGACATGTTCTGAAGCTGCAGCTCGGTCGGGTACCACGCGTACGGGTAGGCAGGGCCGCGTCCGAGCGTGAGACCACCAGTGCCGTGGTCGGCAGCCGACAGCATCGCCGTGTTGGGGGACTGCTCCACGTGGTTAATCACCACAGCAACGGACTCATCGAAGGCAATCGCCTCCTTGGCCATAGTGCCAGGGTCGTTCGAGTGGCCAGCGTGATCCACACGAGAACCCTCGATCATGACGAAGTAGCCGTGCTTCTTGGCCTGCTCGTTCTTGCGGAGGAGACTCAGCACAATGTCCACCATCTCCGGGAGGCTTGGCTCGCGGGAGGTGGTGTTGCTGGCGGCGAGTTCACGGAGACGGTCGACCTCGTACGACATGTGGTCCTCGTGGAAAAGACCGAACAAGCGCAGCGCTCCCGACTCCTGGTTAGCCGACTGGTAGTCGAGCAGGTCCTGGTAGTTGTTGGCAACAGTGTAGCCGTTAGCGTGCAAGTCTTCGAGCATGGAGTCGTTGAAGTGCTTCCGGCCACCGCCAAGCAAGAAGTCCAGGTTCTTGTTCGCGACGTACTGCGCAGCAATGTCGTCTTCCGAGTCGCGGTCAATGACGTGAGACGCGAACGACGCGGGGGTGGCGTGGGTCACGCGGCAGGTGACGATCATACCGGTGACCATGCCACGCGCCTTGGCTGCCTCCAGCACAGTGCCCAGCGGCTGCTCGTACGTGTCCACAGCAATAGCCGAGTCGTACGTCTTGTAACCCGTCGAGTAGGCAGTGGCGGACGCAGCGGAGTCCGTGATGTAGCTCGTGGAGGAGTGCGTCTGGACGGTGCCCATGAGGTGCGGGTCAATGTGCAGCCGAGTCTTCAGGGTCGGGTCGAGAACAGTTCGCGCAAGGGTGAACACGTTGGGTCCCGTGCCGTCGGGAATCATCATGATGACACTGCGCGGGGTTTCTTCATTCTCGTCGAAGTTGTAGTCCACGTCGACGGTCTTGTACTCGTAGTGGGTGGCGGCGTTGGCGAGTGTCGCGAACGCAGCGCATAAGGCCACAACGCGAGAGATGCTAAGCATCACTGTGGCAGGTTGGGGGTTGGCGCGAGTGTGCAGTTCGAGGAAAAATGGAGAATGGTCGAAGGCTTTCACGAGCTACAGCCCCAGCACGGCACCGTACTTGATACGGAGCCCTTCATCCGTCAGGCATTGCGGAGGGAGCACTGGCGATGGTTGACCTGTGTGCACAGTGGAACTCACACGCAGAGATTCTTCAACAGCTGTGGACTGGGGGATTCCCGGCGAGTGTTGCCGCGAATCTTGCTTGAAGCTCGAGAGATTAATTAATCTGGCCTTTTTAGTCGGGATCGCCTTTCGTGGGCAAAGGAGGGCCATTCGCTCGGTTCGATCGTTTCGATGATCCCGTGCCACCGAATCCCTGGCGCAACGACGGGATCTCCGCGCCTCACGTGCGAGCGCAACTCGCCCAAAGATTCTAAACGTGAGGGCAGTGCGTGCACAACACAGCTTCGAAGGCCCGTGGTGGCTCGCTAAGAGCTTATTCAACAGATCGGCTGCACGAGGAGAGCATCGCCATTGAACCGCAGTGAGACCGTGATACAGTAGTCAAGGTCTCGCTTCAGCTGAAGCATCTATCAGCAAGGGGATGGAATCTAGCTCGCTGAGATTTCGTTTGCGGCATCTTAGTCACACACTACAGTACATGACCAGCATCTTAAAATTCAAGCGCTGTCGGTTCGGATGGACAGAATAGCGATTGCTTTCTCTTTCAGCTAAAGCCATGCACTGTTCACGCCGGACTTGGTGCCAACTGACCCTGTGTCTGTTGTGTCGCCTCGAGGCTGCCGTCGCGTTGTGGAACCACAGATCTCGAAACGGAGCTCCTACCAGCGTCCATCTCAGTGAAAGCTTTCACTGAAAATCTGGCTCATTCCGTGACTTGGCCCAGATCTTCAACCACAAAGTGGGCAAACTTCCTTGCATGTATTATTTGAAGTGAAGTTGCCGTAGTAAACGTAGCACTTTGCTGCATTGAATCCGAGTGACAAGTTATTATGTTACGTTTATTTATCTTTGAACAGAAGTTGCAGGCTGGAACTCGCAAGGATCAGAATGCCAGCGGGTCTTCAAGCACGGAGATGTTGCGGTGCTTCATCGTCTCGAGTTCCTGCTGATGCTCCAAACCCAAGAAGGACGCCATCAGTTTGTTCAAGTAGACGTTCTCATGCACTCCCTTGCACATGCGCTCGAAGATCAGCGGACCCTTGCAGTACAGATTCACATCCGTGCCGACGTGGCCGACGGTGGTCCAGTCGATCCAAGCTGGCGCACTGATCACGTGCCCCAGCTCGACCAGGACGAAGTACAGGTCGCGCGTCTCGTCGACGGCGGTGGCGATCAACGTCGTGAGCTTGGCCACCTCCTCGTCCGTCACGGACGTCACGTTGGTATAGTTCGCCAGCATCGCCTTGGCCGACTCGAGTAGAACGGTCTTGCACGTTTCGTTGGCTCCCACCGCACACTCGTCGCCGGCCAGAATTGCGTCCAAGCGCTCCTGCATGACCTCGGTCGACATGTTCTGGAGCTGCAACTGGGTGGGGTACCAGACGTAAGGGTACTCCATGCCGCTGCGTCCGAGCGTGAGTCCACCAGTTCCGTGGTCGGCAGCAGACAACATTGCGGTGTTCGGAGACTGCTCAATGTGGTTGAGCACGACGGCCACCGTCTCGTCGAAGGCAATCGCCTCCTTGGCCATCGTACCGGGGTCGTTCGAGTGGCCAGCGTGGTCTACACGGGAACCCTCGATCATGACGAAGTAGCCGTGCTTCTTGGCCTGCTCGTTCTTGCGGAGGAGACTCAGCACGATCTCCACCATCTCTGGCAGACTCGGCTCGCGAGCAGTGGTGTCGTTGGCGGCCAGCTCACGAAGACGGTCGACTTCGTACGTCATGTGGCTGTCCTTGAAGAGGCCGAAGAGGCGAAGCGCACCCGATTCCTCATTCGCTGACTGGTAGTCGAGCAGGTCCTGGTAGTTGTTGGCAACAGTGTAGCCGTTAGCGTGCAAGTCTTCGAGCATGGAGTCGTTGAAGTGCTTCCGGCCACCGCCAAGCAAGAAGTCCAGGTTCTTGTTCGCGACGTACTGCGCAGCAATGTCGTCTTCCGAGTCGCGGTCAATGACGTGAGACGCGAACGACGCGGGGGTGGCGTGGGTCACGCGGCAGGTGACGATCATACCGGTGACCATGCCACGCGCCTTGGCTGCCTCCAGCACAGTGCCCAGCGGCTGCTCGTACGTGTCCACAGCAATAGCCGAGTCGTACGTCTTGTAACCCGTCGAGTAGGCAGTGGCGGACGCAGCGGAGTCCGTGATGTAGCTCGTGGAGGAGTGCGTCTGGACGGTGCCCATGAGGTGCGGGTCAATGTGCAGCCGAGTCTTCAGGGTCGGGTCGAGAACAGTTCGCGCAAGGGTGAACACGTTGGGTCCCGTGCCGTCGGGAATCATCATGATGACACTGCGCGGGGTTTCTTCATTCTCGTCGAAGTTGTAGTCCACGTCGACGGTCTTGTACTCGTAGTGGGTGGCGGCGTTGGCGAGTGTCGCGAACGCAGCGCATAAGGCCACAACGCGAGAGATGCTGAGCATCTTAACTGGAGATCTACACGCGAGCGAGCAAATTAAAGAATGATGGAGCATGGGGTAGACGACCAACGGATAGCCAACCATCCGCGTGCTCACAGGTCACATGCAATTGATACGGAGGCCTGCACCTATCAACTATGCGTGCGGATACATGTATCGCATTTTGTGCTTCTCGCCTTCCAAGCTGGACCATTCGTTGCGGAGATCCTCAATTAATCACCATCAAAGATTAATTTGTTAAGTGATTGTACCAGCAAAGTAGGGACACAGCGGGTCGACGCCGAGCTGCATCCTATCACTTTGTATACGATAGCCTGCACTTCAATGTCTTTCACTTGGCTCATGATCGCCAAGTGCGATCTTGCCGTCAGTTTGCACAGGCGTTTTTGCGCAATCGAGAGCAAAACTATGATGGGACTTGGTCTGTTGAGTCAGGACCCACTCACATCAAATAGGGAGTCGAACATCTCAAAAACGCCAAAAATAATGAGCAAAACCGAGCCAGAATTCTGAGCAGCAAAGTGTCGAAAAGATGAGCCATTTTGGAGGGGAGTGGCATGTCGATCCCTCCATTTTTCGGACTTAGTCGAGTGGAGGGAACTTTTCCGCCATCTGTCCCACTACAGATCCCGACCAGTTTCTTCAACAAATGATGGTGTGTAACTTTGTAGGGAATACTGATTATGCAAGAGACATGCGATACCAAAGTTGATAGTGAGAAACAAGGTAATTTGATGTAGCCCTTTCTAACAGCATTGAATAGCTAGAACGTGTATCACAGGATATTGTACAATAGGATAATTTGGAGGTATTTGTAGAGGAGGGAACAAAGAAGGGAATTGCTTGTCTCTGAAATGAGCAGCTCATTTCAGAGATAAGCCACCTCCGGAGGTGGCTTGTTTCAGAGTTAAGCAAAACGCTGTCGAGATTGTGAGCACGGCCAAGCTCAAAACTGGAGCACGTTTTTGGCAATGCTCGACTCCCCCTAATGCATCCTACTCAAAGCAGGCAATGACTTGGATATTACGAATGCTAATCCAACTCGTATAGGCTAAGCCTACGCTTCCTCAATGAGAAGCGGCAGAAATTCGGCTGTACCAAGGCTGTACTCACGGTGGCCGATCACGCGGAGAAGTGCAGCGCCAAACACACTGTGCGAGACAACGCCCACACGTTGCGCCGACACGTCAGAAAACAGCACTTCCAGGAACTTGTTCGCGCGGGCCTCCAGCTCAGAGTCCGTCTCACGGTGGTCCGGAGTCCACCACGGGTCTGCATCCGATTCAAATCCACTGAAGTCCAGGTCTGGGTATTGCCGCTTCTTCTCCGAAATGCTGCGACGCTCGTCACAAGTGTCAACGCCCAAGATCTCTCGAGGCAGCTCCAAAGGTTTGCTGCTAACGTTCTTCTGGCTCTGGTAGGCGATGGTAAAAGTCTTCAGTGCACGCTCGAGCGGGGACATCAGCACGTGCTCGAGGTGTAAACCACGGCTGGTCTCTGTGTTGAGCCTTGCTGACGCTTCAGTCGCTTGCTGGACGCCTTTGGGGGTCAATGGCGCATCCAAAAACTCCGGCAACTTGCAGTAGTACGAGTTCCACGCGTCACTGCCGTACTTTTCGATGGCCACGTTGTGTGTCCCCTCTCCGTGGCGCAAAAATACAACAAGCTTCATGCGAGCGCCACTCGGATCCATCGCAGCTTGGACGTCTTCCCACGTTTTCCCTTCCACGAGACCCATGCGAGGTGCATTCGAAGCTGGAACAGGCACAGTTGGGTCTCCTTGAGCGAAGAATCCACTGTGGTGGCGGAAACGCGAAGATGCCGCCGAATTCCCCACCACAAGTAGCGCGAAGATGACCGTGAACGACGAGGCCAGCACTTGACCCCGGGACAGCATTGTCTCTCTTCGTTAACGTCTGGAAAGGGTGTGGTGGAGCGAGAATTAAGAAATAAGAAGCGGCTGAAGTTCCCACAAAGTCTCCGATTGCAGGGAAAATGACGTGACTTGGTCGATAGATGGTTCACGGTAGCATCAATCATGATCAGGGGTTCATACCAGCTCGAGTTTAGCTGGTATCGGGTATCTCGTCTTTCTGACGAAGCTGATATCAGCGATACTGATACTAATATCAATATCATATCAATATAATGATACATATATTGATAAAAATTGTACCTGCAGCAATTTGGCTAATGTCGCCGTCTCCTATTCTTTTGCAGCACTTCCTTGTACTCGGGCCAATTAGCCTTCATCAAGCACATCGTCTCGACCCGGTCGTTATCAAGCTGGGTTCCCAACTCGTTCTCCACATAGCCACTAAGACTGAAACATCGCTCTTGGCACACGGTAGATAGTGGTTTGGGGAGACAGATTCTCAAGCTTATTTTCAACCGAAAAGGGATGATCCTTGTGAGCTCTGAGCATGTGCTTCCTGGGGTTAGCAGTCGTCTGTTGCCGCATTAAGCATGATCTCCGTCCAGAAGAGGTCGGGTCCGTGCTTTTTTGTGTGCTGCGCACACGAGACAGATGTGGGTGAACGAGCTGCTTTTCTTCTTTGTGTCAGGAATCGGAGTAGCAAGTACACGATGAACTCCCAGACAAGAACAAACATGTTCTGGTTTGAGTGACGCACAGATAGTGGAATACCAACTCGACTCCAACTTCGCCTTCTTTATCTCTACGGTCACGATCACTGGGCGACGTATCCTCGTCGGCCATTCTCTAGAGAGCGCGCACGCAACCGAACCGAGATGGTAGTAGTAGATTTGTACTTGCCGTGGGCTTGTTGGGAGAAGTGGCTATATGCAAGTAACTATGTGCGGTAGCGCACATGGAAATAACCTGGTTGGTGAAATCTACACTAGGCCGCAGGATATCGATATTTATATGCCGAAAAGTATCATTGGATCTCGATACAGCACCACCACCAATACAGTAATGTGCGTCAATAAGGGACGTGTGGCAACTAATATCCTTACATACATTATATACAGCTGTTAGTCAAGAACACAGCTAACATTGATTTAAGTTAACTTTCGACAGGATCCTGGCGCTATTGGCTGGTTTCGCAACGAGCGCGACTACGTGATTGGCTAGTGAGGTCAGATCTAGCCAATCAGTGATTGAAGCTACCATTTGAATTCGGGCGCAAACATAACTCCTTCCCTCCAACCCGCTCAGCGCGATCTCCAAGCACAACGGAATCTGCCACAACACCAGCGCTCTACCCATCCACCCACCTCATGAGCACCTCCTCCAAGACTAGAACTCGCCTCACCCAGCAGCAGAAGCTGCGTCTGATCAAGAAGGCTGAGAGCTCCCCCGCTGTCAAGCATGAAGACCTGGCCCTTTGGGCCAAAGTCGAGTTCGGTCTGCAAAGGCCCCCTGGGAAAGCCACCATCGGCCGCATCATCTCGGGGCGTATCGCGCTGTTGCGCCAGCCTCACGGAAGTGCTCAGCGCAAGAACAAGCCGTCTCCGTTCCAGCTACAGATCGATCAAAACATCGTCGAGTTCATCATGCTTGCAGAGGCGGAGGGCATTTGCCTCAGCGGTGCAATGATCGTCTTCTATGCTACGGTGCTAGCCAAGAAGTTGGGCATCCCTAGACATACAGTCGACTTACTAACTGCCATGAAGTGGTGCGAGTCTGCGTGGGATAATGTGTCAGCTTCTACGATTCAGAAGTGCTGGTTGCACTCCACGCACATTAGTAAAAGCAGTGTCATTTATTCTTAACTAAATCAATACATTGTTCTTTCTTTTTCCACTTGTTCGCCTTAATAGCCTTTACACTCCTATTCATATCAGAGGTCCCTTATTGACGCACATTACTGTATCAGGTGATACTGATACAAGTATCCGGCCATACAGTATCGATATTTACAGGTATCAGCCTTGATATGAGCCCCTGATCATGATGGATGTCTGTGTAGCAATGACGGAAGGCGCGAAGTAAAGTCTCTGATCCCATGCACGAGTTGTATCTAAGTCATTTACACACGCAAGCGTCAGTCATTTGTTGACGGCCGACAAAAACACTAAAAAGCTATGCAAAAATGCAGTATCTACCCATCTAGCTATGCGTCCTGTTGCAGCTCCTCCTCGGTGGCGTCCGTGATGAGAAGCGGGATGAACTCGGCGTTCCTCGGTCGGTAGTAGCGGTGGCCCACCGCCGCGAAGCAGCCGCGGCTGAAGCCGCTGTGCGACACGACGAGCACGCAGCTCTCGGGGGACTCATAGAAGACCTCGTCCAGGAACTCGGCGGCGCGCGCGGCGATCTCGTCGCTCGTCTCGCGGTGGTCGGGCCGCCACCACGTGTCGTTCTCGCTGGCCACGTGGTCGAAGTCCAGCTGCGGGTACGCGGCCTGCTTGGGGGTCAGCAGCTTGCGGCGGTCGCAGTTGACGACGCCCAGCGTCTCGCGCGCGAGCTCCACGACCGACACGGGGATGTCCCGCAGGTGCGCGAACACGCGGTCGTACGTCTGCAGCGTGCGGTCCAGCGGGGACACGAACACGCGCTGCAGCTCGAGCCCGCACTTGGCGATCTGCTTCTCGAGCATGAACGCGGCGGCGTCCGCCTGCTCCTTGCCATGCGCCGTCAGGGGGGCGTCGATGAACTCGGGGCGCATCTCGTACTGCTGCTCCCAGAGCTTGTCGCCCACGCGCGCCTTGGTGGCGTTGTGCGTGGCCTCGCCGTGGCGCAGCAGGATCACGAGCTTGATGCGGCGGCCCGGGTGCGCGAGCTCGAACTTGCGCATGAAGGCGTAGACGTCGGGCCACGCCTTGCCGTCCACGAGGCCCATGCGCATGGGCGGGTCCCCCATCTCGTCCACGGGCTCGTCCGACACGCCCATGAGGAAGAACCCGGGCACGCAGCGAAGCTGCTGGTGGTGTTGCTGGTCACGGTGCGGCATTGTGACTGGTGTACGTGTTGCTGCTGCTGCTTGGGGTCCTCCTCGTGCCTACGTGGGGACGAAACGGACAATGGGGTTCTGTTTTTTTTTCGGTATCGGAGACTCTCGGACATAAGAGGAATTGGTACCACGTACCAAGTTGAAGCAAATGTAGCCATGTGCTGAAGATTGTGTGCCGATGATTATGTGCCTGCCATCGACGGCACACATGACGTGGAGAATACCCATGTAAGACAAGCAGCACTTGCTTGGACGTACCGTAATGATATCACGCTGACGCTTGGGCGGATCCAAGTCGGCCTCAGCTGAGATTGATATACCCTGGGTACTGGACGTCGAATAGAACAAGATTGAATCTAACGTCGATTTCTTTTTGGGTTCTAGCTACCGGGATACAACTACCGGTAGCTGCACTTGTAAGCGACAGCGAAGTACGCAGGTCTTGCGTGGTGATAGCAGGTTGAAGTGGGGTCTCGTCTGAATGCTGACGGTTCGAGTCGGCTTTGCAGCTAGACTATCGTCTGACCGATTGCAACAAGAAACTGGGTGGCGATGCACAGCTTTTCCTGTCGATAGCGTCCAGGCTGTTGGCTCCCCACATCGCTCGACACAGAGCCGCAGATTCCAGGACCTGGAACGACGTTCAATTTGCGCTTACACGTCGTCGTGGATGACGCCGTGCCAACAGTGTACGCGAATGGAAGTTGAAAGGCTGCAAGGAGCTCAACATCCCCGTAAATTCTCAACGCGGTGGTGGGTTTGCTCCAAGCTCGAGCGTTTTCAACGTACATCCTCGACACTTGCTCGCGGGTCATCGTGGCCGATCGACTTGTTGGAGCAGACTTGGAAGATGTTGTCACGGGTGCAGTTGAGGCCGCAGTGTATTTCTCCAGGTCTTGAGCTGCTGCCATTGCTTGGATGAGCGCAATCTGCCATTTCGAGCGCTCGAGCGAGTTGGACGCGCGCACGACGAGGCACTCGCGCGTTTTGCCGTATCGGAGCCGGATCGTGTTGTGGGCAGCTTCTCTGCGGCGGCACTTTACAAGTCGCACTCTGGAGTCGATTGGGATCGACAGTCTACCGCCCGCGATGCGTGGGCGATGGATGATGAGGTTGAACGGGGCTTCGATGGAGGAATAGCCATTGGCAAGTACGGGGATTGACATTTGCACAAGGTACACGGTGCTTAAAAACCTGCAGCCGTACGAAATTTGGTGGTAAGCACAACGGGAGCTATTGACCATTTACAGTGAGCAAACAATAGTTTTACCAGAAGAGCCCATAAGACTGAATGTGCAGGGTACCACACGTCATGGTGGTGCTGGTTGCTTGGTTGTTGTGTCAGCGAGCAAATCGGGAAATGGCCTGGAAAACTCTGAGCTTCGGTCGCGTGATGATTGAAAGCCTTATTTGTGTGGTGACTTACCAGCGTTGCTCATTAACAAACTAGATAACTACGCTCAAGATCAGGTGACGCCTGAATTCTTGTTGTTACCCTACCGAACTGAGTGCGGGCGTTCGGTGACCCAGGCGTGACGAGAACCGCTCAGACCCAGCTTTTACTTGAAAGAGGCGTGGATATATGTATCGTTAATGGTGCTTCATGTTGCCCATGTGACCCCACTGAAATGTCTGCTTTGTGGTGGTGAATCACTTTGGACTTTCGTCTGAACTGAAGTTGAAGGAAGTGTTGGTCGTCACAATGTAATAATACACAATGCAGTTTTAAGATCATGCTTCTCAACCAAATAATATTTTTTAAAAATGACTGAGTTACAGGTAAACAATAATTATGCGGACTCTTGGACAGACTGCCAAGTTGGCTGCTTCTCTATCTCAGCTGATAGCTGGGGGGAATGGTACGAGCGGCGCTCGTTGCTGTTGCGGTGATGGCCACCTAGTGGGAATACAGCTGGGTCGAGCACCGTTCGGAGTCGGTTGAAGACTAGCGATGTCTGCACTAAACTGTCGCGTCTCCGTCGCCACTTGAGCCCATTGAACAGCTACGTCGTCGTAGCCCTCCACGAGCCGCTTGATAGCGTCGAGTGACTGTGACAGGCGTGGAGCCATTACGTCGTCAGTCTGCAAAACTCGGGAGTAACGCGGTTGAGCGACTGGCGAGCTTCTGCACGTGACCTCCAACGTTTGTTGGGATGTGGCAGTCGTTTGGTCCTCGGAAGGGTACCAGTGAAGACTTGATCGCTGTGGTCCATTCCTTGTATTCGACAGTGTTAGCCGCACGCATCACAAGCTGCTTGCCGCGTCGGCCGTACTGGAGACGGATGATGTTTTGCGCGAGGTCTTTCGTGAAGCATTGGGTCAGTCGAACCGTGCTATCGAGTGGGATGACTAAGAGGCCACCAGCGAAGCGTGATCGCTGGATGATCAAGGCAAAACCCGAAGTCTCGGGATCTTTGGTCGCGGCGCGCGCCATCGAGGAGGCACGGGCGATGCATACGCTAGTGAGCAGCCTGGATCCATCAATTCAAGTCAAAGATGGTGGGGATTAGCGGGGATATGCGGCTAGGCGGCTATTTGACACGTACCAGAGGAGGCCACAAAATTGGATCTGCAGATTACCGGAGGTCATAGCGGTAGCCGCAGTAAGGAGCGGGGGAGGGGGAATGTATTCTTGACGGGGAAGGTCTGGAAATGATATGAGAACTGAGCGGTGGGCCAAAAGTTTGGATCCTCCTTTCACGAGACAAAAAGGTTCAAGTAAAGTGTTTTACAGACACAGTTCGCTTTGTTCACTTTTGTGAACGCGTATTCTCGCAGGTAATTATTGGCCTGCCCAGCAGTTTGATACACGGCGACTGCAGTTTTTAATTACAAGTCGTCAAGCAAGTGAGAACAAGACGCTTTGAGTGGTTTTCGTGGGTTGGAGTCAGCTGTAGGAAATCTGAAGTTACCCTGACAATGGCTTAGCTGCTGGAACTTTTTAGTTTAGAAGTGCCATGTGGAGCCTGAATCCATCCGCTGACCACAAGCTCATGTGGCCTCTTTGCGGTGACGACGGCTACCAGAGACCAACAAAGGTGAACCCGCATTGATGATACGTCCGCAACTCTGTCCAGTAAAAGCGAGTTTTCGTCACGCTTGACATTTCGGTAGTGTGGCAAAAAGAATTTGGCCACCGCATGATCTTAAATGTAGCCATCAAAGTCACGAGGCTGTCAAAGCAAGTCGTATCTTGACCTAATACATGCGTGTAGGTAGACAGACACGTGAGTAATAGCTGTGGCCAGCCTTTAAGTTCAAGCTTCCGATGTCAGCATAAATCAAGGATCAAGCTTGTATACGCCGACGCCAGCGATCCGGATCCTATCAGCTCAGATCCGGCGACTCCTACCGAGCTGTTGTGGCAACAAACCAATACAACAACGGTCCGAGCCTGTAGTTGCTAACTCCAAGAACAGCCTTGACGCGTTGATCACTGGATTCGGAGACCCTCTTACTGTAGTAACGCAATTCAGCCCCGATGAATTCTATCTGCCATCTCATTCATCGTGGAACTTGATCTCTACGGGCCCACTTCGCGAAAGCTAAGGGGGATCTTTAGCTCGTCATTTCCTAATTTACTGCCAAACTCCAAGCGAGTATCAGTCTTTGACCAGCTTCACCCACAAGCTACTACTTCTACCATCACCGCAATGACGTGCGGTAAATTCCACGTTCAATCGTGCAGCCTCATTTGGTAAGTTTCCTTCCATACACTCGAAATTTCCAAGTACTGACGGCGTGTTGGGATGTTTGCGCTTGCAGGTTCCTCAGCACCATCTACCTGGTTCGCACTGCGCTACCAAAACGAAACACCGAGGCTGCTTTTAACCTCGTTATCCAGCGTCCACGCGTCGCGGGCGGCACACTGACTATCCCCCTCGACTCCACCGTCAAGATCGTGAACGATATTGGCAGCGACACAGCACGCAACATCATTCGTCTGGAGCACGGCTCAAGCTGCAAGCGTCTGGTGATGAGGGCGTCGAGCTCAGTGGAGCACGAGAGATGGCTTTACGCTATCGCGACGGCTACGACGCAGTTTGTGGAGCACACCACAACTTGCGACTCATTCGACACTTCCGAGCGCCATCGTGCGAAGAATTCACAACCAGCGGTCACGACACAGCAACCCGCTCAACACGCAACACGCTCACAAGCCTCCCATGTAGCTCCAGCCAACTCAAGCTGCTCACTCGGACGAATGCTTCGGCAAAATGTCCCGAATGTCATGCAATTCTTCACGACCGTCGGCCAAATCATCGCGGCGGCTACCTAAGCCTCCACTTTAACAGGTGACGGCAGTGGAGCATACTTTCTCCTGATCCTTCACGGATACTTTCATTAAGCAATACCATCTCTCGATGACATACCCTCGACGCAAAGACACCCGCTAGTTCTAACGCGATAATTGTTCAGCTAAAGAATCCCTGCAACAATCGCAACGGTCGATAAGCTTACAGTGGCACCTCCCTAAATGAACCCCTCTAACTGACTATGTGTTCCCTATCTGGTTAGGATTCCTCGACTGCAAACGGGATTATATGGATTTCACTATAGGTGTTCTATAACTGATCAAAAACCTCTTTATTCTCTAAATGGTCGCCATTATTGGCGCCTCAACCCTCTAAATGGACGCCGTAGTAATTGGGGACCCGGGTGGTGGACCCGGGGGGTTTCGCAGTTCGAAGCTAGCTTGTACGGATACCCTTACAGGGAAACGATGTACTCGGGCATCCCCTGCGCCTGCTTCACAGCCGCAGCATCTGCCTACCTGGTAATCTACCACGGTACAACCAAGTGTACAAAGTTTGATCGCTTATTTTCAAAGGCATTGCCAGTTCATATACATGTATCGTCACTCCAACGAATTGGTACTTCAACGATTGGGTTTGACAAACCCACCGTGATGATTCTACCTCCTCCTGCTCGTCGAATGAGGGCTCCACGGATTTAGTTTTAACTTTAGTTCTTTGTAGTTAGTAGAACGGTTATCAACAGCGAGGTAATCAACGTAATTTCCTTCCTTCCTGCTACTGAAATGTGCGCTGATGCCCAGGCAGAATCCTTTATTGTTTAGATTGCAGTGTTGTGCTCGGAAACTTACAGGTGACGATAAAACAAAAAAAAATGTGCATTCGAATAATTAGCGCTGCCAGGATAACTGCTCAACCAAACTAGCAGGATAACCCGATGAAGCCAGCAATTTGTTTCAAGTTTGATGAGTTAAAACTGAGGTCTAGATTTCGATCGCGTGTAGGAGTAGGATACACCGGGTGTTCGTCCTTCGCTTTGACGATGTCCACCCGGTGCTTCCTCTCGCACAGGAAGCGCGGCGTACAGCAACAACGTAGGAGCATTCAAACTCTGTTTGATAAAACATGGTGCATATTTTGTCCAGGTCGCCTGAAGATTTAACAACAACAAAAAACTGTCAGCTTTGATTCGTCCAAGTGTGATATTGCCATTTATCAAGTACTAGGGCCCCGCGAAGGCTGGGATAGGAGGTTTTTGGGATAAACTCCTATATTACTTTTTTTACGACCCACAGTCATCTGCCCGGTCATTCGCCTCAACGGCCAAGATGCAAGATACGACTAGGCAGTAATTATACACAGTAATGAAACGAACCTTGCTCGAGATCTAGCTCGTGGAGAAATGAAAATGCTTGCATTTGTATGCTACTAAAGTCCTGTAGTAGTCCGTTCGATTCAATCATTCACTTTGCATCGCTCCATCCGATTCGGTATATGCTACTGACCCATACCGGTTCAAACTGCCCACGCTTTTGGGGGCCCAGTGCGGCACCGGGGTCATACCGGTTTCTGGAAATGTACCAGTTGGGTGTCAAGAGAGGTCTTATTTTGACTTGACGTACCACGGATATAATCCTATTTGGTCTGCGATAGCAGCACTAACGTTGCTTCCTATCCCAGTATTAATCTGAAGGTACTGTATGCATGTAGCAGTAGGATGATCTGAACTAATATCGGTAATAATGTACTTTGAACTTGTTTTGACAAGAACAGGATCATTCTACACCACCAGTTCGGTGGATCTCTGCGGGTCGTATTGTAGTCTCACACAAGACAAGCTTAAATCATCCTAGTCTTCATAGATAAATGCCTAAGCTAGTGCAGCTAGCCTTTAGCTTTTTTCCGGAGAAGACGTACCACCAGATGCAGCTCTTTTTGAGTCTCCGCTGAATGAATTCGTTCGTCACCGTATAGGACGTCACCGCATTGCCGGCGGATAGAGTTGGGTTCGGATTAAAAAAAAATTGTTGAACGAAAAAAATCGAGCTATACTTCCTATCTTGGATCGCACAACCTAGGACTTTAAGTAGTTTTTTGCGATGTTTTAGTGGAATGTTTTATCTATTGTAAAAACCGGACCGAATGTCCGCCTCCGCGAACCCCTTAATGCGTCCCGAGTGCTAAATAAATCATAGTCAAAACAACACGCATATCAGGGTATTAAAACGGGTTGAGAATAATAAATCTGAGTCTAAAAGCGATTTGAATCGGCTGGCTGACTGGCACTCCTCAAGATGCCTTCCGCCCACCAACTCTGCATACACCCCATGTATTCAACGGACTACAGGTGGCGCGCCGTCACGCTCCACTACGTCTACTCTGTCCCGTGCGAAATCGTCGGACGAGTGCTCGCTGTATCTGGCCGCGCAGTGCGGAGATGGTACGCCCAGTTCAAGTCAACCGGGCATGTTCTGGCCAAGACACCCGAAGAGCGCCCTGTATTCTTACCAGCGGTGGTCACGTACGTCTCGGAGTACGTAAAGGAGCACCCATGCCTCTACGTGGAGGAACTGCTGGAGGAAGTCAAGCGCCGTTTTCCGGATCAGCAAAAGGGTTTGTGTAACGGGGTTACACGCACAAGTGGCTACAGTCACTTGTAACTCTAACAGACACGACGTCTGTTAGAGGTTCGAAAGACTTTCTCGTCCTTGGTGTAGACACACCAAAGGCTACATACATTTAGGATCACCACGACGGGTGGTCCATAGAGACTTAGGATTCCTATTAGTTGAGAGCAGCATCTTTTAGCCAATGAGTGACATGCATAGCATTGGAATTCTGCCCTCCAGCCGGTGGCAGATTCCTAGTTTAGAATATTACACTTAGAGGAAGTCAGAAACATAAAACACAAATAGCAGTTCTCATCTTTTACCAAAACCCGCTACTTGGAGTCTTTATCTTGTTTAAAGTATACTCGTGGATCTCGAGTATACTTAACTCAAGTAAAAGAAACTTACGCTTCCTCATACACGTGCGCATACGTGTAAGCCGTAGTAGTGAGCCAAGGTAGGCCCATTACAGTTTGTCGGCAACGTGTCTTCTGCGGCTGCTCCGTTTCGAGCTGAAGTTGTCGCGCAAAGTGCTTGAACGGCGTGCACGAGAGGCGTTGCCGTTTGAGGTGGACACGTATCTGGCCAAGCTGCGATCGTTCTACAGCTACCCCGACCAGCTTGTGTTTCTTGACGAAACATCAAAGAACGGCTTAGATTCTATGCGGCGTTACGCGTGGTCTAAGAGGGGTGAGAAGGCAGTTGCACACGTGCCTTTCAAGCGCGGCAGTCATGTCTCTATTCTAGCTGCATGTGACGTGACGGGGTTTATCGCGTGGGAGACTACGCGCGGCACGTTTACGCGAAAGCGCTTCCATCGCGCGTTTGTACGTCAAGTCGTCCGTCATTTGAATCCGTGGCCTTTGCCCAGGTCGATCGTTGTGTTGGATAATGCCCGCATTCACACGTACAAGGAGCTGGAGGACGTCGTGCACCGATGCGGAGCTGTTTTTTTGTACCTGCCGCCGTACTGCCCTCACCTCAGCCCATCGAGGTGATGTTCGCCCGGTTGAAGCAATGGTTGGTTAGGCACGCCAACCTGGTGTTCCCGCTGTACCCCGAGCTGGTGTTGAAGGTGGCGATGCGGAGGTGCTTGACGTGCGAAGACCACGGAGCGAACTTGTTTCGACACTGCGGATACGCATCGAGTGGAGTGAATGTGGCGGCGTTTACTACAGATTAGCAAGGGGAGGCGGAGCGGAGGGGGATGGGGTGGGTGGGAGGAACGATTTAACCGAGCGTAGCGAGGCAGATTTAGAGGAATATGCATTGCTTAACAGTAAAAAGTATATAGTCTGCTCCTCGCTTAGTCGCTCTTGTGTTCGTCGTCCGAGACGTCTTCCTCAGGCTCCGCAGGTGGCTCAAATGACGAGAAGACCCCGCTGGCAAGTAAATTGTGGCTCGGAAGCGCCAACACGCGGCGCAGCTCAGCGACTTCGATCGTTAGCGGCATCTCAGTAGACCCGTTAAAGCGAACCGAGATAGTTTGGTGAGTAGGCTCTTCCAGAGCGGTTTCCTGCTCGCGCATAGCGTCTATATGCTGGGCTTGGGCAAATGTTGCCGTCTCGGGCACCGTGAGCTCGGTTCCTTCCGGCTGGCGGGCATGCGAAAACGACCAATGGGTTCGGGCAATCTAACCAACTTGGAGGTCGGAGCGCTGCTCCAGGAAGCTGTCGATCGTTCGTGCTGCCTCTTGTATGCGTGGGGCGGTCGCGCGTCGGGTCCCAGCTAAGTTGCTTTTAGGTTTTCGAGCTGCAAGTACAAACACCTCTATTTCAAACGGACCTGTATTCTTCGTGCGCCGCTGGTAGATAGAAAAGGAAGTCGCCACGAGCGATCCAAACGTCCCCTCCGATACAGAAACCCAGTCTCGTTGAGGTGCCCCCTGGCTTAGTTTCATGTAGATGCTGGGGTCGGAGCGAATAGTTTTCTTCCCGTAGGTACTGAGCTTGCTGCAACACGGTCTTCAACCTGCTTACAAAAGTCGCTGTAGCCATGTTCGCGCTCGTCAAATGAGAACACAGGCTTCTCGACAGGGACATTGGTTCGACTCGTCTTCGTAATTTCCCCGATTTAAACAGCGACACGCACGGGAGTCGGCATATTGGATAGTGGAGTTGTTAGCGCGGTGTCTGGTCGAATGCCGATCTCAAAGTGGGCATTCTGCGTTGCTGCCGTCTAAATGAAACCCCTGGTATAAATAGGCGTTCCTATTTAAGGCCACCAATCAGGGTACGGCGACGCTATTCTGGGTGAGTCGACCTAATAAGAAAAACCCAGGCTATTAAATCAGGGTATAAATCGATCGATTTACAATTGAAATGGGCAAAGCAGCCGGTTTCACAATAATCCATCCGGATTAATTCTAGTGAGTGTGGGGATTCACACAATATCAGCCCGCCGACAGTTTATGTCACGGCAAACTCAGTTGACCACACGATTTTCAATCTCTCTCTCTCTCTGAGAAATTATGCATGCAAAAGAAAATCTGTGTCTGAAAGAGGAGGATATAAGTTATGCCTCATAACAGATCGAATCGATAATTTTACCGCTAATGGAATGAGTAAGTACTATGTTGAGAGCTTTGAAGCTGCATGTACAGTAGCATAATACGATCCAGTGATGTGGCGGCACCAGTTGTGTCCAAGGTTAGCATCATTAGCACCGATGCCTCATATTGATCGAAAGAATACAATGCTTGCTAGTACACAATGCATTGTTCGTCGTAGTAGTCCGCTAATGCACAATACGTTGTTCGTCGTAGTAGTAGATGGAGCCCCACTTCCTCTGATGGCATCTGACATCAATCTACAGTAGAAGGAAAAAAAAAGAATAGATATCCATCAAAACCTGTAAGTGTCATTCAGACCGATTCGATCGATTGCTGTATGATGTTGTGTGAATGTTGTTTGACGTCATCCGCACGGGGTGAAGTGACGAATGTAGCGTGAATGTCGTTCAATGTCATCCAAAAACCTTCCCCAATCGACAGTTCTTCGAACTGCGAATAGATCCAAACTCATATATATTTTTCTCAATCACTTGCCTGCCTCCTCCCACGTATGCCATTGCTACCACTACTCCCGCCACAACAAATCGAGCGAAGAGAGAAATTTTATTTGGGATGCTAAGTTGGAACAAAGAGTTTGCAGTAACTAAATACTGATAAATAAGCTAGCCACAGTATTTTACAATCAGCGCAGCGTACATATATATTTTACGACAAACTAAAATATTATGATGTCGAGACAACTAGGGCTATGCAGTAGATACCAAGCAAAAGATAAAACTGCAGGCATGGTGGCAGGATATCGGGACAACAAATATTCCCATAACCTCACTGTATTGAAACTCACGTACAACCTGAGGGGATGCGATTCTGCTAATACCAATGAGAAGAAGGAGTAGGAACAGACAATACCGCGCCTACCGTTAGTTCTGTCTGTGTGAAGACGAAACAAAACAAGAGTACAAAAATGCTGGAGGGGTACCAGGTAAAGAAAGCCCTTGTACTGTGCACCGAACAGATGAAAATGTAGCCATTAGAAGTGTAGCCATTTCTTTATCTGATCAATTCTTTAACTGAAACACCGAGCGAACTAGGTGTCATTTATAGAGGTGTCACTGTACTGTGTTTTGGACGCCAAGTCGAGAATACATCTTCTGCCAGTAGTTCATTAATTTCTCACTCGTTGACGATAACCCGCGGCAAGTTCCATGCTCATCTCAATCACACGGTCTCTCACTCCTAACGTAGTGCTTGCTTCAATTCAATCACACCCAGTAGCCTTCAGCGCCTAAAAGTGACCTGCATCGCCATCGTACTGTCAGACAGCGCAAGACCCTTGCGTATGCAGCAGCTCAGCCCAAATTAGCGCAGTGTCTCATTGGTTGTTCTCGTGCACAAAGACGAAGATTCCAAGCCGAGTTGAAGACGAAAGAAAGCATTCTTACCCCCCCCCCCCCAATGCGCTTATTCACGCCGCCGCCGCCGCTGCTGCTGCTGGTCCTCCTCGAGCTGCTCGTTGCTCTATCGCTCGCTCTGCCCGAGGGCGATGACTCGGACGTGCCGTTCTCGCTCCGTTACGTCCCTGGCTTCTTCAAGCAGGGCACCGCGTCCGTTAAAGTTCCCGACTCCAACCCGGAGCATCTCGGGCTACTCGACAACGTCACGTGGGGAGACGTGGAAGCCTACATCAACGGCCGAGCCACGCAAGGCGTCCAAGTCAAGCTGTTCCTCTTCTTACGCCATGGAGAGGGCATCCACAATGTTGCGGAGGCCAAGTACGGCACCGAAGAGTGGGAACGATACTACCGCAAACTGGCCGAGTACACGGACGCAAAGCTGACGGCTCTAGGTGTGCAACAGGCCGAGAAAGCGTCAGAGAGACTCGATACAGAGCTCAAGAGGGGGCTCAAGATCGAGGAAGTCGTGGTCTCGCCCTTGGAGCGCACTCTGCACACGGCCATGATCGCGTACCGGAACCACAAGGGGATCCCCAAGCACTCGATGGAGTGGCCTCGTGAGACCATCGGCGTCTGCACGTGCGATATGCGAGGCACCATCTCGTCCAAGGCGCTGCAGTACCCAAGAATCGACTTCAGCGACGTCTGGAGCGACGCGGACCCGTGGTGGACGCCGGACCACCGCGAGACGGACTCGCACATCAACGACCGCGCGCGCGTCTTCCTGAACCGCGTCTTCTACGGCCACAAGGCCTCGCACCTCGGCGTGGTGACTCATAGTGGAATGACACACGCTGCCATGCGAGTCATCGGCCACCGCGAGTACAACGTCGCCACGGCCGAGATCGTCCCGTTCCTCCTGGAGGACACCAACTCCATGCACACGATTCCGTCGGTTTTATCCGGCAAAGGCAACAACTAAAAGGGCGCAAAGTAAATGCAGCAACCGACTTAAAACTGTTGTTTGAATGGAGAGAGAAGCAAGTCACTTGTCGATGTCGTCCACGAACGCCTTGGACCACTTGCGCACCGTCTTGTCCATGGCGGCGTCCACGAAGCTGTCGATGGGGTGGATGATCAACGGAATCACGCCCAAGCCGATGGCTGTAGGTGCCCAGCGTCGAACCACCGGCGAGCTCTTGGCCGCTCGCTGCACTGCGAACGAACTCATCGCCACCTGCAGAACCAACCGAAGGTCTCCGTTAAGTATCCATCGCCAATACATTGACCCCTACCATTCTACAGTCTTCTTACCACTCGGTTGATAGTGAAGCCGGGGATGATGACGCTGGCCATGGTCTGCCACGCCAGCGTGTCGATTGTGGCGTCGGCCACTACCGCGTTGCGCTTACGGGCCGAGACGCCCTCCGCCACAGCCTTCGAGTGGGCCTTGGAGGCCTTGTCGTAGGTGTCCCCCAAGACGTAGCCAAAGGCCACGAGGTAGGACGGCACTACCAGTCGAGGCACAATGGGGCGGAACGACTCGCCCAGCTCATTGGCGTACCCCAGGTAGCGCACCAACGAGTCGCGCCAAATGTCGGGCTCTTGCTGCTGGTCCTTCATGGCTTTGTGCCTTTTGCGTATAAGCTTAAACCGAAATTTGGTTTAATTTCGGACTTAATTTCGGACAGGTATTGAAGTCGTGACCTTTTGGTGGTCGTCACATGGCTACATTGTAACGGTTGCTTGCTGGTACGTGAGACTTTTGCGTCGACGATGGCGGAGGAGTCGACGGAGGCGCTCGCGAGGTCGCAGCTCGAGACTTTGTACAGACTGGGGATCCTCGAGCGCAGTTCCCACGACGTGGAGCAGGACCAACCGCGCCAGAATGCAGACAGTCGACTGAACCAGCGACACGAGGCCTTCCTCGCAGCGCTGCCCCCTCCAGCAGCTATCCACTCAATGAACACTAGACCTTCACCATTCTTTGCAGACGACTTGGACTCCAGCAGAGCTTACAGTGATGGTAGAAGCAGCGAGCATTACTCCGAAAGTAGCGGTGGAGTGCTGTCAAACTCGCTGCGGACGTCGAGATCTCATCGGCACAGCAACCTCCTCGCTCGACGGAGTAGATCTTCAAGTTCATCAGTATCCTCATCAAACTCACCGAATCCTGGGCCAGCGAAGCGAGACCGCCGCGCGCTTCGAATGTGGTTTCGGCAGTGGAGAATCTTCGTTCGAGGCCGTCGAGAGAAAACTCGACGTCGAGCAGCAGCGGACGTGCTCCTGAAGCAGAAAGTGATCACCAAGTGGGCTTGCTTTCTTAAGAAACGACAGTATGAACACGAGAAGAAACGCCTTCTTGACGCTTGGAAAATATCTCGAGCAATTTCCCTGTGGGCGCAATGGAAACAACGGCGTCGAGCGGTGCGACGATTGTTAGACGGAGGACGGAGTTCCTTCATGGGGAGATTGAGTCAGCAGCGAGTATGGCGGCGCTGGATTCATTTCTCGAAACGGAGACTGTGCGTGCGTAGCGTTTTACTTGAGCGGATTGGCTTCATCCATCGTCGGCTCCTTCGTGCCGTATGGACAGAGCTTCGAATCCACGCTTTCCGGTCTCGACAAACCCGTCAAACACTCGATCGATGCTTTCGAGGCATGCGTAAGCTCCAGGTAATCCAAGAACAACAACGTGTAACGTGTGCGCAGTACCAAGTAAAGGCGAATCTAGCGCGAAAGCGAGAGCTGCTTCGTCGATGGCGCACTTTCGCTCATTCACGTTGTCGCGATAAAAGGCTGGCGTGGAGGGTGCAGTTTGATGTGAGTCGGCGGAGGTTTTTCTTGTTGTGGTGTGAAGCTGCTTGTGTTGCTAACCGTATCGCACGATTGCGCGAGAAAATCACTCATCGAACGCTTCGTCAACACTTGATCACATGGAGAATTGTAACACAAGCGATTCATCATGGCGATCGAGTGATGGAAAGTCGAGATAAGGACATTCGGAAGATCTACTTCCAAGCGTTTAAAGACCAGACCAAATTCAGCGCCCATTGCAGACGTGTACAGGTAGCAGTAACTCACCGACGTCTATCCAGAGCTGTATTGTATCTGCACGTGTGGGCAATTGAGAGGAAACGCAGGGGTGACGGAATTCATCAAATACGGAGCAAGTGGCAAAACCGTCTACTGCGCTGCACCTGGGTAGAAGGCTGGCTCAGACTTCACCACAAGAGACGAACGCTTAATCATGCGTGGTTTACTCTCCAAGCCCGTCATTTCAAGGCTTGGAAGCGATTTCATCGGGCCCAACAGGATTATTACTTTCAAGAAGAGCGCGCTGAAGTGCTGCACTCCAAGTTTTGCTGCCAACGCAGCCTCATGAGCTGGAAAACGTACCGCACAATGCGGCTGGAACATCGACAACAACTCGTAAAGGCGCAAGAATGCTATCAGAGACGCTTGATGCAACGAGGAGTTGTTACTCTGTGGGGTGCAGTGTACCAAAATGCCCAGAACTCGCTACGGAGTCATCACCTCAGACAAAACCTGCGTATTTCCGCTAAGAAGCGCCACTTTCGAGCATGGCAAACACTAGCGCAATCGAAGCGACAAATGGCAGAGCGAGTGCACGTTCTACGGCAGAGCTCCACCTACCAGAGCTCTATCTGCAACCCGTCTCGACGAGCGTGGGATCGGTGGACAAGTTTTGTTTCTTTGTGTAAACTCCGCTACCGTTGTGATCAACGTTATCGGTTGCGTGTGAAGCGTCAAGTGTTGGTAAATTGGCACCAACAAGCACATTTAGAGGCCCGCTGTCGTGTATTTGGTTTGCGCAGAAGTATGAAGTCGGTGGAGAATCTGTTTGCCTGTTGGAAATCTCGGGTGGAAAAGTGGAGAAAAGTGGGTGTGATTTGTGAACTGGCCGAGCGGGTCTATGAGCGAAAGTTGTGTACTCGAGTCATGCGAGACTGGCGCCGCTGGTCCAGTTATCATCATCGTGTTCGTCTCTGTGGTAATTCTATACAGCGTGCACTCGAAACGAAGCTACAGGCGAATGCGTTTCTCGTATGGAATCAGACGTTTCATACTCGGCAGTGTTTCGCCAAGCTACGCCACGCCCGACAACAGCGTCACGTGCGACTATGCTTCAATAGCTGGCGCTGCTACTGTGCGCAGCAGAAGGCGTTTGCGCGCAAGTTGACGCATTTCAACCAGGTGTATGGGATGTATCCTAAAACGTCGATTGTAGCACGAATGTGGTGTCGTTGGAAGCAAGCTGCAGACCAAAGCAGGCGCGCGAGGGTATTGCACAGAAAGTATTTATTCGGCCAGGCTCGTCGGTGTTGGACACACTGGAGAATTTTCCACGCTGCATGCCGCGCTCTCCGAGTCTGGAGGCGCGTTGCAGTGGCAATGTCGAGCAGTAACAACAAACTTGGGATGCGCATCCGCTGCTTTCGGGAATCCCAATACCGCGCTCTTCAAAGAAGCACGATGGATGAGTGGAAGTGCTTGGTTCAAAGGAGAAGGAACCTTCAAGAACGGCAGTCGCTTTGGAAACATCAGCTGAATCGGGAGCTGGAAGGAGCACACTGGAGCTCGCAACAAGCCACTCGATTTCATTTGAATAGTTGGTTTCGGAGGTGGCGTACCGCCCACAGCGAAGACAGCAATCTTGCCCTGGACTATTATCACACTCGACTGCTCCGAATAGTGATGCTGTCGTGGTGGAAAACTACCATCCATTCCAAGCAAGAACGGGTGCTAGTACAGGCACAGCAAACCATCGGCAAGCTCTCATACTATCATCCGCAACAGCAAGCCTATATGGCTCAAGCCCACCACTCCGGAAAGCAAACGCAGGGGAGAAAAGTTCCAAAGAGGAAAGCGAAGGTGGTGGTCCCAAGAAATACTGCTCATGTGAAAGCGGAATCTATGAGAAACATGCGCCGGATGCTGGACCCAACCGAAAGCCAAAGTTACTCTAGACTTTACGAGGAAGGCGGCAGAGAGATCTCATTCGCAGCGCCAAGCAAGCAGGATGTTGATGCTGCGCCTGCTGTGAAGCCTCACTACCAAAATTGTAGTCGACCTGCGGTACAGGTACAACCGAACACGTTGAAGACAGACCTTCGTGTAAACATAGAAAAACGCAAGATTATCGTTGCGGACCACGATATCGGGAACTATGCGGTGAGGACATCTGGCGAATCACTGCAACAACAAAGCGGGGCTACTCGGAGTAACCAAGAACAACCACGACCTCCCCACCCCGAAGACTCTCACCTAGACATGCAACGCCAGCTCCAGCAGAATCGTCTCGCAGCGTTCGAGCTCCAAAGCAACTCGCTTAGAAGTCAGTCGATAGAGGCCGACAATGAGCTCCCGTTGTTTGATGACGAGGAGCTGAAACTCGTAGCTGATGGTTTTAACCGTCGGGTACGCTACGCAGACCTTGATCATGCCCCTGAACAAGCCGTAGGTGTCGCTTCAAGTCTTCACCACGAACGAACTGTGAATAAGGGAAATTCCTATGACCAGCAGAGTGGATGGGTTTACCCAGACACAAGCAAACGTGAACCACAGTACACCGCGCTCGGTGACACTAAGCGGGGAGAGTATCGTGCTGTCCCAACCGCTCCAACGATGTTTGAGCCATCGCAGAGCTTGGCTCCAAGTATCACAAGCAGCTATGGAGAACGACAAGACAAACGTCGCGTCATCAAACCTCGCTCCGCAGCTCACAAGGCTCGAGTTAAGGTTGTCCGTTCAAGCGAAGCCGAAGAAAGACCGCTGGCTGACATTCTCGCTTTATCCGACGGCAGCGGACCAAAACTTTCAGCTGACGAAGGACCCACTGATGCAGATATACGCAGTGAGAGCGAAACTGAGTGGGATAGCTCAGTGATCCGAAAAATCGTCGGATCTTACGTCGATTCTATCGTGACAAATGGCGATGCTGATAGCAATAATGATGGCAGGGTGAAGAAGAAACAAACGAGGCTGCGTACCTTTTTTCGACTGGTTCGAGATCTGGCGCTGTTTCAGAATGATTTCTACATCGACGAGATGAGCAAAATCTACGACGCCAACTTTAAAGGAGAGTTCATTGCTGACAAGCGTGAAGAACAAGCAAGACTTGAGCTATTTCTCGAACAAGTTGTGGAAAATCACCCGGCTTATCGAAAATACGTCGACCTCACCCTCCGACGAACCTCGCGCTCTCCTGTTCCATCGTGTGCGTTGAATTGGCTTGCTCGACATCGTTTGCGACCGAATCTCTTGCTCCAAAAGCGAGCACGGATCCGACCTCGAAAGACAAAAGAATTCTGGATCTGGGAGCAAATACCCGAAGATATGGATATGGCACTGGAAAAACTGCTCCCTGCCATTACAAAATATATGCGGGTGCTAGGACAGTTCTTTCTCCGTCAAGCCGTCCAAAGTTCCTCGACAGCAGGCAAACCCCAGGACTATCGCATTAGCGGCACTGCGTTTATCAGCCTAATGAAGCAGGTCCGCGTGTTTCCGCAGCTTTTCCATCGCCGCGAGCTCGAAAATGCTGTGAGACTATCGAGCTGTTCTTCCCCCGAGAGCGAAGAGCTCAATTTTCCAGAGTTTATTGAAGCGTTAGTACGATGTTCGTGTACTCTTCGATGGGGAGAACTCGATGGGAACAAACCGACAGCAGATACGAACGATACCGTGGTCGTTATCAAGTTTGTGATGTTGATATTTGCCATGGAGGGGCAGGGAACGGTGCTGAAGAAGCGGAACGAGGACGTTGGAGCGATTTTGGGGTTTCTAGGAGAGCAACAGAAGAAGAAGCAGGCGGAGAAGATGATCCGTTTCCGCAAGATGCTGTCGGATAACAAGCGGCGAGTGCAAGCGTCGAGGAAACACCAGATCCCCACTGTATGGAATCAGGTGCGCCTTCAGTTCTCTCCTGCGTCGTCTCCTGCGAGGTCCCCCACGAGATCACACGATACGTTTGACGAGCTGACGGAGTCCTGGGACGGAGGCTCTCCTCGACGCATATCGACTGAACCTTTTGTATTCGACGCACAAACGAACCAGCCTTTTGGACTTGAGGTGTCGCCTACAAAGAGTGTAGAATCGATGAATGGCCAAGAAGATGATCAACATCTTGTGGATGCCGCAGAATACGTGACGGAAGTACGCGATCCACACAACGCGAGGGGTGATGGTATTGATACAGGCAAATTTAACTCGTCGTCGCGTGAAGAAACTCTATCAGTGTCCACAGATCAAGTAGTCGATAGCAGCTCCAGCTATGTTGAATCAAGTGCTGAGGCAGCGTCGACCCAGCTCCTTTCGAGAGTGGCTACCGGTATTCCAACCGAGAGCAGTAATGCTGGTCACAAAGAAAAAATTTCTGTTACCAACAGTGCAAACTCAGTAGGTGACGCTGGAGAGGCCACGAGCCGTGTCGAGATAACTCCAGTGCAGCCTCCTGGACTGGCAGAGCCCATGGAGAAGGACGAGTTTCTTCGCGAAATTCTCGACAGCATCGGCGACGTTGAACTGATGCTCAATCAACCGAGGTTTGCTGGCAGCAACTTCCCCAGGAGCGGTAAGTTCGATAGCTTTTACCACAGAAGAGATTCGGATGATTGACCCACCCCCCACCCCGTGTGGCTTCATTGTTATCAGGTAAACGCCACCAGCAGAGGACACCACCTGTAACTGCATCCATGCTTCAGATGCAGAGTGCGTCGAGTAGAGTTCAAGCTGGGTCGGTGGATTTCATTCCGTCTCTGAACGATCTAGCTGCAGAGAGCCTTTCATACAGTTGCAACGACTGGCAGACGCCTGGGGATGATGCGGATATGGCGTCGGAGGTCCCAGTGAGAGATCCAATGCTAAATTACCTCACGGACGTCGAGCGCTTCACGGAAAGCACAGGTTTAGTTAGCTATACGCGCGCATCGGTGGGCCTCTAGAACTAACACTCGATGCCTCGCAGACAATACGAGCCTGGTAGCAATTGCAGACTTCTCAGGGCTTCCATTTGAAGCAGTTTCGCCTTCGAAGGTGCGTTCTAGCTGCCTAATGTCGGGGTTCCTAGCATTGGCTAACCCATCTTCGCCCCAACGCTCTCGATCAGTGCACTAGCAATCACAGCTCGGATACTTGGGCCGCACAGGAGATCCGACCTACAGAAGAAGTCACAGCAAGCACTGCATCCCAGCCACCGGCAGATCAAAATTGAAACTTTGAAAGTCGATAAAGTAAGCGGACTAATTCATGATGAGCACACGAAAACCCTGCGTTGAAAGCCCCCACCTTCGCTGCCTGCGTCCTCGCATCACAAATATGTTGAGTCGACGTCGTCGAAGTACGGGTGGCGCAGCGCTTCTTTTGCGCTGATTCTTGTTCCTGGGTCGTAGCGCAGCATGGACTGGAGGGCAGAGCACCAACTCAATATGTTAGAACTGTAACGAAACACGGCCAAGCAAGGATGTCCGTATATACCTCCAGCAAGTGCAGTCCGCTCTCCTCTAGGTTCGGGAAGAGCTCTCGCAAGTCCTTCCTCTTCCACTTGGGGAACGTGGGCGCGTAGTCGCGCAGCTTGGTGACGCCAGGCCACGACGACTCGTTCGGCGTGCCAAGGGTCCTGGTAGTAGTAAGAAAACCATGGAGTCAGCCACTACTCCACGACACCACAGTACAGCTTGATATCAGTAGATACTCACCTAAAGATACGGTAGAGCTGGTCGATCTCCGAGTCACCGGTGAAGAGCGGCTTCTTGGAGACCATCTCGGCGAAAATGACGCCGACGGACCAAATGTCCACCGGAGGGCAGTAGACCTCCTGGCCGAGCAGGATCTCAGGCGCGCGGTACCACAGCGTGACCACCTCGTGCGTGTACTTCTTGATCGGGAGGCTGAAGGCGCGCGCCAGCCCAAAGTCGGCGATCTTGAGCTCGCCCGTGTTGTTCACCAGCAGGTTCTGCGGCTTCAAGTCACTGCACGCAGCCACAAACACCTCTATCAGATACTACTCCACAGCTTCATCTCGCCTGCAGTTAAACAACTATATCGTACCGGTGCATGATGCCGCGTGAGTGCGAGAACGCGAGGCCCTTGAGCAGCTGGTACAACAAGCTCTGCATTGCATTAAGATGCAGCAACACAGCGTGTCAGTCGCCTCATCCTTCAAGACCATACAAAGCCCACTCAAACAGCAAGCCGGACCTTGATCTGCGCCGGCTCGAGCTTGCCGAGCTTGTGCTCCATGAAGCGCTTGAGGTCCTTGTCCATGAACTCGAACACGAGGAAGAGCTTGCCGTCCTCCTGCAGGCAGTCCAGCAGACTAGATACGCAGCAGTAGAGTACAGCACACTACAGTGAGCTCCATATCACTGTAATACAGCACGTTGCCAGCCTGTTGTCGCCGCCGTGCCTGACGATGTTGGGGTGCTCGAGCTCGCGCAGCACCGAGATCTCGCGCAGCGCCGTGCTGGGGATGCCGTCGTCCTCCGTCTCGAGGCGGATGCGCTTGAGCGCCACGACCTTCTTGGTCTTGAGGTCCAGCGACTTGTACACGACGCCGTACGTGCCCTCGCCGATGGAGCCGCCCTTCTCGATGCGCTGGTAGCGGTCCATTGTCTGTGGCCTGTCCACGAGCGGATACAAAATTGAACTTTTCGCTGTTGACTCCCGCGCTTTTTGCAGGGCGGAAGAGGTGGACGCTGTGGACCACACCATGTGTGATGTGGGCCAAATTTTGCTGCAGCATGTCACTTTTCTGAGGAAGCCCACGTCTTGTGTTTTGTAAGCGTCGAGCACATCGCTTTAGTGACTCTTTGTACAGGTTCTAAATTTTACATCCCCGTTCTAAAAAGTCTGCGTGCAGCAACGCCGACCACCACATTTTGCCAGCAAAACACAGTAAACACTTGCCAGGTCAAGGCCGACAAAAGCGAGCACGGAACAACAAAGACGTTCGCCTTGTCGAGCCGAAAAATGACCACGTTTCGACCCGCCTGCCATCGGTAATCGAGTCGATTACCATTTGTCCAGCAGCAGTGGACATTTAAAAGCTTCAAAATGTAGTCGTAGCAGCAGAGCTCAACCATAGCTCAACTTGTCGTACAACTTCATTTTTACTACAGTACGGTAGTATTTGAAAAGACCGAAGTCGCCCGGCCCAGGGCTCTGCAGGCTGCATGCAGTGCAAGCCCCTGCTCGTCCAATCTCACCTGGATGATGAGCAGGTGTTGGTATGCAAAGATGCTGCGCGCAATGAGTGGTCTGAGAAAATCATCAACGGACCTCGCAGCATACAAATACTATGTTTATCAGATGTTATATCGAGCCAGAAATCCGCAAAGCGAGAACAGCTGGGAGCAAGAATTCGGAGAGGTATTGAAGTGGCAGCTGAGTGTAGGTCAGCAGCGCCTCCAGACCTGTGCACAACTTATATGTACCAAAACTGTACCATTGTTTCAGTCTGAACTTCTTTTTGTACCACGTCTTCAAAGAGCGCTCAGCTCGGTTTAACACCTGCGTGAAGCCATGCCCCGTTAAACCCGATCGCGAGCCGACATGTCGAAGGCCCGGCGCTGGCGTGCGCGTTTGCGCCGAACCGCGGCGCTTCCGGGCGTTCCGCCGCCATTACCCAAAAAGCCGCAATTGGCCCCCTCCCCCCGCCCTTTACCAAGGAAGCAGCTTAAGAAAAGCAAACGATCAGGGAGACTATGTCTTTCTAAGTCGGTGTGTTTTTCGCGTGGTGGTCAAGATGATGTCTTGAAGATCGGTTTCAGCTCCTCCGTCCGTACTCAGCATGAATATGGACTAAGAGAAGATGGCAACAGCGTTTGAAGAACAAACGGAAGGTTAGAAATGATGGCGGCGTAGCACGGAGTTAGAAGGATGGTTCCCCGGAATGAAGAATTGAAGACAAGAGAAGAAGAAGCAACAAAGAACAAGACATAAAGAAGCGATCAAGTCGAGACAAGCAGCTCGAAGTACAAAAACAACAAGAACAAGAAGAAGATAACAAGTGGCAGCATGTTGCGCGACTCGGAAGAAGCGACAGCGTGGCTGCGCATGGCCGACCCCGTGAAGAACTGGAGCGACTGGCAGCTGGCGCTGGACAAGCCAAGCTTGTTGAGCAGCGGCGCCATCCAGACGGTGGAGATCGTGGAGAAGGCGGACGACGGCAAGCTGGCCCACGACGTGGACGACCTGGCGGCGATCTTCGAGGGCCTCGTGGACGGAGCGGACATCCAGCTCCCCTGCGACGACCTGGAGCAGACTGCCCCCAGCAAGGACGCGACCGCGGGCTGGATTGACACGCTGGACGACGACGTGGTGAACGTGAACGAGCTCTCGGCCGCGTTCGACATGCTGGTGGACGAGCAGGAGAAGGCGGCGGAGACGTCGGAGGACGACGAGGACGACGAGATGGAGGAGGCTGACAGCGGCGACGAGGCTAGCCCCAACGTCAAGATCATCCCGTCGGCCCCCGTGTGGGCCTCCATGGCCCCGCTGGACCCTCGCTCGTGCATCCGCACGCCGGTGTTCAAGAACCTGGACTCGCGTATCCCGCGCGTGTCGGTGCCTCGGATGGACCTGTCTTTCTCGCCCAACGGCGCGGTTGTGAAGGCTGCTGGTGCCCCCGGCGTCAGCCGCCCGCCGCTGTCGATGTCGCCCAAGAGCGAGAAGGCCAAGGTCGCCAAGTACCACCACGACCCCAAGACGTGCTGGATCTGCATGAGTTCCAAGACCCCGGAGAAGAAGCGCGCGCTGCACCGCTACCACGAGAAGCGGACGCGCCGCAACTGGAAGCGGGGTCCTCGGTACACTGGACGAAGTAACGTCGCGACGTCGCGTGTGCGCAACGGCGGACGGTTCATCTGCACGACGCGGTGGATCTGATTCTCTTCTTGAAGCCTGCGGGCTGGTTTGATTTGGTTTGGTTTGATTTTTTTTAGCTTTTTCTTTTACCTGGAGCTTCTCTCCACCCAGTTTTTTCATGTTAGTTGGTAGGGCTTTTCCTTTATAATGCAAGTAATGCATTGGCATCATTTTCAAACATCAACACACTCGCCTCTTCACCCTCTCTCATCTTCTTCTTGACGGCCATCAAAGCAGAGCAGAGCGAGGAGCTGAACAAGACGTTGCGATCTTCCGCTGTGTTAACGTGTCGGTTCTTTGTCTCCTTGGTGTGCGCCACACGAGAGGTCTTTTCTCAACCCGCTGGTCGATTGACAGGGTCTAAACTACACAAGAGAGCGCCACGTAAAAATGGTGAGACCATGAGCCGTGCTCCTCGCCTGCGCGGCTGGGACGCACGTCCCCCCTCGCTGCGTATATTCATACTGCACTCAGGGGGTTAGTTAGCTGATAATATATGCGCGTGCGTGTCCTTGCTCATTGGCAGTCGAGCAAGTACCTGAACGACAAGAAGAAGAAGCTGCAGGCGTTCAAGAACACGACCAACGCCAAGTACGTCCCCAATCTAATAGAGAGGAGGGTGTATTGATACTAACAGTGTGCTGTTTGTGTCGAGCGCAGTGACTCGATGGCCAAGTCGTACCTGGAGAAGTTCAGCTGGGACTTGATGCGCGCGGTCGACGAGTTCTACGCCAACGGAGGCGAGAGCCTGACGCCCGTGTGAGTTGCCTAGCCCCAAGCGGATACAATGCTGCGGCTGACATTGTATTGTTTGTGTGTGCAGTAAAAAGTCGACGATCTCTATGGACGCTGTGAACGCGTGGTTCGACAACTACGTAGGTGTGTGAACGGCCTGCAATGGAGTGGATTGCTGTGTACTTTAGGGATCTAACTTGTTGGTGACTGTCGGGATATTCTAGACCCTGATGACGATGAGGACGCCATCAACGAGGAGGGTATCCTCAAGTTCTGCGAGGATATCGGCGTGGATCCGCAGGACATCGTGGTGCTCGTGATCGCCTGGAAGATGGGCGCGGCCTACATGTGCGCGTTCACCCGCAAGGAGTGGCAGAAGGGCATGGAGGAGATGGACTGCGACTCGGCCGCCAAGCTCAAGGCCAAGATCCCGCAGCTGCGCGAGGCCATCGCTAGCGAGGCCGAGTTCAAGAAGTTTTACTGCTTCTGCTTCGGCTTCTCCAAGGAGCCCGGCCAGAAGAGCCTCAGCATAGATATCGCCGTGGCCATGTGGGAGCTGCTGCTGTCCGCGCGCTTCGAGAAGCTCACGGCCAGCTGGCTGGTCTTCCTGGCCGAGAAGAAGCCCGTCAAGGGCGTGACGCGCGACACCTGGGACCTGCTCTTCGACTTCTTCGTCAAGGTGCGCGAGTCCTACGACAACTACGACGAGAACGAGGCCTGGCCCGTGCTCATCGACGACTACATGGTCTGGATAGACAGCAAGAAGCAGTGAGTAAGTAGCTAGACTACTAAATGGCTGCACACAGATACTTGCTTTGTCGCTTGTGTTCCGTCCAGAAGACAAAACTTCTCAAAACATGCGGCTGCCTTCAAATTTTTCCACTGCAACTTGGGCCATACAAACTCCAAGACAAAAGGCCCTAACGTACAGCTTGGTGTGTCGCACACAAATGCTGCCATTATCATCTCCTTGTGAACCCTTCCCAGGTCGTCATCAGCGCTGAGCACTTGGCGTCATTCCTCGGCCACGACGGAGCCCATGGAGGAGTTCGCGTCGCCCGAGGCGCTGCCCGAGCGCGCCTTCTTCCCCAAGGCCTACCTGCAGCAGTACCGGCGGCAGCTGAACGAGCTCATCAATCGCATGGAGCGGCTCGTCGAGGAGGAGGACAACCTCGAGACGGACTCGGACGCCGCCGAGCTCGAGTGGAACGGCGCGCAGCTCGCGGCGCTGCCCGGCCAGACGGTGTGGCACAACCTGCGCGCGCTGCGGGACTGCCGCGTGCTGCTGGAGGACGCGGCCGCGCAGTTCACGCTCAAGATCCGCGAGAGCGCGGAGCTCGTGGCCGCCGAGCCGCAGCTGCTGGCGCTCGAGCGCACGCCGAGCAGCTCGTCCATGCCCGTGTCCGAGTACAGCTCGGACGACGCTCTAGAGGAGGAGGAGGCGGATGACGCGCTCGACGAGTTCCAGGACGTGGAGCCCGTGCGGGGCCGCAAGGCCGCCGTGGCGCTCAACAACGACGTGACTGCGCGCGTGCAGAGCGCGCTGCGGGACGAGGACGAGTTTGAGCGCTTCAAGGCCAACGCGCTACAGTTCGGCATGGGCAACGAGTCGGCCGAGCGCTTCTACGCGTACTTGGCGCAGCACATCCCGGCGCCCGTGCTGGACTCGATCGTCGTGGACTTTGCGCGGCTGCTGCCTCAGGCGGCGCTGAGAATGCCGCTGCTGAAGGAGCACTACCAGCACATGAAGAACGAGCTGGCTAGACCTAGCATGGCGCACTTCAGGAACAAGAGCTACAGCATGGCCATCACGTCCCGCTCCTCCACATCGTCAAGTGCGTGGCCGCTGGTTGGAGCCTTTGAAGGGACTGTGGGGATCTAACAGAAGGTGTTGCTGTTGTTGTGCCTCTGTGTGTGGATTGTAGGTATTGATGAAGCTGGCAGCAGCGATGAGGAAGACGAGGAGTACCCGTCTACGGTGAGGCTTGAGGAATCGTTGTATTGTGTGTCGAGTAGTGCTAAACCATAGCGGTTGTGGTGTGTAGATCCGGCTGCGTACGTTCAACCACCTCGTCTTCGTCATCCACGGCATTGGCCAGCACATTGACTTCCGTGATGGCGAGTTTAAGTCGTGGAACGGAGAAACGGGGGTGGAGGGCGGCAACCACGCGTTTCGAGATATGTTCCGTTCTATGCTGGAGACGACCTTCCAAGACATCCCGCTGGCTCTGGAGATGCAGTCCATCGAGTGGCATGAAGATCTTCACGAACCGACTGGCGTGGATAATATTTTCGACCTGATTTCCCCAGAAGGGGCCTCAGCGTACGTGACATTTCTTTCAAGTTTTTTTGTTAATAAGGGTCGGGTCTAACGTTGGTTTGTGTCTGCCTCCCCTTAGAATTCGTGAATTCAACAAGGAGACCTTCATGGACGTTCTCTATTATCTATCGCCGCGGTATGGCCAACTGATCGTCGATTCAGTCACGCAGCAGCTCAATGACAAATATCGCGTCTTCATGAACGAGCACCCAGGTGCGTTAGCTCTTGTGTGATTTTTTTATTGCTGTGATGCTTACGGGAATGTTTTTCGTCAGGATGGGACGGCAAAGTCTCTATATTTGCTCACTCATTGGGCTCAATGATTTCCTACGATATCCTGACGCATAAGCCGGGTGAGGTCGCCAGCAATGGAGTTCGTTTCCCTGGTCTTGAGTTTGAAATCGACAACTTCTTTGGAGTCGGGTACGCTGCTGTCTCGTGCGATTGATGTAGCTGCATTGTCATGGCTCACAAATTATTGGTGTCGATGAGGTAGATCTCCTGTTGGCGTGATGATTCTGGCAAGAGGAGACCTCAACATTGACGACGGAGAGTTCACCCCAGGAATCAAAATTCCAACGTGCCGTCGGTATTTTAACGTTTACCACCCGATCGACCCGATTGCGTACCGTATTGAGCCATTGATCAAGCAAGAAATGCACGACAAGGAACCAGTGCAGTTGATGCAGGTATGGGATACATAACGTTCTAGGGATTATCGCGTTTACTAATGAATTTACATGTCTGTGTTTGATGTGTACAGTACAGTGCAGTCAAGGAGCACACCTTCGGTCAGTTACAGGAGGCTTGGGAGGGCTTGAATGGCCCAGTGCATGGATTCCAGTACCGTCATGACTACGTATTGCGCCGTCGAAAGCGCGAGCAAGGTATGATGGAAGTGGCGTTCGCTGCTGCCTCACACTCGTCATACTGGATGAGCGACGATGTTGTCCTCTTCACTCTTATGCAGTTGTGCCAGCCTGTGGTTGACACTTTGCACCGGTACATGAGTGCTCGAGTCCCGTTGCCAAAGCTCATGAGAAGCATCGTGGAACTCACGCCCCACACGAAGGTGCTGCTGTCTGCAACAGCACTCGTTCGTGACCGTTGCACGGGTCTGTCGCGAGAGCAGATCGTGCTGATTGACAAGGACCGCCTGTATTTCCTGTCACGACTGAGTGAAGTGGCGTGTCGCTGCAAGTGGCGAATCAAACTGACTGCGACGACAAAGGCCGTGTACGGTGAGGACTCCTTCATGATGAACATTATACCCAGCGAAGCTGCTGCTGCAGAACCCGGCGCACCGCCAACGTCGAACAACGCCATGCAGCCTGAAGTGCACGTTTTCAAGGCTCCGTCGACGCCAGTTCGCAATGCGTGGATGAAGGCTATCAACCAAGCTATTGCCAAGATCGGCAGCTCTGTTGCAGAGGAGTCGTGTGACGCGTTCCCCAGAGACACGGCTAACCTCGTCGATCTCCCGACTGGAAAGAGTATGGATTATTTCAATGCCATCAAGGCGGGGTTCCTCAAGGAGAAGACAGCTAACGGGTGGTACGACTCGTGGAACGATCGATGGCTCGTTCTCCAAGAAGACCACCTGTCCTGTTACGAAAACTCGCCGAAGCTTGACTTTGTTGGACAGTTTCCACTTCATAGGACGAAGGCATTCTGCTTCGAGCGGGAGTACCTCATCCGAGTGGTAGCTCGTCGCGGAGCTGCGTGCGAGATGCGAGTGCAGAACCAGGAATCCTTCAACCGCTGGGTGGAAGTCTTCGAACGGATCCCTTCGGTTGAGATCTTCCGCCACGAGGATTTATTAGAAAACAGCCCGTCCTCGGTGCTGATCATGACGGAGAGCTCAAGAGGAAGCTTCGGTGCAGCGAGCAAGGCTGCTAAATCGGGTGAATGGCTTCAAACCAAGATCGAGGGGCATCAGATCAAGCTGGACGAGAACGACCAAGAGTATGTCGCCTTCGTTATTCAGGTGGCATCCTCGGCAGCTGGCACAAGTATTGTTCAGCGCCGCTACTCGGAGTTTGCCAAGCTGCATCGCCAGCTGCGCAAGATGTTCCAACACGAGCAGATCCCAGCGCTGCCTGGCACACGAATGTGGAACAAGTTCGAACCGACCTATTTGAAACAGAAAGCTATCGGCCTGCACGGCTACCTGAACGAAGTGTGCAAACGGTGTGCCAACACGCGTGCTCAACCGATACTCCTAGAGTTCCTAGAGCTCGCCCCACCGACCCCCTCTGAAAAAGAACCGAAGAAGTCGCCGAAGGAGGAAAAGACCGACAAGAATTAATGGAGAAGATGGCGTTGACCCGCGTTAGAATGGCCGTTCATGGTGAAGCAGAGTGGTGAGTAGAATCAACGAAAGCGGTTGTATTCAGACTTTTTGAGTCGGTTTCGTAAGGTAAGCAAGCAAAGATCGACTTGACCAACCGAGCTCATTGCTAGTTGTCTTGGATCGTGAACTGTGCACACTGGCCACTCGTCTTCGCGCCGCTCTCGTCGTAGACGTTGCAGTCCGTCTCGGGCTTCACCGCAATGAAGTACTTACCAGGCTCGACGACACAGTGGAATCCGGAGCCGATCTGCGGGTCAAACACGCCCCAGTCCTCACGCGTGAGCGTGAAAGAAACCTCTCGGCTCTCTCCTGGCTGCAGGTGGATCTTGGAGAACTTCTTGAGTTGTTTGACTTCAGGCACCGAGATCGCGCGGTAGGGCTGGATGAGGAAGAGCATCACCGTCTCCTTGCCTGCCATCGCTCCGATGTTCGTGACGGTCACGCTCACCCCAAGGGAGGCATCGTCGCTATCGCAAAAGGAGCTCTTGCTCAACGACACGTTCCCGTACTCGAACACGGAATAGCTCAAGCCATGACCGAAATCCCACTCCATTTCGCACGGTCCTTCGTCACGGCAGCGCGTACTCACGAGGTGGTTGTACGGGATCCCGATGTTACCTGAAGCCTTCGGGTACGTGATGGGGAGTCGGCCACTGGGATTAACGCGTCCGAAGAGGATCTCCGCCAGCGCCTGGCCACCAAGCTCACCAGGTAGCATCGCGTACACCACGGCATGAGCGACATCAGCGAGGCCCTGAAGCAGACGCGGGCGGCCTTCAGCTAGGACGAGAATCACCTTCGTCCCCGTGGCTGCGATTTCACGGACATAGTCGACTTGACCACGAGGCAGATTCAAGTCGTCCAGGTCACCAGGTTTCTCTGCGTACTGTCCTTCACCAATGGCGACGATCGTGTACTCGGCCTGTGCTGCTCTGTTCTTGATGGTCTGAAGCGCAGCGGACGAGTACGAGCCGTTCGGGTGAAGCGTGTTGGCGTACTGAACTGAACCGGAGCTCGTGCTCAGCACGTTGGCGATACCTTGCCGGAGGGAGACACCGTGCGGGAAGAGGCTGTTGCCGGACACACCTTGCCAACGAAGAGACCATCCACCACACAGCAGACCCACGTTGTCGGCAGCGTGACCCGTCAGGAACACATCGCTGTCTGGGCTGAGAGGAAGAAGTCCGTCTTCGTTCTTGAGTAGGACGATGGATTCACGCGCCAGCTCCAGCGCAGCTTGGCGACTCTCGTTTTGCCCGACCAGAGCGATATCGTTCTCAGTCCCAGGTAAGGCGTTCTCGTACAGACCAAGCTTCACCTTGGTCGTGAGGATGCGACGGACGGAGTCCTTCACTCGATCCAGCAGCGCCGGGTTCTGCTCGACGGTCACGCGAGCCATGTCGATGAAGGTCGTGTTGTACGGCACCATGCTCATGTCCAGCGGCGCATTGGTCAGCGCCATCCGCACCGCGTCTTGATCGGTCTTGGCAATGCGGTGCCAAACGTGGAGGTTGTGGATCTCGGCGTAGTCGGTCACGATGAGGCCTTGGAAGCCCATGTCGTGGCGCACCAAGTCCCGGAGGATTTTCGTGTTGGCGACGACCGGCATGCCGTTGATGGAGATGTAGCTCTCCATGGCCGAAATGGCACCTGCTTTGATGGCGGCCATGAACGAAGGCGCGAAGTGGTTGAGCAGCTCGTAGTCACCGACGGTGACCCCCGCGCGGTCGTGGCCCGATGGTGTCTTGGAGTAGGCGATGATGTGCTTCATACAGGCTGCCGTGGTGCCGTTGCTCTGGATTCCGCGTACGATGGCGTCGGCCATGATGGACACCAAGTGAGGGTCTTCGCCGAAGGTCTCGAACGTCCGTGCCCAGAGCGGATTCTGCGAGATCTCAAGGATGGGAGCAAACAGCCAGGGAATTCCTGCCGCTCCAGTGTCTCTCGCTGTGATGCGGCCCATGTCGTACACTAAGTCCTGGTTGAACGTCGCTGCGGCGTTGAGCTGTTGACCGAAGAGGACCGCTCCACGAACGTAGTTTGCACCATGAACCGAGTCGAGACCGTACAGGATCGGGTCGCTACCATGTGAAGCGTAGATGTCCTGGATCTCCGTGATGAGCTCGCGCCATTCTTGCGGGGAAAAGTTGCGCGTGGAGTTGGCGTTCGAGTCGTTCAGCTCAGCTCCGGGGGTGTTCAGGTACGACCCGACGTTGAGCCGCGCGTGTTCGTGCACGATAGCGCGATTCAGCGTGCGGTTCGGATGCAGGATCGTGCTCACATCTAGCTGAGCCATCTGACCCAGCATCGCGTCCAAGTCCTGTGTAGCAAGAAACAAGAGAGAGGGGGTCAGCGACAAAGGTCTTCTCAAAGCAAGTGTTCGGCTGAGAGGGGTACTCACCATGGACGACATCATGTCTTCAACTCGAGTCTGGATATGCAGGTTGTCATTCGCAGCGGTGAAGGCGGCAAACGAAGCCAACGCGACCAGCACGAAGAGCAGCAGCCTCGACATTCTTCCTTGGAGGTTTCTCGCGTCGGTCTTTGGTCTCTCGAAGCAAAAGTGAAAGTGAATTGAGCTACGCATTCTCCAGACGACATCTCCCGGAACTTCTCGGTCGCGCTCTGGTCGATCTGAGTCGCTTGCGGTGTATGTTCACCTGACACAGACTGACTTATTGCCACCACCGAAAACGTATTGCGTGCTACTAGCAAAATCTGATGGCAGCTACTTCAACTCGAAATGCACTGCCGAAATCGGAGAATCGTGCGACAAAGGCTACACAGGCGAGCGTCTAACCTGTTAACCCTCAACTTGAAGGCAAGAGTGCTGTCTGAGACCCTCTGAGCACGGTTTGGTAACTACTATATTATGGGCATTACCGCCCCGTGTGCTATGGCTCGTACGCGTAGAGAGCGTCAAACATGGCGATCGGAAACGTGAGATGTTGTCCTGCGTGCTGGGAGCACACGACTTGGTACGCGAGTGTCGGATCGACCATCGGTGTGGCGCAGAAAGGAGTGTCGGAGGCCCAGACGACTTTCGTGTTGGTCTGTACCCACGCCGGCATGCTTGTAAGCGACGTGTTCTGCACATTCATCGATACAATGAACGCCGTAGGCTCCATTAGCGTTGCTGGCAATTCCTTGAGAGGGTTGGCGGCTAGCTGCAGGTTCGGTAGGACGATCCCAGGAGGCATCATGGCCAACGTCGGGATGGTTTCAATCTGATACTCTAATAGCGACAGCGTGTACACGAGCGAGAAGAACATTTGGTACGGGATCTTGGTCAACTCGCTGTGCTCGAAGGCTATCGCAGCTAGTGGGTGCCACCGCTGGTACAGATCATCGGGCAACGTCTTGAGGTTCGTGTGTGAGAATTGCAAGCCCATGACCGATCCCGGCAAGGGCTGCAAAATACCTTCTGGCATTTGGTCCATTCGCGCCCCCGCCACAAGCACCACCTGTAAACGCCTGTGAACAGTGGCGGAGATGGAGCTCGTGACATTCCAATTCACGATAGTCGTGTTGCAAATATGCAGCGACACCAAATTCTCGAGACGCTGGAGATCCGGAGGCATCTCGAGCCCATGACAGTGAGCGATTGTAAGCGAGGCTAGAACCACGGGGTCCAGCTTGTCGAAAGACGTCTGATCTGGCGTTGTAGTGTTATGAGCGTGGCAATCGTACACCAAACTCGCACACGGTTCCTTGCCGCTGGAGATCCAGGGTCTCGTCACTGCGCGACAGCCGAGCACCTCGTAGTTCGGTGCACGTTGGGCCGCTAGAGAGTGCAGCAGGAGGACGATGAACCCCCACAGGACGAATACGGTGACTGTAGCCCCATGTTTCCACCTCTGGAGGGTGTGTAAGCTTTTAGATTGGCTTGGAGTCTGAGAGCTTTCTGCTGACGGCTGTAGGCCAGCAGCCTTGATAAAGCTTGCTCGTGATTTCACCTCCATAGACTGCATGCTCGGCCGTCCGTCACCTGGAATCACCTTGACGTCTGCGCGCCCCAGCAGCTCGCTCATAGTGATCAACGAAAGCAATATACTGAGCTGCGGGATGAGCTTCGTGGTGAAGTCGAACAAATTTGCTGCAAAGACCACTCGATTCTCCAAAACCATCGAGACCACTGAGATGGGGTCGTACATGAAGTTGGGGTTGTTCAAGGATTTGTACTCGACGTTGAACGCTTCAACGTACGGGAGGAAGATGATCAGCGGCACGACAGTCACCATGCCGAAACTGATGATCGCGTCGTACATTAAGGTGAACACTCGCCCCAAAGCGGGCGACTTTCGCAGAAAAAACTTGAATGCCCGCTGTCGTCCGGCAGTTTGCAATCAGCAGCGCAACCATGACCGTGTTGAGCTCCGATCGGGGCAGGAGGTTGCTGGCTCGATACGATTGGTAAGTCTGCGCGGCCGCTGCGATGAGCTCTTGGAGTGCAAACACCGTGGAGAAGTGCTCGCTCTCGACGCCAAAAATGCCTCGACGGGAGAAGACCCTGATCCACATCCGGCAAACCTTACGCCATGCTCGCGACGCTACTCGTAGCCGTGCTTTCGGCTGGCCAGAGCTCCTCGCCGCGTACTTGCCCAAGCGACTCGACAGCACTCGATCGACCACGCTCCACTCTGACCGAAGAGCGGTTGGCGGGCTCGGATGGACACCATAATGATCTTTAGCACCTGGATTCCGTGCATCGCCCCCACAATTCCGAAGGCGACGCTGTAGAAGCGGTAGTTGTCGGCACCGTTGAGTGACCAGATCGAGACGTAGGTCGCATGATCGTCGTGGTGAGGAACCAGTAGGTTATGGCCACGCAGAGGAGGAAAGTACCACAAACTGCGTGAAAGAGCACGATGAAGACCCATGCCGCGGTGTACAATCCAGGTGAGAGCTCGAGCGCAAGCTGTGGTACACGTTGTCGAGGAGAGGCGCTCTTCTGCTGGAGTACTGTCGTGGAACTCATTCTTCTCGGAAAATAGGGTTTACCGTGAATAGTACTTGGCGATGGTGCTGGAGCTCGATGGCAGATTTCCAATTGGAGAGTGGGTAAGGAGATCAGACAAGGGAGGTGACGTCGTGGTTTGATCTCCTTTTAGATTACGTTGGACGTGCTCACAATACGACTAACGTTAATACTTCTCTCGGCAATGGTAACTGACTTTGGATCGCAAGTATTTTATTATATTTTTAGAGTGAAACTATTCGGTATCTTATCATTCACGTGCTGGGTATCTTATGATGGCCACCAGTACTGGTATGGTGTAGGATGTAGGAATGAAGACGTGGGCGCGTTCATCGACTTCTTCTTTTTAACCTTTTCACTTACTAGGTTGTACACAGCGTCATTCACAACGACTTAGTTCAGGAACTATAGTTAACAAGTTGTTGTCGATAACACAAAAATAGAAGGGAGAAGAAAAATGGACGAAGCTTACTTGAAGAAATGATGCCAATCTATATGAAATGATACTTTGGCCCGAATCAAGCATACGCGTAGAGTGAGTCGAACCGTTCCATCGGAAAGTAGGATTCTTGTCCTGCAGGGCGGTCGAAGCACATGACTTGATACGCGAGTGTCGGATCGGCCATCGGAGAAGCGCAGAAAGGAGTTTCATAGGCCCAGACGACTTTCGTGTTGGTTTTCACCCACGCTGATATGGCTGTGAGCGATGTATTCTGCACGTTCAACGAATAGATGAACGGCGTTGGGTCCATCAGTGACGCGGACAGCTCTTTAAGGGGGTTGTGCGCTAGCCGCAGCTGCGGTATGATCATTCCAGGAGGCATCATGGCCAGAGTCGGAATTGTTTCAATCTGGTTCCCCGCCAGCGCCAGAGTGTAGACCGGCGAGAAGAACATTTGGTACGGGATCTCGGTCAACTCGCTGAACTCGAAGCCGATCGCAGCCATGGCGTGCCATCGCAGGTACAGGTCGTCCGGAATCGTCTTGAGGTTCGTGTGCGAGAAATGGATGGCCATGAGTGACGCCGGCAAAGGTTGCAAAAGCCCCTGAGGCACCTCTTCCATTCGCGACTTCCCCACGAACACCACTATGAGCCGCGTGTGAGCTGTGGCGGAGACCGAGCTGCTGGCGTCCCAGCGCACGATGGTCGTGTTGTAGATGGGCAGTACCGCCAAGTTCTCGAGGCGTTGGAAATCGGAGGGCATCTCGAGCCCAGGACAGTGGATAATCGAGAGCGTCGCGAGAACATTGAGGTCCAGCTTGTCGAAAGACGGCTGATCGGGCGACGAGTTGTTGTGGGCGTGGCAGTCGTACACTAAACTCGCGCACGGCTCCTTGCCGTTGGAGATCCAGGGTCTCGTCACTGCGCGACAGCCGAGCACCTCATAGTTCGCTGCCCGTTGTGCCGCTAGGACATGCAGGAGGAGGACGATCAACCCCCACAGAACGAACACGGCGACTGTGATGGCATGTTTCCACTTCAAGAGGGCTTGCAAGCCCGCCCATTGGCTCGGGGTCTGCGGGTTTGCGGTGGGGTTCGCTGTGTCTGGAGGTTTGCCGAAGCTCAATCTGCTCGCTCGGGGAGCGAAACGGGGGTGTACATGAAGTCGGGGTCCTTGACGGAGTTGTACTCAAAGTCGAACGCTTGAATGTACGGGACGAAGATAATAAGCGGCACAACAGCCAGCATTCCGAAGCTGATGAGCGCGTCGTAGATTAGAGTGCACACGCGTTGCAGCTCTGGGGATTTCCTCACAAAGAGCACGATGCCCGCCGTCGTCCAGCAGTTGGTGATCAGCAGTCCGACCATGAGCGCGTTGAGCTCGGCTCGCGGCAGCAGGTTGCTAGCTCGGTACGCCTGGTACGTCTGCGAGCTGGCCTCGAGGACCTCTCGGAACGCAGACACGAGGAAGAAGTGCTCGCTCTCGACGCCGAAGAAGCCCCGGCGAGAGAAGACGCTGTTCCATATGAGAGCGAGGGCGTGCAGCTTGGACTGATCAGTCGAAGGAGGAGAACTGTTCTTGTCCGGCTGACCCCGCCGACTCGACATCATTCGCTTCGACATCAGCGTCCGGATCACGCTCGACTCGGAGCGAATAGTGAATTGACGAGCTCTAATGGACATCAGGATGAGAGTCAACACCCGAACGCCGTGCACCGCCCCCACCATACCGAACACGACGCCGTAGAACTTGTAGTTCTCGATGCTCTTGAGCGACCAAATCGAGACGTAGAACGGCAGCGTGTCGGTGGTGAGGTACCAGTACGTCATGGCCACGCAGATGAGGAAGGTGCCGCACGCCGCGTGGAAGAGCACGATGAAGAACCACGCTGCGGTGTACAGCACGGGCGACACCTCCAGCGTCAGGGGCGCGGTACGCCGAGGAGGGGCGGCGTTTTTCGGCTGGAGAGCAGTCGTCGAGCTCATCGGTGAAGTTGGACCAAGTCACGGAATGAGAGCAAGGAAGACAGCCAGAGGTCAACCGTGCAGCCTCCAGCTCAAATATAGCCCAAGGGGAGGACGACTGCCTACTGTTGCAGGCTCGGTCTATGCGTCTGATGATGTATGTAGCAACCACGATTAAGTTTAGCGTTGCTCTTGTCCGTCAACGGCCTTTTCGTCAACGCCACCCGTTGTTATTGCTGCCCCAAATATGGTATCCATGTGCACGTTGCGGCTTGACGCCAATGCGAAAGGCTTTTGCTATTCAATTCGCGGTCAGCTCTTCCTAGCGACAGGCTGTTGCTAAAGTATCGTTTTGCTGCGGGTTGCAGTCTCTCAAGCCTTTCTGGACGAGCGTGTCGCACGCCGAATTGTGAAAAATTCGTGCGTACATCGCAAGCCGAGCGTAGTGCCGTAAGCCAGAGGCAAGCGGCACCAAGATGCAAGGACAACTGCACCTTTGCCGAACTGCCGTAAGTTTCGACGCTTGCTTATTCCATCAGCATTGACCGTCTCAATAGGGTGGCGCACGGCTCTGCGCGAGTTGGCGACTGAAGACTGAAGCGTTCGATTGCGAGACTCGCAATGGCACAATGCGAGCTGTACCTACCATCAGCGCTGTCCTTGGCCACCTAGGCCGGCTTCACCCTCAGCAAGGTATCATCTAAGTTATCCATCCGCGTTCGTGTCAGCTCACTCACTCAGGGCGGCAACATACTGTCGAGTAGCAGCCTGCATTACATACAATCCACTTGCGCGCAAAAAACCCACAAAAACCCACTGAATCCCGTAGGTAAGGTGTACTGTACTTCCCTCAAGTTGCAACATCATAGATCAATCAATCTCACCCCGACTTGCCTCCAATCCACATACAGCATCAAATCAATTCCTCGAATCATATTCCACGGGTTATTATTTCTACTGTTCGTTTCAACTCCTGATTTCGGGCGGGCCCGGATCACGGAGTTCCATTTCCTCTCTCGGCCAAGCCTAAGGCCAATCGTCCAGCCAGGCACCGAGCGAGCGAGCGCACGACCGGCGGTCCGTCCCCCACTTCCTCCCCTCCCCTCCGTCGTCATGGGCGCCGAGCTGAGCCGCCCCGCGGGCTCGGACATCACCAACCTCAAGGAGGACGCGCGCCGCCGCGTGGGCAGCAGCAGCGCGCTCGACAGCCAGCGGCGCGCGGCTGCTGCAGCTTCAGGCGGCGGCGGCGGCTTCCCCACGTCCTCCAGCACCACGTCGCTGTCCTCCATGGCGCACTCCAGCAGCCACAGCGGCAGCCGCAGCAGCAGCGCCAACGCCAAGTCGCGGCTGCTGGAGAGCGGCCTCTTCTCGAGCATCCGCCGCAGCCGCAACAACAGCCGCGCCGCGCCCGGCAGCAGCGGCTCCAACCCGTCGCTGGACTCGATGAGCACCGGAGGGGACCACGCCGTGGAGAGCCTCGACCTGCCCATCGTCGAGTGGGAGGGCTACGTGACCAAGAGGGGCCACCTCGTGCGCAACTGGAAGATGCGCTTCTTCACGCTCGAGGGGAACCTCGTCTCCTGTACGTGGCCGTGTGTGTGGGGAGAAGAAGAAGAAGAAGAAGGAGGAGGAGATGATGATGGAGGAGAACTAACTGACCCCGGTGTGTGTTTATTTTATTTTATTTTATTGTGCAGACTATGAGAACAAGGTGGACGCGCGCAACCGCAGCCACTTGAAGGGCCGCGTGAACGTGGCGTCCGTCAAGATGGACAAGGTGGCCAAGAACGGCCACGGCTTCGACTTCTCCTTCGAGACGACGGAGGGCAAGGTCTTCTACTGCAGCGTGCCCACGCACTTTGACCAGCTCGCCTGGGTCTACTTCCTGGAGGTGCGTGGAGGGAAAAAGAGGGGAACTGTCGAGTATTTGGGGGGATTTCTGAGTATTTTTTTATTTTTTAGGCCGGCGTGGACTGCGTCAGTATGCGGCAGAACAACAAACCAGTGTACAACACGTACCGCCACGGCGCGCTGCCCGATATGCACACGGAGAAGGCCTACGACGCGTACAGACGCATGCTGGGCGGCGAGCCGGGCGTGGTGACGGAGCTGCTGTCTTACTTCAACAAGGACCTGGTCTTCTCGTCGTCGTACCCGAAGAACACGCCCTTCAGCGGCGACTACTTTGGCCGCGAGGGGCTGCTGCACTTCCTGGGCGCGTTCCAGAGCAACGTGGATCTGATCGACATGAAGGTGGAGGACTGCGAGCTGGACGCGAGTGGGAAAAGTCTGACCATCAAGGGCACAGAGACGCTCAAGAGCAAGCACTCGGGCGCAGTCATCACGCAGTCGTGGTCGCACCGCGTGCGCTTCGGCCCGTACGGACGGATTTTACGCTTGCGCATCGATGTGGATCTCAAGAGCGCCACTGGCAACTGGAAGTCGTTCGGCGTGAAGAACCCGTACTCGGAGATGTCGGACGCGTCGATCCGGTCCAACCGCTCGCTGAGCATTTCGATGAAGGACTTTACGGTGTACAATGTGATTGGCAAGGGCGGGTTCGGTACCGTCGTGAACGCTGTGAAGAAGAGCGACGGACAGATTTACGCCCTTAAAATTCTCGAGAAGGGCAAGATGACCAAGTACGACGTGGAGAGCTCGTTCACGGAGATGCGCGTGGCCCAGAACATCCACCACCCGTTCATTTGCGGTCTTCGCATCGCCTTCCAGAGCCGGACGAAGCTGTTCTTGGGTATGAATTACTATGCTGGTGGCGACCTCTTTCACCACATGAGCAAGGGCTCGAGCTGCCGGATACCGTCGGACCGCGCGCACTTTTACACGGCCGAGCTGGTGCTGGGTATCCATCACTTGCACCAGCACGACATTCTCTACCGCGATATCAAGCCTGAGAACGTGATGATTGACGCCGAGGGCCACGTCGCCCTTGTCGACTTTGGACTTGCCAAGCTGCACGTGTCGGAGTACAAGGGCGCGAAGACCATGGCTGGTTCGCCTCAGTACACGGCTCCGGAATTGCTGCTCCCCAAGGCAAAGCGGTCCTACGGTAAGGCGGCGGATTGGTGGAGCCTGGGCATTTTGCTCTACGAGATGAGCGTCGGCAAGTCTCCCTTCTACGACAACAACATTGAAAAGATGTACCACAAAATCCAGAACGACCCACTGGTGTTCCCGTCCAAACCGGTGCTTACAGACGAGCTTAAGTCAATCCTGCGAGGCTTCCTTCAGAAAGACCCCACGAAGCGTCTCGGTTCCAACATCAGCGACATTCTGGAGCACCCGTTCTTCCGTGGCATCGACTGGGACTTGTTGCTGAAGAAGCAGATGACGCCGCCCTGGAAGCCCAAGCTTGCGTCGCCTTTGGATGTGGAATATGTGGACACCGAGTTCACAGATCTGGACGTGCACAACGAGGTGCAGTCGCCCACGGACAAGTCAGCTGCCAAGTCGAAGGGCTTCCTGTCGCTCGTGTCCAGCCGTAGCAACCGCGAGAAGGCAGCTCCTCCGGTCCAGGACCCGACCTTCAAGGACTTCACCTACTTTTGCGAAGACCCGGATGCCTTAGTCGAAGTGACAAATTTGGTGTCTGAGTTGCGCCCTCCGCCGCCGCCTAGTCCGCTCCTGAACGAAGAAGACTCGGACGAGTCGGACCGCCCGGCGGAGCACGACAATTCCATGCCCTCCGAGTGCGAGGGTACGCCCCTGTCGTCGTTTGTGGAGAACGGACACTTGAACCCGATGCCGATCTCACCCAAACAGTTCCACGAGGGTCTGAAGAAGCTGGAAGCCTCGATGACAGAGCAGTTCGAGCGCGTGGAGGTAACTATTTCCCGTGAGCGACCGCCGATGAAGAAGCCCAGCGGAAGCTCTAGCTCTTGCAGCGAGGAACAGGAGCAGGCCCGTGTTCATGTAGAAAAGCTGGTGATCTCACACGGCCCCTCAATCCCCATGGACACCGCGGTGAATTCAACAGGATCGACGGCAAGCCAGAGCGTCAGTCCCGTCGCCAACTCCCGGGGTATGTCAGGAACGAGTGTCAGTCCCGTAGCCAACTCAAACACAAACTCTCGTGGCCACTCGCCCGCAAGCCAGCCAGTTGACCATCGGCCGATAGTGGAGGCGGAATTTTAGCAAAAAACACCAGTGGCGATATATCCAGGGATGGCGTCCAGCGAGAGGAGGAAGGAAGGAAGAGAATCACGCACAAAAGGTGAAGAGGAGGTGCGTGCTACCGGTATGACGTCTCAATGTTCCCTCTCTTTCTCTCTCTCGCGGTGCTGTGCATGTTAGACTGACAACCAAGAAGAAATAATCAAAGAACCCAAGAATTCGTGTTGTCTTCACCGAACAATGTGCAGGATTCCAGTCCAACTCCTCCTAGTCTTCATCGAAGATGTCCATGACCTTAGTCGCTTGTCCGATGCCGCTAGTATCGGCACCTCCAGTGACAGCGTTTGTGACTACACGGCTGAGAATCGATAGACCTCCCGACGTGTACAGCCGCAACAGAGTCCATGCTATCGCCAACAGAACGATTGTTCGAGCGTAGGAGGACTTTGGGGGCTCCTTCTGGTCGTCGAGCTTGGACAATAAAACCTGCCGCGCCGTCTCGAGGAACTGCTCGCGATCAGAGATCTTGTGGTAGTCGATTCCCTCGCGAGTCAGCAGCTGAGCGATCTCCGTATTTGACATGGATTTGAGCAAAGAATCCACAGACTCTACTGCACTGGGCGACGAGTCTTTAGCCCCGTTCTCTTCCCCCGACGAAGATGAAGACTTTTTGTTCCGCTCCTCCTCTTGGAGATCGTTCAGTAATTGCTGGACATTTCGGTCGGTCAGGTCGATCCTAGCACAGCCAGAACAAGGAATTAGACATAGAGCTCTGCAAGAATGAGAACGTATTAGCGACGTCTAACCCGCTTTCCTTTGCGTTCTTGATCATCTCGGGCGTCGGATTGAAGAAGTCGACGCATTTCATCCGACGATTGCGAATGTCTTGAGCTTGGGCGATTTTCTCTCGGATTTCAGCGGCATATTCAGTTTTTCCCTTGGCCTCGAATCCTCGAGCAAGAGCTTCGGCTTCTTCCACCTTCAGTATGCAACAAAGAATGAGAACGATGAGTCTTGAGTGAATAATTCACTAGAGGATATAGCGGCCAGTACCTCCTGCTGGAATTTTTCTTCTCGAGCAGCTTCATCGAGCTGCGCGTCCTTCGCCCTCGCCGTCTCGTCGTACACTTGGCCTCTGTTAAACATCCCGCTGAAGGTCTCTTTGTCCAGAGCTCGCTGCTTCGTGCGCTGCTCCATGAGTTCGCGTAGCATCTTCCGCACTTCTCGGTTCTCGGGGTCCACCGCGTACGCCTTCTGGAGATCAGCGATCGCGCGATCAAACTCCAGTGCTCCGGATGAAGCTGGGGTGATCAACGCCTGCGCTCGTCTGTAGAACGCTTTAACGTTCTTCGGATCCAGCTCGAGAGTGTCATCACACGCGCGGATGCAGACCGAGTACTCCTTCAATTTGAACTTGGCCACTACAAACATCGAGTAAGTAAAAAAAATCATCTGAGGCCATCCTCAAAATTGCGACACAAACCTGCAATGTTCAGGTAGCACGAAATCTTGAGTGCGTCGAGTCTCTTCTGGTCTTCGGCATCGTCGCACTTGAAGTCGGTGATTAGCATATCTCCGTCCTCGATGCCCTTCTTCTTCCAGCCAGGATCCTTGTTCTCCAGGTACTTGAACACAGCCAACGCCTTCTCGTACTCGGCGACGGCTTCTTCGTATGCTTCGGCGTTGAAATGCGCATTCCCCACCGCTTTCATGTCCTCCGCAGAGGCGATCCGTTCAGGAAAAGGTTTGGAGCGAACAGTCACCACGGATTCTTGCATGAACAGCGAGTGCTGGAAATACTGCGGCCACGAATCGAATTGAGTACGGAGCTGGGCCTGCTGGGCGCCCTTCAGCTTCACAGCTTTGGTCATGAGGTCCGCGAACGGGTTTTCGGCTGACATGTCCATCTTGACGCGTGGGTGCTTGGAAATTTATTAGCTACTAAGTACTGTGTGGTAGGCCCCCGAGCTCGTAAATGAAGGGACGCAAGTTCGAGAATGCTCGTTGCGCCCCAAACGGTCGTCTTTTTCTTACAAAAGACCACTTCAAAAAAACAAACTGGGATTCCTATCCTAGTGCGCTCGATTTCAGCTTTCTCTTATCATTCGACTTGACACGACTTCATCGGGTTTCAGAAATGCCGCAAGACCCTCGCAGAGGTGAAGACCGACGATAAACGATTGTACAGCCAAGTGTTCTCGTCAAGTTTTGGCATCAATTAAAAAAAAAACGTTTCGAGCCAATGCTGGCGCCAGGTCTTCGATACAAGTGTCGAGTTTACGCGAGAGAAGGTAGGCGATGTCTCCACCACCACATTTTTTTTTGTCGGACCCAACCGCATTCACCAACTCGCTCAACGTGCAGGACAGGTCCGTGAGTATGATCCCGTAGTAGAGAATCCTTTTTTCTCATTGTATTGATAGCTCCACCTCCTTGCTCGTTTGATTGATTGCCATAAAATAACAATTACTACTAAGTACTTCAAAGTATGATTGCCAATAGCCTATATTAAAGTATTGGTGAATGGGGGGGGTTGGCCACAAACGCCAAGAGCGAATTGTTGTAGCATTTTGGAGCTGCACATTCTAACAACACACGCCGTAGAGTGGTGCGCACCTCTGACCTCACTCAAAATTTACTAAAGTAATAAAACACTTGACATCTGAACTTAGTCACTTTTGATGGAGGATAGTAAATGGTATTTTGAGCTCACCCGATGCAATCTAAAACGAGAGCGCTCCCACCACGTCATCTGGTTTCCTGGTTTCCTTACCCGCTCTTCAATCGGGAACCTGCCGTTGAGATCTAACACCATTACCCAAGTACTGTAAGCAGTCAAGACTGTTATTTTTCGTGAGGTGCGCATGAGTTCCACAACAGTTCTTGAGCACAAGGGCGCCTACCTCACGCTGAATCTTTCGCCTGGGCTGTACGCCGCGGCGTGGTTCTTCATCGTGCTCTTCCACGCAGTTTGCCGCGTTCCTCGTCTGCGTGGCCATAACCTACTGGTTCCTCACCACGACGATCATGCCGACCTACGTCTCGATCTGGTCACTCAACGGTGCCGACAACTACCGCTTCTACAGCGTCGCCTTCGGAATTGTGGGGGCGATGCACGGAATCCAGGTGCTAAAGATCATTATGGTGTCCATCCGAGCCCGCCAACCGCTCTTCGGTCAGAGTGGAGCGTGGTCGATCGAGTGCTGTCGAGTCGCTTGGGCAAGTACGCGGCGAGGAGCTCTGGCCAGCCGAAAGCACGGCTACGAGTAGCGTCGCGAGCATGGCGTAAGGTTTGCCGGATGTGGATCAGGGTCCTCTCCCGTCGAGGCATTTTTGGCGTCGAGAGCGAGCACTTCTCCACGGTGTTTGCACTCCAAGAGCTCATCGCAGCGGCCGCGCAGACTTACCAATCGTATCGAGCCAGCAACCTCCTGCCCCGATCGGAGCTCAACACGGTCATGGTTGCGCTGCTGATTGCAAACTGCCGGACGACAGCGGGCATTCAAGTTTTTTCTGCGAAAGTCGCCCGCTTTGGGGCGAGTGTTCACCTTAATGTACGACGCGATCATCAGTTTCGGCATGGTGACTGTCGTGCCGCTGATCATCTTCCTCCCGTACGTTGAAGCGTTCAACGTCGAGTACAAATCCTTGAACAACCCCAACTTCATGTACGACCCCATTTCAGTGGTCTCGATGGTTTTGGAGAATCGAGTGGTCTTTGCAGCAAATTTGTTCGACTTCACCACGAAGCTCATCCCGCAGCTCAGTATATTGCTTTCGTTGATCACTATGAGCGAGCTGCTGGGGCGCGCAGACGTCAAGGTGATTCCAGGTGACGGACGGCCGAGCATGCAGTCTATGGAGGTGAAATCACGAGCAAGCTTTATCAAGGCTGCTGGCCTACAGCCGTCAGCAGAAAGCTCTCAGACTCCAAGCCAATCTAAAAGCTTACACACCCTCCAGAGGTGGAAACATGGGGCTACAGTCACCGTATTCGTCCTGTGGGGGTTCATCGTCCTCCTGCTGCACTCTCTAGCGGCCCAACGTGCAGCGAACTACGAGGTGCTCGGCTGTCGCGCAGTGACGAGACCCTGGATCTCCAGCGGCAAGGAGCCGTGTGCGAGTTTGGTGTACGATTGCCACGCTCATAACACTACAACGCCAGATCAGACGTCTTTCGACAAGCTGGACCCCGTGGTTCTAGCCTCGCTTACAATCGCTCACTGTCATGGGCTCGAGATGCCTCCGGATCTCCAGCGTCTCGAGAATTTGGTGTCGCTGCATATTTGCAACACGACTATCGTGAATTGGAATGTCACGAGCTCCATCTCCGCCACTGTTCACAGGCGTTTACAGGTGGTGCTTGTGGCGGGGGCGCGAATGGACCAAATGCCAGAAGGTATTTTGCAGCCCTTGCCGGGATCGGTCATGGGCTTGCAATTCTCACACACGAACCTCAAGACGTTGCCCGATGATCTGTACCAGCGGTGGCACCCACTAGCTGCGATAGCCTTCGAGCACAGCGAGTTGACCAAGATCCCGTACCAAATGTTCTTCTCGCTCGTGTACACGCTGTCGCTATTAGAGTATCAGATTGAAACCATCCCGACGTTGGCCATGATGCCTCCTGGGATCGTCCTACCGAACCTGCAGCTAGCCGCCAACCCTCTCAAGGAATTGCCAGCAACGCTAATGGAGCCTACGGCGTTCATAGTGTCGATGAATGTGCAGAACACGTCGCTTACAAGCATGCCAGCGTGGGTGAAGACCAACACGAAAGTCGTCTGGGCCTCCGGCACTCCTTTCTGCGCCACACCGATGGTCGATCCGACACTCACGTACCAAGTCATGTGCTCCCAGCTCGCAGGACAAGATCTCTCGTTCCCGATTGACTTGTTGGGCGCACTCTACCCGTACGAGACATAGCCCACGGCGTATCATGGCCAGTAATATACACTATATAGTTACCAATCCGTGTTCAGAGGTTCTCAGACAGCACTCGTTACCGTCAAGCGGAAGTCAGCTGAGCGTCAACAGGTTAGACGTTCGCGTCTGGAGCTATCTGTGCACCCATTGTCGCTCGATTGTCCGATTCAACAGTATTAGTAAAATGATGGACAAAGCTTTGTAACCCCTCAAAATCCTACTTTTCTGATGAACTTCGAGTTTACTACAAGTACCTGTTTCGCTCGCTTCTTTGCGTTCGAGGGATAGTTCGCAGGGTATTTTATACTTAAAAAAGTATAAAACAGCAACTTGGGTTTGAGTTTTGTTTAAGTTTCTTAAATAATAGAGCGATTAGCGACTCGTCGTGTTGTTGGACGTCCCTATAGGTGAGAATGAAGTTTCCACTCGCAAGGCATCTGTAAGTAGCCATGCCGAGAAAGTGAAGCTCCTCAGCTCATATCCATTTTCCGGTAAGGAGCTTGCCACATTGTCATCTTCCAAAACGATCTTCATGGGGGGGGGGGGGGGGGCAAAGCAGTTCATTCGCAGGTTAGGAGCAAGTTGCCTGGCAAGTCGTAGACTTGTTGAGGCGCCCCAAGAGTAGGAAGTAGGTGGCGACTTCCTGCGAATGAACCGGTCTGGCAACATCGCGATGCATGATAGCGTGTGCGCGCTGAGGCCCCATGAAAGTGTAGGAGATAGTGAAGCGCGTGCACCAGTTGGAGCGGCGGTACCCGCGGATCTTGACAGTCGTGACTGGAGCGAGAGGTGGAGTCGTAAGCTGGGGGACAAGCCCATATCCACAAACGTTGGACGTGACTCCGCACAGGACAGCCAATCCGATGAAGGAACCTTGCACCCAGTCGGCCAGGCCGTACTGGGACGTGGAGGAAAACCTTTCCGGAGACGCTGTCATGTCCTCAAAGAAAATCTGCGGTCGAGTTGTGCATCCTGCGTAGATCGGCTCGTAATCCTTGATCGGTGAAGAGGTAATTTAGGTTTCCGCCCCTTGTTGTGGGCGGAGACCAGTTTTCCGCTGAGCATAAAGGCTATTGTGGTCCAAGGACGCTGCTCAGATCGGTCTGTGCTGCATCGCACCAAGTGTCTACATCCCAAATGCGCTGGCGGATCGCATGGATTCAATCCCAGCACCCGGAGGTAGTAGAAGTAGTCTAGCAAGTCATTCTTAGTTTTACCTACAAGCCAGCAGTTGCCGTCCAAGAAACAACCGACCCTCCCGCCCAAGCCCACCTCCCTGAGTCATGGCTCGACCTTCTCTTCAAGTCGGCGGATACCTACTCCTTCGCCCCGAAGATGCCCCAGGTACGCTGACCCGTTTGGCTTATGCGTCTATCGTTGGCGTAGCGAGGGCCAAGGTGGTGGTGAAGCTTGCCGAAGACCTCAGCGACGACGGCACCATTGAGCTCCCTCGCCTCGTAGCCGAGCTGCGCGGGATCCCACGGTCCGAGGCTACAGGATCCCAACTGGGGAAATGGCTCAGGCAGGCGGTGTGGGTTTCCGCCGGAGGAAGTTACCGGTATGGCCAAGTTCGAGGATACTCCGGATCTAAACTGGACATCTGGACTGCTCAAGGCGCCATGTCCGTTACACGACGCCAGCTAGTCGGCGAAGTGCATCCGCTACTTGCGATGACCCTTGGGCACCAAGATTGGCCAAAACGCGCGTGGCCGAAGACTCGGCTTCAGGAGCTACATGAGCGTCTGATGGCCAAGCTTGGGACGCTCGGCGCACCAGCGAGTACACCACCGACAGCGCCAGAGTGGCTGCAGGAGCTAGCATCCGACATGGATGTAGAGCGGCTTGCGACGGCTCAAGTGGAATGGGTCAACGCGCTCTCCGGGGCACAACAGCTCGTCTCGCTTCGACACGCACTGATCTACGTGCTCTACAAAGAGCTGCAAGGCCAACCGCCGCACGGGTTGCTACGCAAAATAGGCAAGTCCATAACCGAAGAACCCCGCAGTTTCCAGGCCTGGGTGGGCCAAACGTCAAACCCAGACATCGTTGACATCGACCACTACCCGTCAATTACTACCCGTGAGTTCCTTGCCTCCCTATCCGAAGGAGAGGAGTCAGATGCTGAAGTCGAGAGAGCGCGTGGTCAACAGCAACCGACGCACACGCCAAGAACGCCACTACGGACCACTCAGCGACATGCACCCTCGAGCGGACGGTAAACGGTGACAGTTCCCAACCTAGCCACTGAGCCTAACGTTACCGGCGAAGATGCAGCCGAGCTGGAACTGATTGAATTCATCCGAGATCAGAGACCGCACCTCCTGCGAACGTACTTGCAGCGATCACTAGGACAGCAGTCCATCCAGAGTCTGCCAGCGACCCGAGTACGCACAGCTTCGAGTGACATCAATCCAGCACCAGCCAAGCGCAACAAAAAAGCATTCTTCGCCACCGCAGACCAAGAGACAGTCCACCAAGTTATAACCTCGGATGCTCACAGAGGTAAGAGCGGAGAGGAGTACATGGAGTATCTGACTACTTCGTCGCTACCCCTTGATTTTCACCCAGGGATGCTGACCCGCCTGTACGACATCGGCTTCGGTTCTAAGGGGTTGTCACTAAGTCACTTCGGTCACGTCGGGTACCTCAATCGGCTTCGCAACGCAGCCACCGGCAGAGTGGACACAACTGACTTCACACTACCGATTCCGCGGCCGCCGGTGATGACCTCATGGAAACAGCTGCACTCGGCAGCGCGAGGTTTCCTCCTGTACTGCAGCGAGATGTGTGATCCCACAACGATTCGGGTAGCGGCGGCTCTCGACAACTTTGCTCTGCAGCTAGAAGGCTGGAACCACTGGTTGCCTGAGGAGATTCCTACTCTCGTACTTTGGATCAACGCCACCTTGGAACGCTATCGCAATGCTCCGGCCCAGGATGCACTCTCAGGCGGTAATTCCCGTTTTGAGGCAACCGGGTGGTTTACCACGACCAACCCAGACCTTCAGGCCCTGTTAATAACCGCACTGTCAGAACGGTCAAACCGACCACAGAGCACGTCTACACGCGAGGATTCTCGGTGGCGACCGCAAGAAGGGAAGGTCCGACACGTCAAGCAGCCGTCGGAGCGCAAGGTCCCCCAGGCAGTCGTCGTAGCGCTACCACGCAAGGACGGAAAAGAAGTGTGCCTTCGCTTTCTCTCGAAGCGAGGGTGTGCATCGGCGGACCCAACAGTGTGCAAGTTCCCCAACTTGGTACACTTTGAACCAGCGACAATTGACCCCATCGTGCGAGACTGCATCAACACAAAACTGGGCGGGATCAGCGACAAGTTCTCGCAGTCCAGCTGATGGCGTCCGGGTTGTGATGATCGCTCACAACTAGGACAGTCCTCGTGTCTACTCATACACAAAGCGCATCAGTCCAACTGCACCTGCAGAACGCCCAGGATAAAGGAAAAACCTCCTGACTTCGCGCGAGAGCTAAGACCCAGCGATCCACCCACCGCCACGAACGCAAGCCTCTGTGGCTTAAGGGCGACTGCGTATGACAGCAACGCATCCATCAACGACGGGATGTACTCCTATTCAAGCGCCGTTCCACCTGACTATGCCAGCAGCCATGAACACTGCGCTGGCAAGGCCCCAGGCATCACGAAGCAGAAGCTGAGCGCCCACAGTCCGGCGAGAGAGAGCTGCAAACCGCTATCTATCGAACGGACTAAACGCGGTAACCTCCCAGAGCATTGGCACCCGAGTGTCCACACCATCAAGGCTTCGGACGACCGGCCAGCCCATGTCAGTCTTCGATGCCTTTGCGTCAAGGTCCAGGCCATGCTGGAGCGCCAGCTGCAGGCAGATGAAACCAAACGCGACGTCCGTATAGCGCATGTGCTGCGGAGAGAAGGAATCGCAGTGCCAAGCGCGGCGCCGAAGACCTCTGATCACACTGGCAAGGTCCCTCGATACTGCCTACACTACAAAAAGCAGCATGGGTTCTCCCGCCTCATATCCCGAAGTCAGTTCACACTTGAACAAGTCGTCGAGCTCGAAAAAGGCCAGTCTCCAGAGGACCCCCGCCCGAACAAAGCGCTATCCCCGAACCGTCTTCATCGACTACTGGAGGGATTCGAGCACCGCGACTCACTATGCAGCGCAGCACGGTTTGGCATTGATCCTCAATGGTCCACGCAAAATCAAGAGCAGCAGGAGCAGCAGCGCATTCCAACAAATCACAAGTCTGCCGATCGCCACCTTAATACAGTGGTGAAAAGCGTCCGCGAAGGCCAAGACGGAGGACAGTATTTGGTACTGGACGCAAACGTGCTCGAAACACTCGGCAACATTCGAATCAGCCCGCTCGATGCAGTCCCGAAAGCAAACACGGACCCCCAGCTCGAAACTCGCCTAATTCATGACCTGTCATACCCTATTGGCAACTCAACCAACGATGCATCGGACAAAAGCTCGTTCCCAGAGGTGCGGTACCGGCACGTGGCGGCAGTCGCGAGAAGAATTGAGGAGTGCTACGCGCAGAACCCAATGATCACCATCTACGTAATGAAAGGCGACGTGAAGGGAGCGTTCCGGCACATCAGTTGATCGCACGCAGTGTCCATTGGATGGGAGCACGCATTGCACAACTGGGCGCTATCATCATCGACATGTCGGCCCCATTCGGATGGACGGGATCTCCAGCCTTTTACGGGATGTTCGGCGGAGCGATATCATGGCTGCTTGGACACGAGAGTCCTGCTACGATGGCAGCACATCCAGCAGATCCGACCCCATTCTTCGCATACGAATGGGTCGACGACCACATTCTAGTAGAGCCCGACGCTCCTGGTCGCCTCGATGCAGCAAGCTCAGCCTTACGAATCGCTATGACTGCAGTACTTGGTCCACGAGCCATCAATGAAGGAACATTTTCGGAGTGGAGCACGAAGATAGAAGTTCTCGGGTTGGAGTTCGATACCAATCCAGCGCACAGTCTCGATGCCACATGCAAAGCTCTTGAAAGCCCAAGACCGCGTTCGAAAGACAGCCCAGAAGAAAAAAACTGTCAAAGTACGAGATGCAGTGTCTATTGGGGAGCCTTCGCCACGTCACTACGTGTCTTAGGAGTGCAAAACCCTTCTACCAGCGCCTCCAACGGTCTATCAACAAAGTGTCACGATGGGGGAGCATTGTGATTGACGAGTCGACACGGCAAGACTTGAAATGGTGCGACGTCATCCTCACGCACGGGCGCTGGTGGTCCCTGCCGACATCAATGTTTTGCGCCGAACCCGCTATCGATGTCCATTTGTACATGGACGCCAGCAACCAGGGCCTCCCAGTTCTCGACCCCGCTCGACGACGGTATATCCAGTTGCTGTATGACGAGCACGAGCACCAGCTAATCGAGCAGACCTCCGGAACAAATGGGTTCAACATAAATGTCCGAGAACAGTTCTGCGTGGCACTCGCAACATGGATCTGGGGTCACCAATGGAAGAAAGACGGTGTACATTTACTTCACGTGCGCTGCTGGACGGACAATACCAGTGCAGCAGCCTGGACCAACAACCTGTACAGCTCAAACCATTTCGCCCGAGAGCTGAACCGTGCTATCGGGTTCGCAGAAGCAACCCTCGGACTACGTATTTCAGCTGGGCACTTGCCTAGTGACTGCAACCTCCTTGCCAATGCCGGGTCACGGGCGCGGACAGCATCCCACGCGAGAATATGGACTAACGCAACTTCTTCGTGGACACAGGACAGCGTTCCGGATCAAGTACGACACATCTACAAAACGTTCTCGACGACCTACAGGTCCGATTACTTGCAGATGACAGCCACCGCAAGTATGCCGGAACGTGGACAGAGTGGAGCAGCTGGTGCAACACACAAGGCTTTCCCCGTGGCTGGCAGGTGAAAACGAAGCAGACTCTCGACAATTGGCGCTATTTGCTGTTTCCCAATGACTCCCACACGACAACAAACCCGGAAATGCTCCCAGCACTGTGTTGTCCAAACTCAGCCAAGTATCATGGTATCATCGCCGATACCGAGGCCTCAAGGTTGGGCTCCACGCGGGGCACCAGCTCGCTGTGCAAGGGATGCTACGGCTGTCACCACCTCCAACCCAAAAAGAACCTGTTACCCCACGCATCCTCCGACAACTCCGCCAGGACCGCAACTTCAACAATGCCCGTGAGTGCGTCCTGTGGGGGGCTGCTCTCATGGACTACTTCTTTATGTTGCGCCGCAGCGAATACCTGGCGGACCGAGGTCAAGTGAAGCCGTACATCCTACGATACGCGGGCGTGACATGCATCACTCAAGACGGAAAACAAGCTCAACATGAAGCTGAAGCGACATCTATTCGAGTATTTTCCGTGGCAGCAAAACGGACCAGTGCGGGCGGGGCGAAACCAGAATCCTCGAGCGCTCTGGACTCTGGTGGCCATGTCCCGTTTGCGCCGCGTGGCTCCTAAGTCAGTGAGGCGAGGCGGGTGAACGCCTTGATCGTCCAGGTGTATAGCGCACTATGCCGGACCGAATCGGTTCGGAGTACCAGAGATATCCGCTGCAATCCGATAGTCCTCGGAGCACAGGACGTGAACCGGGGGCCGGGAGGATCGCTTGGACTTGGTGTGTGTCCTTGTGTCAACCCCTATAGGTATCGTTTACCTTTGGCGGACCGGACTTTACCGAGTGAGTTGTTGTAAATACAGAATCGAGTCTGCTGGGTGTGTTCCTGAAACAAACTACACCGAATGAACAGAAAGTCAGACCGAATCGAAGGGACCACAGTCAGATCCACAATTCAGTATAACCAACACACAGAAATACAATGCCGAGCTAAACGTCACAAAATATACAGCCACCACTTATTCTTTAAGACCCTTGGGTGGGGGGTCTATACGCCAGTCAACTTACGAGCCGTCACCCAAGGCACTGGTCAACCCTGGATGCACACTCACTTACGCGCACCACCCTCACAGAGTGAGGGAACAATACAAAATATAAGTCAATCCTATCACACAGTAGTCGATCAATTCAGTCTCGGGGTGACTACCTCTACCGCCTAAGACACACAGGATGGAATATGAAATGGATGCCCGGATAGAGCACGCAAATTGGAAATAAAGCTCTCACAGATCACTCCAGGGAGCGACACCCAGTCCCTGCCGACTTTGCCTTGGTACCTTTGAGTCAGTGCTCGCAACACCAGTGAGGCCTTGAAACGTCCTCCGTTTTAAGATCGCACGAAGGCGGATCCCACGTATAAGCTCTTGAAGACGTCAATGTCAGGGGGAATTCCCAGCCCGAAGAAAGACGTCCGCGTGTTCTCGGCAAATTGGTTTCTGTTTGATCTTACGTTTGGCTAGCTATCTGTTTCACTTCACTGACTTCTAATAAAGGTTTCACTATACTTGACTTATCTTGGATATGCTTCGACCTTGCGCACGGGACTTCGATCTTCTTGCACTGAGCTTGGGTACGCTTGACTTGGCTTGGTTATCGGGCAACTTGTCGACGTCAACGTTCCTTCGGCAACACTCATCATCTGGCGACAGAGGTACGTGGGTACGGCGTCTCATCAAATCCGCACTGGACCTCTGCGTCTAATCACGTGAGCCATCCTGTGTCGCTTGACGTTCTTGGTCGATCCGGTCCTGGATTGCTGCTACACACACAGCAGTACTGGACTTGTTGTTGGTGCGGTCACGATCCAGTATGGGCGCCAGGGGTCAGACCGAATTGATCATCCGGTCCGGCCTCATTCGGTACGGCACCCTTGGCATCCGGTGCGTCGCTACCGGGTGCACCACGATCCAGTCCGGCAAACAGTGTACTTTGTCCAGCGAGGTCTTGGGCGCATGGGAGCATGGTGGGCATGGTGAACTTGGGGGTTGGTTCGATGTCTTGGCGGAGCCAATGCAGGCAGCAGCCAGGATACGTTCACTGGCTGCACTTGCGCGCCTTAGGCTTATCCTGCGGTCAGGGAAGTCGGCGGACGGACAGGATGTGTTACTCCACACCGAATATGAGCGCTCATCCGGTGGGCACATCTCCGATCCTGTGAGCCCATGCTTACTGCAAGCACCGGGTCCCGCCAAATCCACCATGCGCATCCACTATCCACATGTCACACTCCACGTCACTGGATTCCTGTTCACTACGACCAGTCACAGTCAGGCGAAGGGTCGTCCCATCCCGGCGGTCAGACATGGGTGCGGATAAAAATCCTTTCTCACATCGTGTCAACCGCCCCTCTGCTCATGTTCTTTCACAGAGGATCTTGCCACCGAGGTGACAGGACATGAACCGACCTACACACGATGGATCATCCCACTCCGGATGGAAGGGGGTACCGAATCGCAAAACCGTTCAAAGGCTCTTTCCCAGAGCTCAAGTCAGCCATCGTCTCGTCTCCGTAGCAAGTCTCCACACATCACAATCAAACCATCGGGAGCCGCCGGCTTCACGTCACAATCCATTTTCGATCGCGAGACTCATCACCGCCATGGAAGAGGTCGGCGACAATGCGGGGACGCCTCGCAGCGGACCGCCGGGCCCGGCACAACCTCCGCACGCCCCTCCAGCTGGAGAGGGCGCTGCGGGTGCCAACTCGGGCTCAGGCGGAAACGCTGGTGAAGCGCGCGGCGAGCGCACGTCTTCTGGCGGCGTCAATCACGTTGATGGCGACGTCGAGATGTCCAGCGCTGACGGCATGGACGATCACTCGCACAGCCAGGCGCCGTCGGAGGCGTCTGACAATAACAGCGACGAACACAGTGGGCGCATCCTGAAGACCGAGGGCGACACGATGGAAGAGCGCCTGGCAGCCAAGAAACGCAGCATTCCTGGGCGCGTCCTGTCCGTGGTCGAGGCGCTCAACATGCCTGCGGGTAGCGGCCTTCCGGCGCGACGCAATCCTGCGCCACCATCCAGTCCGGGTATGACCGCAAGCTGGGAGGCACCGAGTGGGTATGCACCGGATGGCGCGTTTCGTTTCGTTGGGGTTCCTGCTCACATGCGTCACCTCGAAGACGACCGCTACATGCGTGACGGATACGCTGGTCTCGAAGTGCTCACCACGATGAAATGCTTCTCAGCGATGGACCTGGCGGGCCTGAATAAGCTGGTGGGCGAGGCCGAGAACGTGAACGAGTTCTTTCTTCGACCTCGTGCCGGGCCACCACCCCGTCCGACCGAGTTGGGGGCGCTGCTCGACTCTGTCCAGATGCGTCGTGAGCTGGCATCAATCTTGTCGGTCTACGATCCTCACGATCTGGCACTGCGTGCATTCAGTATGACTACGTTCATGCGCCGCTTGTTGATCCGGTACCGGACCATTCGCGGGGAGATGCAGGCGACCGGGTCGTCCGCGATCGAGAAGCTGTTGACCGCCCAGAAGGAGAGCTCCCAGTTCGAGGCTCACGTCACGCGGCTGCAGGGACAATGGAGAGCTGTCTTCAATGACCTCAAAGAGACGAAAGAGGCAACAGCGGCACGGTACCGGGCGGACTTCAAGAAACTCATGGCGGAACACGAGGTCGAGAAACAAACGCTACGAGACCGAATCGCTGGCTTGGCGTTCAAGCTCAAAACATCCAGTACGTGGGTCGAGTCCCTCGAGTCTCAGGTCTTCAACGTCGACCGCATGATGAACTTCCTTAACAGGAACCAGACTAAGGTGACTGGCAACTGGAAGCGTCTGGAGGAGTCTTCAAGCACCACCGATCCGGTACCACGCCCCCCACCGAATGGCAGACTCTGATCTCAGTCACGTCTGCAGATGACGCATTCACCGATCCCGGGCCGTTCGAGTTCCGACACGACGGCGATACCGACACGGAAGAGAAGGGTAACGACGGGTCTGAATCGAGTGAGGGCGGCACAGGGTCGCGGGGCAAGCGCGTCACTATCGTGGACGTCACAGGCGAGGCTACACCCGGTAAGACTTCCTCGTCAGAACGTCGATCCAGTGGCGGCAAGCGTCGTCACAAGGCGGTGGCTCGGGTCGTGAATCGCCCCATAGCCTGGGATCCCAACGAGGAAGATGCGCGCCCCATGGACCAAGAATATCCAGTCGATGAAAACCTTGCACGCGCTTCACTCGCCGGGTTTCCCGTTGTGTGGCGCAAGCTTCGGATGGATCTTCAGCTGGCCATGCGGACTGGATTGACGTACTCGGAAGCCACGACTCTGTTGAACAGTGACGAAATGGCCCATCACCTGTTCCATCCTTACGATCTGTCCTGCATGCTGGCTCAGATGATGTACGGGAACCAACTGGACAAGGCTTATTGGACAACCTACGTGCCAGAACGATACTTCCTCCGCGCGGAGAGCATACTGGATCGCTACGCACAGGATGGCCTCGAACCGGATCGGTGGCCCGACCAGATGGACCCCACACAAGATGACAGTGAGCTGCTCTTGGGCGAGAACGAAGAGGACGTTGACAACGAGGATCGTGATGGCAACTGGGAACCCAGCGAGGAGGCTCAAGCCAAGATCGACCGGATGGAAGCTCGTGAGGCAGCAGCACAACAGGATGACACGGAGGTACCGGACGCCAACGCTGCACCGGATCTCGTTTTGCCTTCGACTCGTCGTCCCAAGCGCAGGGCTAGTTCAGTGTCATCTCAATCGGATTCAGCCACCACTGGATCTGGCAAGGAACGCAAGAAGTCTCGACCTGGTGATGAACGCAAGAAGTCTCCACTCGCTCGCAAGGAGATGAAAGATCTTACTCCTGAAGAGCTGACCGTGATCGAGGAACCGGGTCGAGGCATCACTTCGTGGTACCACAAGGGCATCCTGACCACTTTTGCACCCAGTACGACTTACGCCGTCTACCAGTCCGCAGGTTTCCCTGACTACGCACCGAACCACAACGGCGGGACGGGGCCACTCAAGGATCGCTTCAATGTGGACGAGTACCGGGCGATCATGGAGACCCGACCGGGCGAGCGGATGTACAAACGTCGTGTCATCAACCTCCTCTTCCACAAGCGTTACGCCTTGGGAGTGAAGGTCCACGTCGTGCTGACCAAGATCGTGAAGTTCATGAAGGACAACGCGCTGGTCATCTGGTACGCGGGACACTGGGTGACGTATCCAGAGGACTCGTCGTATGGGGTGAAGGAGAAAAAGAAACGCAAGGGTCTGCATGATCCTGTCATCAAGAAATACGCCGAGTTGATCACCGAACTTCTGAAAGCAGGAGCCCCGAAGACGATTCTGTACGAGCCGGGCATCTGGGTATATCCTGCGAAGGTCTGTCCCTGGATCCTGTTTGACAAGTCCGAGAAGAAACCGGATGGGAAGCCGTACACGATGGCCGAGCAGCTCGAAATCCTGGATCGCGAAGAACCGGCTCGCATCCAGTGGACAGGGTGGACCCTCGATAGGATCATCGCGGATCGTCCGGCGCACATCCGGAAAATGCTGCTGTCTCCCGATGAGCGTGCCAACAACTGGGTCTGCGCTGATCACCGTAGCTAGTTGCACACTCGGTGTAGCCACAAGCTAATCTCCACAATTTCATGTCATTCACGTTCATCACCTCACTTCTTCGTCTTAGTCTTATGTCATTCGGTCCGTCATTCTGTCGCTCACTCCATTCAGGGGCACAGTCACTGGTCGATTCAGTCGGTATCTTCATTTTTCCACTACTCCACTCGAATTCTCCACAAATTCAGCGTCGACGGTTCACAATCAGAATCACATTCAGTTTCAGTCAGGTCACACGTCGGCGGTCAGGATCGAGTGTTCAATCCGGTACTAGACACTGGGGTGGTCATCACCAGCCTGCATAGACTGGAACCTGGCCTTAGCACGGGCACTCTGATTGAATTCATACAGAAGCGCACCACAATTGAGCCTGGTCACTGGTAACCACTCAGGATCGTCGTATCCATTCCACTTGATCAGGTACTCGCGGAATCTCGTGGAAGTACGAGTCCGCTTGGCCCACCGGAGGTCCAGAATCTTTTCCACTTCGTACTCATCATTCTGTTCGTCCGGCTCCCAGCTGTCCTCGGGCAGCAGGGCTGCATCGAAATCGTCGTCATCACCCAGATCGAGTTCCGCGGTAGGTTGCTTCGGAAACAGAGCGCGAGGCTTGAGGCGGCTGATGTGTACCCAGGGGTTAACACGATATCCTGTGTCCTCCACCTTGAGTTTCACTCTGAAGTCATCGTGTACCTCTTCGATCCTGAACGGCCCATGCCACATGTGAGCCAGCTTGCGGCTCAATCCGGTCTGGACTTTCGGGATGTAGACCCATACCGAATCACCCTTCTCAAATCCTGTCTTCAGCCTCTCGGACAATTGTCTCCACTTGCGTGTCTGTTCTTCCAATCGTGTTCGCTTCGCTTGTCTCTGGAGGTCCTCGGCACAGGCTATTGCGTAGCTGTAGTCGCGCTGAAATTTCCGACGCCACTCGTACGCAGTGCGTTCAGGCACACTGGATGGTTTCGGTCCTAACATCGCCGACACCGTGCCTTGCGCATCCCAACCGTGTACCAGATAGAATGGAGTGTCCAATCGGGTCGCGTCGAACGAGGTGTTGAGGGCGAACATCAGTCGCTCAGCGTGATCGTCCCAGTCAGACTGGTCAGACTCAGCGATGTAAGCGCGGACGCTCCGGATGACGGTCTGCACCGAACGTTCCTGTTGGCCGTTCGCTTGAGAACGATATGCCAACGTGGCGCGCTGACGACTGCCGAGTAGCTCCCGAAACCGAGTGAAGACCTCACTCATGAAACGTGGGTCTTGATCGTGTCTGATCATCGACGACGCACCGAAATTGCGGAAGATTCGCTCTTCATAGGCCTCTGCTACATCCTGTGCCGTAGTAGACGACATGGGTTTACACATCACGTAACCAGAGAATGAATCCTGCAAAAGCAGTAGGAAGGTGTTCCCTCGTGCCAACTTGGGCATGTGCGTCACAAAATCCATCGACACAACTTCAAACGGGCGCCTGGGCTTGATGTTACCAGGTGACGGTCCAGGGTTGGGAGGTCGCCCCTTTCCACTTGCACAGTCAACGCACTCCTTCACGAAACGTTCCACGTCGGCATACGTGCCGGGCCAGTAGAACTCGGAGCGTAACCGCTCGTGGGTGCGGGTAATTCCCTGGTGTCCACCTTGAAAGTCTTCGTGAGTGTAATGCAGCAAGTCAGCATGCAGGGTTTGTGGCACCACAAGACGTGGCTCATCCTGTACGTCCCGAGGTCGATCTCGAGTAGACCGCGCGAGTCGATACAGGATGCCTCTGGCATCCAGTGCAAACAAGTCCGAGAGCTTCGCGATCTTGCGAAGCCGCCTCGGAGAGAATCGATCCAGGTCGCCACTCAGATACGCTCTGACTTCCGAAATGAACTCATCCTGATCTTGGTGTGCCTTAATCCTGCGCCACCTCTCGGCTTGGAACTCCAACGGACCCAATGGGCCACTCGACTCTGTCTGTTCCTGTGTTTTCGATCTGGTCAGGACCGCCATGACTCGAGCACAGTGAGGTAACGGAGCAGAACCGGGGTCCTGTTCGACATCGTCTGGTGACCCCACATCCGGTGCCACCACCTTCTTCGCAGCCGATCCATCTGGTGCATCCTGAACTCCCTCACTCACATCCTGCGCCACAACCACTGGCTTCATCAGCTTTTCGTGGATCTTTGACACTCGCTGCAGATGGATTCGTTCCTCCTCATCATAGACAGTCCACGTGATACCCAGCGCCAGCGTCTTGGAGGTCAGGTAGTCCGCGGCCGAATTGTATTCACGTTTCACATGAACGAGCCGAAGCGTACTGAATCGTCCTTCCAGAGTTTTGCACCGAGCCAGATGTCGTTGAAGGTTGGGTTGGTTGCAGTTAATCAGCCCTTGGACTTGTTGTATCACAATGCGAGAGTCTCCAACCACGATCAGGTCTTGAACGCCCCGATCCAGTGCCATGGTCAGTCCATTCAGTAAGCCGTGATATTCTGCATCGTTCACAGTGACATCACTCAGGATGAAACCTTGTGCATCCAGTACGCTCCAACCAGGCAGGCTCCACAGGATGCATCCGCAGCTTCCTTGGCGAGTCGACGTCTTGGCTGCTCCATCGAAGCTTAACACAATCCCCTTAAAGTCAGCGTCCAACATCTCCATGCTCACCACCGGTGGTGGCTTGACCCGCCCCTTGGCTGGAATCAGCGACTCTGCGATCCGGTCCAAGTGCTCTCGGGGGGTGATACCCGCACCGAGTATAGCGGCTAGACCGTCTTCATCTCGCTGAATTCGGCGAACTTCCAGGTCCCACTGGGAAAGAGTGACGCCCCATGGTACGCAACGTCCATCCGCTGACTTGGACTGAATCACCCATTTGAGTACCGAATAGCGGGTGTACACGATTATCGAACATCCTTCCAGGATCGTCCTGAATACATCCAGTACTCTGATGATCGTGATGACTTCCTTCTCCGCAACGTGATATCGGACTTCCGACTCATTCAGTACACGCCCCGTGAAACGGACGGGCTGAATCAGTCCGTCATGCTCTTGACCGAGGACTGCACAGGCTGCCCACTGGTTCGCGTGAGGAATGATGACGAACGGCTTGGTCCGGTCCGGATGACGTAGCAATGGGGTTGACAGGATCTTCCGCTTCAGGATCTCGAACGCTTCCTTCGCCCTCGACAAGTCCCTACCGGATCACACTTGGTCGTCGCTCAGCTCGTACAGGACTGCAGCTACCACCGGGAAATCCTCTATGAACTTGTGGTAGTAGTTCAGACTGCCGAGGAAGGACTGGACCCCCTTCAGAGTAGACGGGAATGGTAGATCCAGTACGCCCTTAGCGATCTTCGGCGTCGCCCTGAGTCCTTCTGCACTGATCTCATGAGAGAGATACGGGATCAAGCGCTTACCGAATTCACTCTTCGGTCGACTGACAGAGATGTTCCAATACCGCAACCGAAACAGTAGCGCATCCAGATCGATGCAAAGTTGATCCCACGTAGGCGCCCCATGCGCGATGTCGTCAATGTACGAGCTCCGTCCTACGACAGGGCCCATCTGCATCGGCGCCGGGATGTTACGTTGGAACACAGTCGTCTGGTCTGTCAGCGCGGGTAGACGTCGGTCAGACAGGATTTCGTCGTCCGATCCGGCGTCGCTCCCTGCGACGTTGTCCTCTTGCGGCTTCAAACCCAGATAATCCACTACGTCCTGATCCACCTGAGCTTCCTTACCAGGTGGTAGTCGAACAAAGCCCCACAGACAGTTGTTGATCATCTGCTGGTACACCAGCGGAGCATTCTTCAGACCAAATGGCATGCGTCGCCACTGGTAGTGACCGAATGGCGACACGAACGCCGAGATGAGCTTGGCTCGCTCCGTCATCCTGATCGCCCAGAAGCCGCTGGCCATGTCCAGACTCATAAACCACATCGCGCTCTCGAACCCGATTAGCAGGTCGTCAATGAGCGGGAGAGGATAGCTGGACAACTGGATGAACCCGTTCACGATCCGGTAATCAATGCACATCCGGATGTCGACCCCGTTCTTCTTCAGTACGATCACGATCGGTGACGCCAGTAGTATATACTGGAACATTTCGTGTACGTTTTTTTTTCCAACGTTTCTCACACAACCCTAGAGACCGTTCTATACCCTCTCAGATCAACAAACCTATTCCACACGCCCTTTCCACAAAACACAACCAAGCCGACTTTCCTATGTCCTCATTAAAAACAAGCATTTTTGAAGCAATTTCCAACACCAAAAATTTGCGAAGGTTCGGGGCATAGCTGAGAGACACAGAAATATCTGGATTAGAGTATTTATTTTTTTATTGTTTTCTTCATTTTGTTTATATACGTACAAAAAATTTCTATCTTGATATTTCTTTTATAGATATATACGTACGATTTTTTAAATTTATCATTTCAAATTTCTCAACCAATATATAAGAAAAAAATGGCGAAGTCTTCGGATGCATTTAATCAACTTCTGAAACTAAAGATTCCATTAAAAGCTTGGGGAGACTCTTATCGAGTTAAGATCCGTAATAAAAATGGGCGCGTTGTGTACATCAATAATATTCTCAAGCCATCTAACATCAAATTGATTTCGAGATACTATAAAATTAATGAAGATAAGATCAAAACCAACTTGTCAAACACGCGCATTAGTAAACCAACTTATAAAGCATCAAAGACCAAGTTCGTTGAATCTCATCTTTATGGAAATATCTCTCAACGGTCATTCTTTACCAAACTTGAAAATGTTTTGGCTCATCAAGACAAGGCATTTAAAGTTAATATTCAATTAGGATACAAGCTAATCGATGAACGCTTTGAAGAACCATTTGATTACGAGTATCGACCCCAATCCAATACATCTATATTCGATCAACCGATCGCAATTAACTCTAGGAAAGATATTAGATCGAAGGTTATTGATCATATTAAATCAAAAGATTTCACTACTAAAATCTCTACTCCGAGAAGCGGAGTTAAACTTCAGGAGATTAACGCTTTTAAGATCATGATCTACTACAGAAATCATTCTCTTGGTGATAGTGAAGTAGTTGTTCCGAAAGCAATAACGGATAATCGACACATTTTAAACTTTCCTAAAACAGAAAACAAATGCATGTTCCACTGTATTGCATACCATTTACAAGACGAGCCTAAGAAAGACTATCGACGTATCACAGCCGCAGTAAAACATCGATTCAAACAGTATTGTGAATTTAAGAAAATTAACTATTCTGTAGATACATATAAAGCATTTAAGCCAATTGATATCTATCAGTTCGATGACTTTGAGGAGTGTTTCAAAGTTAATATTGATGTGTTTGAAATGGATATAGAAACGTCAGAAGTGTCTAAAATAAGAGCTTCAGAAAAAAAATTCGAGACAACTATTAACATTATGGATTACAACGGACACGCAATGTATATTACTGATATTGATAAAGCTATGGCCAAATATGTTTGCCCAAAATGTGAAATGGTTTTTGGATGTGCTACTAAACTAAAGAATCATAAGAAAAATAAGTGCGAATCCTAAACATTAGAAGCTTTTCCCCCTAACCCAACACTATACCGACCAGCAGACAACAAAATCAAATCGTTATATGCCAAATATGGTTTAAAGACTCAAGACTTTTACCTTGACCATTTTATCGTATATGATTTTGAAGCAATCCTTAAACCACTCGATGGAAACAAGATTTGTAAAATCGAAGATTGCTCAAAAACGGCAATTTATGGAACTGGTAACGCAAAATCACCAACCCGTTGTCTTGAACACAAAACAAGGCCAATGATTTTAATCGAAAACAAAACAGTTCTAACAAATGAACATCAAGCTGTGAGTGTATCAATCTGCAATAGCTTGACTGGGGAAGTTAGATGTTTTATCAATGAAGATCCACATCAGCTAGTATCGGTAATGTTTGAGTACATCAATTCGATCGCTGATAAGATTATTGATTACAACAAAAACAAGTTCCAAATCCTCTACGAGAAGTTGAACAAACGCTCAGAGAAACTAGATAAGAAGACACTTACCAAAGAACGTACAGCAATCGACGAATCTGTCAGTCAAGTTCCTCTACTTGGTTTCAATTCAGGAAAATATGATATCAACTTAATCAAAAAAGAGATTTTTGATGTAATCGGCTGCGATAACCTACGAATGGTAATCAAGAATCCTGGATATATGTGTATCGCTACTGATAAGCTGAAAATGCTTGACATTAGCAATTATATTACTGCAGGAACAAGCTATGATACATACCTAAAGACATACTTAGGCAAATGCCAATGTGAAGATAAGATTCGATGCACTTGTGAGTTGTCAAAAGGCAATTTCCCTTACGAATATATCACAACATTTGATAAGCTAAACGAAACTGGATTACCTCCAAGAGAAGCATTCGACTCGAAGCTGAGAAACACGAAGATCAGTGATGATGATTATGAACGTATGAAGTTTGTTTGGAACCATTATAATATGAATACCATTAGCGACTTACTTATTTGGTATAACAACCTTGATGTAGCTCCATTTGTAAAAGCAATCAAGATTCAGCGTGAATTCTATCGAGGCTATGGATTAGACATTTTCACGGATGGCGTCTCTCTTCCGGGTCTCGCTGAAAAGATTTCATACCAAACACTTTACAAAGATTTAAAGCTACCTAACCAAACACCGGGTAAAGCATTCAAGTTTCCTAACCATCGCTATAAAGGATACAAGAAGCAAGATGCTGAATCCAATCGCGAATTTGACTTGGCAATTGATCATCTCAACCATCTATTAGCCAAGCGAAAATATATGTGTTCGTATTGCAATTGTCAATTGAATGAGTCGAACGTATCTGCTGACCGTGTCAATAACAACAAAGGCCATATCAATGGCAATATCAATATTAGTTGTATCAGTTGCAATGTAGCTCGTAAAGATATGTCAATCATTCGATTCAAAGACTACAAACTAACGGAAGCAAATGCGAATAAGCTTATCTGGTCCATTGATGAGGAACACAAAGACATTTTTTACAAAATGAAAGCAAACATTGCTGGAGGTCCATCGATAATTTTCAATCGTTACGCTGAAGCAAATGAAACATTCATCAGACATAACAAATCGAAGCTTGTGAAGAAGATAATTGGTTATGACGCCAATGCTCTATACTTATGGGCTGCAGGAAACTCGATGCCTTGTGGTCGCTTAACTACTATTGAAGCATATGATGGTATTATGGATGACATCATGAATGATAAACAATTTGGATTCCTGGAATGTGATATTGAAACTCCAGCGCATTTGAAAGAGTATTTCAGTGAGATGACACCAATTTTCAAGAACATTGAAATTAATCCTTGTGATGAATCAGTCATTGGTAGCCACATGTATGAATACAACAAGACTCAAAAAGATCGCAAGCGTACAGCATCTAGAAAACTTATTGGTAGCTATTTTGGTGAAAAGATTTTGGTCTATACACCGCTACTAAAATGGTACATTCAACACGGAATGGAAATCACCAAGACTTATTCATTCATCAAAGCATATGAGTCTCGACCATTTGAGAAGTTTATGAATGCTGTATCCGATGCTCGCCGGAAAGGTGATAAAAATCCTGATAGTAAAGTATTAGCTGAAACGATGAAGCTTGTTGGAAATAGTGGTCCATTTGGACGATCTGGCATGGATAAAACAAAGCATAAGGAAGTTAAGTATCAATCAGATGAAACTAAAATTTCTACTGCAATTGAGCATTTTAATTTCCATCACTTGGAACCAATCAGTGGAGACATTCACGAAATTACGAACAACAAGCGACGAATCCAAATGAATAATCCAATTCATATCTCAATTGCAATCTATCAACTTGCCAAACTCCGTATGCTACAATTTTACTATGATTGTATTGACTATTACTTCCATCGCTCTGACTTTCAGTATCAGGAAATGGATACCGATTCAGCCTACATTGCATTTACTGATGAACACCCATTTGAAAACCTTATCAAACCAGAACTTCGTAAGCACTATAAACTGCATCAATATGATTGGTTTCCTAGAGAGGATACTGAGGAAAATGCTGCATTCGATAGACGTGTTCCAGGTTTGTTCAAGGAAGAATGGAGAGGTAATGCTATTGTATCACTCGCAAGCAAGAACTATATTTGCTATGATGGTGATAAAGGTCATAAGCAAAAGGTGTCTGTGAAGGGTGTTCAACAATCTAATGGTAAGAATTCTGACATTCTAAACCCGAATGCATTCAAAAGCATCGTTGAAAAACGAATTACATTGTCTGCAACAAACAAAGGCTTCCGCATTGATAAACAAACGCAGAATATCATTACATACTCACAGGAGAAGGTAGGATTAAATTACTACTACGATAAGAGGAAGGTTTTGGAAGATGGTATTACAACGATTCCATTAGAAATCTAATCCCTAATATAAAGATGTCTGACTTACTACTCACCAAGCTCTACCACAACCCAAAGACTGGTTTCATATCAGCAAGCAAGCTATATCACAAAGCAAAAGCTATCGATCCAAGTATTACACTAAAACAGATAAAGGAATGGTATGCAAAACAATCTAATATACAAGAACATCAAGAAAAACGGAAGAAGGATGAATCATTCAAGATTGTTTCACACAATCCAAATAGCTGGCAAATGGACTTGGCTTTCTATAAGAACACTACATACTTAACCATTATCAATATCAATTCTCGTATTGGTTTTGCCAAGGTATTACCAAACAAGCAGGCATCATCGGTTCTTCATGCCCTAAAACAATTCGTGAAGACACACCACGTGAATATTATCACGTCTGACAATGGAAAAGAGTTTCTTAATAAACAAGTCTTGGACTTTTTCAAATCACAAAACATTGAGCACTTCAACAATGAACCAGGAGATCATAATACCCTTGGTAAAATTGAACGATTCAACCGCACAATAAAACAGAGACTCATCAAAATAAATCCAAAGAAATTGACTCAGAAGTTGCTTATGGATGTAATTGAAAACTATAATTTAACCGAGCACAGTGCAATCCACGCAACTCCAAATGAAATGAAAGGTGAGATTATCCAAAATGATCTAAAACATAACCAGCAAGTATTGGAGCAGGTATCGAGTGAATTCGAAATAGACGATAGCGTTCGATATCGACTTAAACCGAAGACATTTGGAAAGGAATCATCGAAATGGAGCAAAACAGTATATAAAGTAATTGGTATAGATGGATATCGGGTAGAAATCAAATCAAAGAACAATCATACACTTTACAAACCAGCAAGCGATTTAAAAGTTGTCCAAGCAGAACAAACCGAAGCACCTGTTGAAAAGAATCAAATCTGGGAAGTAGAAAAGCTTTTGGACCACAAGAAGGACGCAAATGGTAAAACTAAGTATCTAGTGAAATGGAAAGGATACGCAGACAGTGAAAACACCTGGGAGCCACAAGACAATCTCAGATTGATTAACAAGAACAGGATGTCAAATTTAGAGAAATTATACTTCAAATCCAAAAAATAACATCAATAATATAAAGATGACTTGTAAATTTATTACCAAAAAAGACACGCAATGCACCAGAGAAGCAAAAAAGGGTGATTACTGCACTCAGCACCATAACATCATCCAAATAAAAATGTATAAGAAGGAACTATCTATAATCCATAAGAAAAACAGAATACTGTCTGAGGAGAATAAGGAACTGCAAAAATATAAACATCAGATTAACACGATAAACGAATTTGACTGCACAACCTAACATTACATCATTGGGAACAATTTCATCAACACTCACTATTAGTGGATCTACTCCTATAACTTGTAATAACTCCCTGTCCAGTAGCACATGCTCATTATCTGTTGATTCTGTATCTGGAGATCAGACATTTGGCAGTACAACAGCGAATAAGTTTCATTTGAGAACAAATGGGAATAGAAAAATAACGATAGGATCCACTGGATTAGTAGGCATTAATAATACATCTCCAGCTAAACAATTAGATATTATCGGATCGACAGCATTAACAAACTCATTGTATCAAATCACTGATGGAACAGTAATTTATCAGCAGTGGTTCGATGGGACTCAATGTTGTCTCCAAACGTTTTCAAATCATCCATTGACTTTTGCATCAAATAATGGATCTGTGCAAATGTCAATATTAACGAATGGAAATGTAGCTGTTAATAACACATTGACAGCTACGAATATATCCGCTTCAACTTTATATGGAACCCTTCAAACAGCTGCTCAGCCCAATATTACATCGATTGGAACTTTAGCGACTCTTACGGCTACATCAATTACTGGAACACTTCAAACAGCTGCTCAGCCAAATATTACCTCAGTTGGAACTTTAACATCATTGAATACGACAGGATTAATAACCGCTACTTTAACTGCTAATGGGCAATCGTTTAGATCTATAAATGGTACTTCAACATGTGCTCTGTTTCATTTTAACAATGGGGATGCTTATTTTGGAACATCTACAGCAAACAATTTAGTCTTTCAAACAAGTAATACAGGAAGAATGACAATTAGTTCATCAGGTGCAGTATCTGGAATTTCATCGCTAAGTGCTACAACATTAACCGGAACTCTGTCTACAGCTGCACAACCAAACATTGCTTCCACTGGAGATTTAACATTACCGAGTTCGCTCGCGATAACGAATGGAACGACTCCACTTTCAATCAGTAATACAACCTCAACGAGTACCTTTCGCTTAACCATTCAAAATAGTGGTGGTGCTCAAGATATTGGCTCTTTTACAAGCCATAGTTTCTTTTTAAATTCAAACAATACAAGACGATTACAATGCGATACTTCTGGTAATGTAGATATTTTAAATCATAATGCATCTACTATTGGATTAAAGCTTGGTGGAACATTAATTACATCGTCGGCTACTGAATTAAACTTTTTATCTGGAGCGACCGCTGGGACGGCAATTGCAAGTAAAGCTCTTGTGGTTGATTCAAACAGAAACATCACGAATATTGCAAAAGTAAATTTAACGAGCTCTGATGCTACAACGACTACCGGAACTACTAATGCAAGTGCTTTTGGATTAAATATACTGGCTACAACTAATGCAAATGGTCAATATAACGCTGCAGGAATAGCTTTTAGAAACGCTCTTAGCGATGGCATGCCTCATGGAGTAATTTTATGTCAAAGAACAGCAGCTGCGGCTGGCGATCTAGTGTTTCTGACTCAATCAGCGACCAATAATTTATCAGAGACTTTACGTTGTTTATCAACTGGAGCTATTGCTGTTAATGCTACAGCCAACGCTGGAATTACTTGTTTTGGTTCCGCAAACTATGTTGATGGTTCATACCAGAAAGTATTAGATTTGCAATCAAACAATGTGTCTCCAATAGATTTTTGTATTGAAATTAACTCTGGAGCAAATACAACTACCACAAATGCTACTTGGATGGGCAATTTGACTAATAATGACTTGCGATTCGGAGTCAATAACTCAACTAAAATGATTCTTGATACAAATGGACGACTGGGAATAGGTACAACAACACCAAGTACAACTCTACACGTTAGTGGAACCATTTCGAATACATTTAATGTTGGTGGTCAGTTATATGCCCAAGGAACAAGCACAGCTTATACAACAAGTCAATTGGGTCCAGTTACAGTTAGCGTTGCTGCTATGTTTGGTGGTCCTATTCAATGTTCGTCGATTTATTGTACATCGGATCGTAGATGTAAGGACATTATCGACCAATTAGACACTGATTATTGCGATAAATTCTATGATCTAAATGTTTATGAATACAAATACAAAGGGTCAGATGAAACAATTCCAAAAATTGGTTTCATTAGTCAAGATTTGTATGCAGCTGGATACATAAAATTACTCTCAATGACACCAAATGAAAATCTGAAGAAAGTGGATGAAAACGACATTGAAGGATATCAGATGAACATTGATTATAGTAAAATTACAGCGATCAACTTCTGTATGATAAAAAAATTACTCAATCGTGTGAAGCAACTTGAGATGGAGCTAAAGCATAGCAATCAAAACAAGTAAGCATTAGAACGAAGTTCGAGAGTCGGTAGCCCATCGGGCACCAGGGGATCTATGATCCCTCACCTTGACTCGAGAACAAGTTCTCTTGTCTTCGGACAATTGGTAAAAAAACATTTTTTTGTCGGCAGGCGTACACCCAGAGGGGTCCAGGGTATCTTCTGTCCCTCGCCAATCTACTCATATTCGACTACTTCCCCTGTCAATCGATCGATACTCATAGAACGACCGTATACGACGAGAATTAGACAATTCATTCCTTGACTGGAAGTATTGGTGCCGGAGACAAGGATAGATTGAGGCACATCTGGATTCGTTAATCGAGAGCAGTCTGCAATTAGAACACGCTGGCCAACATCCCATTTGTAGGAATCAAATAATCCATTGCTAATCTCATGCGATAGAGCTCCATTAATAGCTCCGAGCTTCTTGACTTCGTCTTGGAACGATTCAAATGAGTAATCATGCGTTTTGTTGAATACATTTTCATTGCCAACCATTACTTGGAAATTGCGAATGCTTGCTCCTGGCTGACAAGTCCATGGAGCACTGTCAAACGGGGATTGAAATTGTTCAATATTCGTTGCGCTTAGGAAATGACCACTGCTTGTTTCACTGAATGGAATCAGAGCAATGTATTTGATATTCTTTAGGCTTGAAGATAATTGAAAGCTAAACGGAGCGTTTTGCTGAGAGTTCTGTTGGCCAGTGCCTGCTTTTGATTTGAAATACTGTGCGTAGCAATCGAGGTAATTGATTTTCTTTACAGGTTTAGCAACAATTTGACTTTGATTAGCGATATCGTAGAAAGGGATATATAAACGAGTCGTTGTAAATGGGAAGATTTGACCAGAAGTCGAGATCTGTGTAATGTTGTTGGACATAACGCCGAAAGCTACTCGAAGTGAGCCAGCTCCACCAGTTGTAAGTTTTCCTGCATTTGGATTACCTGGGGCCGCACTTGATACCATTACTGGAACCGTCGAGCAACCGTTTAGGGAGAGAGAGGATAAGCTCATTAAATCACCAGTTGCAGTTGTGATATCAACAAAGCCGGTATTGAACGTCATCGTTAATTTGATTTGAGGGTTCGCAACAAGATCCAATTCCTTAAAGATGGGATGGAGGTCAACTAAACGAAGCTTTAACATATAATACCACGTACCAGCAACACCTCCTGCGGTAGTAACGCCAGCTACGTATCCACCAGTACCTTGTTGTTGAATTTTAGAGAGAATTGCACCACTTCGCGTTGTCGGCCAACCAAGAGGGTTTGTTGCTGTAATCGTTGCTCCAGTGGCATCAGAGGTACCAATTTGTTGTGGATTCCAAATTAGACGCTGGATTAGTCCGTTATTAAGAGCTGGAGTTGTTTCTGGAATTAAACCAGTAGCTACAGTTGTGGCAGCATTAACTGAATTATTCACAAAACCATCTCCTTGTGTTGAAGCGGTAGGATGGCTACTACTTTGTGGGAAATTCAGACTGACTACATCATCTGGAGCAAGATAGCAGTCTGCACCGTTCTTTAATAAATCATCATCACACCATTCAGTTTGAGCTCGTAAATTGTTCCAATAATTTTTATAGTCATTGCTCGTAATGACACTTTTACCGTTAATTTCAACCGCTAATTTATCTAAAATGTTCCATACACCAGCCTTTAATCCTACCGCAAAACGATTTAGAGTACCATTAAGAGCAGCGCCAGACGTATTTTTAACCGTTACTACATAAGGAACGACAACATATGCATCTCGAAGACTGCCATAGCCAGTCGAGCCATTTAGTTGTGAAGTCGCATTAATGATGACAGTTCCCGATTGATACGAACTGTTGTTGTCATCAACGACATTTACAACACGCTTATCTTTACTCACACTGATAACTGGGTCAGGACTAGTAGTTGAGTCAAATAAAAACGAATCTGCTAATTGCGTGCTATCACTCATTATTGTAATTGAAGTTTAATGCCTGTTATATTATGATTAGCTATATATAAGCATTACATAATGATTTTAAAATTAAATAAATTGGGTAAATCAACCGCTAATGAACTACAACAACTTGCGAATCAGCTGAACGTTCATATCGATGGTATATTAGATTTCAGAAACATTAGAGCTCCATTAGGCAACGGAAGCTACATTATATTACTTCGATTAGACTCAGGTGTAGGCCATTGGGTTTGTGTGTGCAACAATGAATACTTTGATTCGATGGGTTTGGGGCCTCCAAGAATTCTGGGTGATATGAAATGTAATAATAAACAGTTTCAAGGGACCTATGATAATTATTGTGGTTTATGGAGTCTGTTGTATCTTTATAGCAAACAACACAATCAACCTGACATATTCAGAAATTTTTACGACTTGAATACAGAAGTTTCGCGTCGTTAATATAATTATGAATAGAATCAGACGTTATAGAGATACTGGAGTTAATGAAGTTGCTCCAAAAGATGATCATAGAATCGATGCAATAATGAAAGAATTGGAGTATCTTCGCTCTGAATTGGCTCAAAAAAAGGTTGAAACATCCATTTCAAAATACTTCAATGAAGAGATATTTACAAAAGATAGAGAAGCTTTACTCAAAGATGGATTTGTTAGCAAAGGAGATTATCTCGAAATCCCATTGACAATACTGAATGCTAGATACAAACAGTGGTGCATCGATACTGGACATAATCGTATGTTGCGTAAAGCGATCATTGAGAACATCCGAAATGACAAAGTCGATGGAGTTGTGTTCAAATATTATGATGGATACGACAAAATACGTGTTTTTCCTAGTTAGTGTGCTTTTCGTTGATGTTTTGACACTGTAGGTTCCAGAGGAACCCGAGGCATCTCTGATGCCGGCTCTTTAAACTGGCACTGATTAAATCAATTTCTTTACAAAGCTGTATTATTTCTGATGCTGAGTGCTTTTGTAATTTCGAGTACTCATATAATTCACTCGTTATTTCGGTATCTACCGGTTCATTGAGCTCGACATCTTCAACATAACCAGTATCATCGGTATCGGATAGATACGTAATATCCATGCTTTTTGTGTCTATATAGATAAATATATTTTGTTTGTTCAATCACCCAAATGGGTAGTGCAAACACCCAACGTTGGGTTGCATCGTTTGATTGGCTGAAATACGTATAGAAAGAACGTCCCTCACTCGCAGAAAACAATTGGACACATGGTGACACTGGTGTGCGCGCTCGTCGGTGTGAAGGGAAACGCATTCCCTGTGGACATCGAGGCGAGTCAGCTGGTTGGCCACTTGAAGGACGCTATCAAGGCGAAGGATGAGGATGAGGACATCAAATGTTCTGCGCGCAAGCTGGAGCTGTTCCTCGCCAAGAAGGGCGACAACAAGTGGGTCGAATCAAGCACAGATGATGTGAAGAAGCTCAAGAAAGGGGAAAAGACTGCTCTAATCGAAGCGCTGATACACGAAGACAATGAACTGCAGGGAGAGTCTGGCCTTCAGAAGGTGTTGAAGGATATGCCTGAGCCGTCCACCGATCAAATCCACGTGTTGGTGGTGGTTCCACCGTCCAATAAGAAGCAGCGTTTGGAGTGGCGGTCGACTCCGTGGGGATCACACACTTATGACCCGAATTCGCGGTACTTCTTGCTGGAGAAAGAGGACATGGATGAGTCCGGACTTCCACCTATTCGCCTGATGCTCTATTGCAGACCCACCTTCCACAGCCAGTTCGAGTTCTTGCGCGAACGAGTATTGAATGAAGGTCATCTGGGCTGGATCCTCGGTCCTCCTGGAACGGGGAAGTCAACAACTGCAATGGCATTCGCGTCGACTGTGAACAGAAGTGAATGGATTGTGACGTGGATCCACGTGGGCAAGAACATGACGTGGCGGTGTGTGCGTTTGATTGGCGATGAACGGAAGACAAGAGCTATCGACATTGCGGACATGGATGAAGTGTTGCGGATTGATGACGACACAATGCATCACCTAGTACTTCTGGATGGGTGGACTGCTGCAGACTCCTTTACTCAGCTGACCGTGAAATGCGTTGAATGGTTCCTTCAGAGCAATGAGATTAAGCAGCGGCGACTAGCGTTTGTTTGTTCCGTTGCCGCCCGTGGTAAGGTTCAAGAGGACATGGAGATCCTGACAAACGCAATGGAGTTCCATGTGTGGTCGTGGACTCTAGACGAGTACCTCAATGCGATCAAGGATGACGAGGTGTTCCAGAGTGTATCGCAATGTCTGGATGCCCCTGCAGTGTTGCCAAATGAAGAGATGTCTCGCGCGGCAATGGTAGAGTCCAAGTATTACTACGCAGGTGGTTCCTGTCGTTATATGTTTCACTTCCGTACTGCGACCGTGGCGACAAAGTTGAGTGATGCCGTGGATACTTTGAACGATGCTGCGACTGTTGCAACAAGGGGCCAGCGTTCATCTTTAAGCATCAACCGTCTGTTTGGGATGTTCAAGCGACCAGATTGGGAAGGTACTGTGTCGCCGTTGATCAGTCAGTATGCTGCTACAACAGTTGCTATCTTATGCGGTCCGGAGGCTATCAAGAAGTTCATGTCGACGCATCGAGACAGCTCAAACCCAGCTTTGGATGGATGGATGCTGGAGATGGTGTTCTTCGCAAGTCTTCGAAATGGTGGCCTCGATCTTGTTGATGCGGCAGGAAACAAGCTTGAATCGTGGAATCAATCAGTTATTGTGGTTTCTGATGCAATACCTGCGCTTTCTTCTGCTCATCCCGTTTGGATTAAGCCAGAAAAGTGGAACCAAGGCGGATACGACGCGATTATGGTGTGCAAGCGTACTCGGCATGTGCGCTTGGTGCAAGTGACGAGTGCCCACAAGCATTCTTTTCGTATCGAACACTTCTATGGATGGTTGATGATGCTGTCGAAATCGCCCGAAAGTTTTGAGGTGGAGACAATGGAGATAATCTTCGTCGTCGAGCAAGACAAGCTGAGCGCGTTCGACTTCACAACGGTGACGGGACATGGACTCCTCGTACCATTTGATTGGCCGAAGGGTAAGGAGACAGACTTGGTACGGCTGGTAGGGATTCGAGGGTTATATAGTCTGTAGCGTTATGCAAACTTCTATTCATCTCCCCTAATTCTATTCGCTGCAATATTTGCAAGCAACGTAATCAATCGTTGTCTGAATCGCACGTGTTGTTGTGCAACGGATGAAGAAAGGATTGCATCAGCGTCTCACGAGACGACCGGCTGATGTGTATGTAGATTGATGGTGTTGTGTCATGGTTGATGCTTGATGCGAACGACACATGGTGCGACCTTTCCTGAGGACGATGTGATAAGACACCTTGACGAAGAATTAAGCTTCTCTCTGATAGCCGGTCTAAACCGATAGTGTCAAGATGGTAGCGATTTGCCTCCAATCTTGAAATCTTGAGCTACTTCTTGAACAATGTATTCATTCCCCAAAGCTCGTTGGTTCTGATCACCTTTATGATCTGATAACCTGCAGAACCGCAACAAGGACTTGACAGATGTTACTGCTAATAGAGGTTCTAGATTCAGATAATGGAGGTTAAGACAAAAAAAAGTTGCTGATATTTTTTAATTTTGTCTGCTAAATTCGTTCAAGTTCTCTTTCAATGATGGACATTTATTCTTGATATATTCATTTTTACACATCCAATTGAAATATTGGGTATCGTTTTCAACAATCCACTTTACGGATTTGTTCTTATGTTTGCCCCACCGCATGATATAACTATCGTCTCCATCTTGGAACTTACCTTGTAAAAAGCGTTTGATATCCGAGTCTTCGGATTGTTGGTTGTATAACCATCGACAGTATGATGCATCTTGATCATGCACTTCCTCAAGAGCCTTTCCTTTGTATTTTCCGAACTCTAAAATAACAGACATTTTTATGTGTAGTGTATGATGTATCCCTATATACTACTTACTAATTTTATGTCAGAATTGAAAAATAAATACTCTAGTCCAGATATTTCTGAGTCTCTCAGCTATGCCCCGAACCTTGGCGAATTTTTGGTGTTGGAAAATGATTTAAAAGTGCTTGTTTTTAATGAGGTCATAGGAAAGTCGGTTTGGTTGTGTTTTGTGGAAAGGAGGTGTGGAATAGGGTTGTTGATCTGAGAGGGTACAGAATTGTCTCTAGCGTTGTGTGAGAAACGTTAAAAAAAACGTACACGTAATGTTCCAGTATATACTACTGACGCCCAGGGTGGCGTAGATGTCTCGATCAATCCAGTCTCCAACAACTTCTTCAGCAACGCGTACACCTTCATCGCAAGGTGTGGTGCGACCGAGCGTGCCCTCTGTGCGACAGGCTTAGCGTCTCCCACATCCAGATCGCAAACGACTCCGCGAGCTGGGGCAGGTGCCGCATTTCCTTCACCTAAGAAGATACCTCGGTGGTACCTCAGGATGCCACGTAATCGGTGCTCGTCATCCGGCGTGCTCACGCCAGGTTCGCCAACATCAGCCTTGTCAATGTCGCACTCGGGACTTAAATCCTGCACCTCCGGGAGGAGTGCGAGTTGGTCTCGCAGCTGTGAGAGCAGATCGCTCCCTTCATGAATGTACATGGCTGGTTCAAAGTCCAACTCCTCCACACTTAGTCGCATGACCCGCTGGTACTCTTCTTTGAGTTTCTGCACCGGCGTGCAGGGCAGGATACCGGATGGTAAGTCGGAGACATCCTCGTCGGTCACATCTGGTGCGTCTTCCGACACTTCGTCTTCATCCGGTGTAACCGCGTCAAAGAAGTCCTCGTCATCTCCATCCTGTGCAACATCCTCATCCGGTGCGACAGCCTCGAAAAACTCTTCGTCATCCGATTCGGTGTCACTGGTGAAGTCCTCAGCACCACCCGGAGTCGCACTAGACTTCACAGTCGGGTCAGTCTCTGGTTCCTTCGTCAGCGGTGTTATGCGCTTGAAGCTCGGTTCTTTCACAACCAGGTCCTCCACGACCGGATCCCCACCGAGTTCCACGATCCTGTCCGACTCGGTCACCGGATTCTGCAACACCGAGGTGAAACACGTCACGTCCTTCTTCCCGTCCGGATGTAGCATCAACTTGGTCGGCCATGAGTACTTCGCAGGCTCCACGGCGGGCGGTTCACGATCCCAGAGCGCTTGCAGCCGACGTTGTTCCCTCAGCTGACCCTGTTTGGACAAGGTGTTCTCGTAGATCATCACCTGCCACCCCTTGTATGCCCTCGATCCGGGACGGACGAACCGTCCTACGGTCGGGAAGAATCCATACTCCACAATGTAGGCCAGCGTGGTCCCGGCCACGATCCAGAAATTGTTGGACGAGATGTTTACGACCTTGACTACCTCGGGCCAGGACTTCGCTCCGTACACGATCTTGGTCACCCAGCGATCACCACGTCCAGCCCACACGACTTCTCGCTGTGGGTTGGCTTGGCCGAACCGGATGCGCACAACAGCCTCCTCACCGGGTCGAAGGTACAGGGTCTCCGGCGCTCGGACTGGCAACCTCATTCCTTGTCGGCGTTGCACCTTGTCCCCGTACATGAGCACAGGCTCTTCATCCGGTAACTGCAGAAGTCCTTCTCGTACACACAACCGAACGCCGGCACAGAACATAAAGTTCATACCCAATAGCACGTCCACACCTTCACCGATATTCGCAACCCAGATGTCCATGACGTACACCACTCTCGATCCGAGCGTGATCTTGACTTGCGTGCTAGCAGAGATGTAAATGGTTTTGCCACCCAGTCCGGACACCTTGATCTGTTTATGCCAGTTGAGCTTGATCTTGAGTCTACGCGCAAGATCCAAACTGATCATACTCACCGACGCTCCGGTGTCCAACAAAATCTGCAAGCGGAAGTCGTTCACTGCGCCATGTACCGTAGCCACCTCATGCGAATCCTTGTCTCGCTCATGATCAACCCACCATCCATACCGCTCACCCGGTTCCAGCCGAAATTCGGTCGGTCCATCCGGTGCTCGCAATTCGGAACGGCTCAATCCAGAACGATCATCAACTTGGTGAGGATGAATCGGGTCATCGTTGCTCAGAGAAATCATGCATTGTTGGTTATCTTGGTGGCTGATCCTCAGCTCTGGTCCGACGTAGGCTAACACACACAATTCAGGGGCCTTCAGCCCGGCGCGTATTGGGTCCTCACCCAGAGGGCTTAGTGGTTTAACGGCCCCCCTGAATTCGCCTTGTCATCCAATAGCTGATCCAGTAGATTCTTCGGTATGTCCTTCAGTGCTCCATCTTGTGCCAGCTTCTTCAGTGCTTCGATGGTCTTCATAAGCTCACACGGTCCTTCATGAAATCGTTCACAAATCCTGCACGGGTTGACCTTGCACACGCGCATCGGGTGTCCGCGTCGGTGACAGCGATCACACACGATGTCTATCCAGCAATTCTCCTGTCGGTGTCCACTTCTCACAGAATTCATTCCAATCAGGATTGCTTCTTCTCGGCGACTGCGGCGCGGAGGGCCGACCGAATCGAGACGCCCCTGACTGTTGGCCAGGTGGCGGCGGTCTCCATCCTGAGCCCGTCATCACCCTAAACACTGCGTCACGTAGTACACCTTCATCCAGCAATGGCGGTACCAGGTCGGGATCCACCGGTCGTGTCGAGGCAGGAGGGACCGAGTCGTGCTTTGGTGCGACCTCGACTCGGTGTTCATCCACCTCGTCTTGGAAACGCACATGACGATCCTCTTCGTCTGATTCACCCTCGCTCTGAACGACGTATGCACGGCCAGGACCCTTCGGTCTGAATCGCTCGCGTTCGCGGTCTCGATACACGTTGCCCGCGCGGAAGTCGCGTGGTCTGGATGCCGAATTCTCACGTCCGCTGTCCTGGTGATCGTCTTCGTATTGACGCAGAATGAACTCCAGGTCGTCGATGCTGTGCAGACGCTGGCTCTTCAGACTGGATCGAAGCTTCGACTCGGTCAGCTTCCGGATAAAACGCTTAATGTGCATCTCACGCGTCCTAGATGACTTCTTGAACTCCACATTCGCCTTGCAGGCGGCCGCATTCAGTCGGTAGAAGAAGTCATGCGCCGATTCAGTCCGTCCTTGCTCGATCGTGTAGTACCTCTCCGAGTCGGACATCCTGGATCGGCAGTACTTGCGCTTGAACGCATGGGATGGCTGGGTCCAGTCGTCTCGTACATGCCTCGGCAATTGTGCACGCCAGTGGCGAGCGGATGTAGGAAGCTTCAGGCGTAACTCGTACACCTTCATGCTGTCCGTTCAACCACCCTGAACGGTCAAGGTGAGGAATCACTCCCACCATCGTGTCCGCTCATGGTACGACGCCTTGTCGCCGAAGTCTTCGAGTGAGTTTGAGTTCACGTACGGCCGGAAGTTCATCACCGTCTTGCCGTCCTTCGTCGTCACCGACGTGGAGTGCGTGGGCACGTTCGCGAACGAGTCGTCGGAGTCGCTTGAGCTGTAGCCCTCGTCGTAGCCGTCATCAGAGCTCGAGTCCGGGTCGGATCCGGAGGGGTCACCACTTCCGCGACTCCGCCCACCGGATGAACGCTTGCGCGGTCCTAACCTGGTGTCCTTCGCATCCTTGGCAGGCTCCTGCTTCACGGGCACCTTCTTCGCGTCCTTCGCGGGGGCATCCTGCTTGTCCTTCGCCGGCGCAGCTTGACCAGCGCACGCCTTGGCTCCCGTGGTTGCTGTCACCTTGAGAACGCTGTCGATCGTCGCCTGAAGTTGGGCTGCTAGAAGCTCGTCGGCACGCTGCTTACTGGATGGGCGCCTGACCAGACTGGATAGGCACACTGGATACTGGGTGCAATGTCTCACGCCCGGTCTCTGTCTTCACATGCGACACCGAATCAGGTCCTGATGTTGCTTGAGCCACTGGATTTTCCTGGCGTGTTGCACGAAGGTTGTGTAACTGGTGGGGCTGAAACCGCTGAATGTTCCGGGAAGATTCTCGCTCCCTCTCCCGCTCAGCTTCAATCTGGTGGACCTTCTCTTGGAATAAATCCAGTTGAGCGTTGAGTCCCCGTTGCACATCTTCGGCCCATCGGGTTCGTTCGGCTTCGGCTTGCGCTTCCTGTTGTCTCCAGCGTTCGGCGAACTCGGCGGCGGCGCGCTCGTGCTCCAGGCGTGCTTCCTCGGCGCGGGCGCTCTCGATGGCGGCCGCCACTTCATGCGCCTGCACCGTCGACATCGGAGACGTGCTCGGCACGCTGGGAGGCTCCGGGACTGGGGCGTCCGGCCTCGATCCGGTCTGCACACTGCCTTGAGGGGTAGCGGTGCGTCCAGCGAGCTCTTGGATCGCCTGGAACGCGCTTTGAAGACCTTCATTCAGTCGGGCCGCGTTGGCAGCGGATGCCTCCTGGTTCAGCTCCATCCTGGCCAGGGCTTCCTGCGTCTGGTGCATCGTGTTGAGTGCAACTTGGGACGCCCCAAACATCACGGACATCGCTGAGCGGCTCGATCGACCGGATCGAGTCGACCTGCTCGACCGACTCGCTGCGCGCTTCGATCTCGAATCCCTTCGGCGGCGCATCCGGTCCTCGTCACTGGAGTCAGACTCACTTGGTGACGGGCTTAGCCTCTCGCGCCTGGACGTCGTTTGCCGACCGGATGAAGCTCTCGACCTTCGGTCACTCCGGACGGTGGTCCGACATAACGACATCGTCCTGATCCACCGCCGTCGATGCTGTCCGGGTGATCTCGACGACTCCTCCGCCTGCGCCAGGCTGGATCGCTCCTGCCTGCGCGGTCATCACCATGGGTCCGTACCCAATCGCAGACATGTGCCTCGAGACATCGTGTCCGGACCACAGCGACGACGAAGACGAGCTGCCTCTGGACGATCGAGCTGCTGACGCCGCACTGAATATCGACTCGTTGGATCCAGCCGTCGTCCCGAACAGGCTCGAATCAAGATCCGAGGGTGAACGAGATGGCGGACCCGGTTGCGCCAACACTCCAGTACCGGATGCGCGCTCAGACTCGCTGGACGCGTGGTACGACGGGAGCGAGGACAGCGACGGCGTGGACAGCGGCAGCGCGGACGGGATCGACGACACGGACTGGATGGACGGCGGGCGAGGCGGTCCGTGCTGCGGGCGCTTGGAACCCGGTTCGCGGGTGGACGACCCTTGCGGGCTTCGTGTCCTCCGGAGTCCGGCCACTCGTAGGCGCAGGACGAACTCGCGATCCAATAGTCCAGCTTCGTAATCCGACATCAATAGATCTCCGTCGTTGTCTTCCGCATGGTAGTCCAGGATCGGTGCTCGCGCAGCTTGCGACAGTGTCGATCCAGAGTTTCCCACGTTCGACTCGGTCTGGTTTTGGACGTCCGGCGCACCCAGTACGATCTTGAAGGGCACACCGGATGCCAACTCGCGCCACTCGATCAGCTCGAACGCGAGGAAATGCTGGACGTCCTCGACCACAGAGCGCACCAGACTCGGTGCGACTCTGGACGACTGCGACTGGAACCACATAAGGATCAGGTTGTGAAACCTGAAACCGGCAGCGAAGAGGAGAGACTGGATGAGCGCAACGCACTCGAGCGGCGAAAGGATGCTCGGCGGAATCACGATGCCGGAGACGTCCTTTGCCAGGCACAGCTCCAGCCGTACCGGACCAAGCTCCGCGATCCACGCAGCGTCTTGACTCGCCATGGCCATTCGGTCCGACAGGTACTTCGACGTCGCCAGCGCGGCAGTCCACCATTCGCTGAAGTCGGGGGCCGCCTCGGGCCAGGCGTACTCCACCTTGAGCGGGACGGCAGCGCGTTCACGATGCTGCTCCCAGCGACGCACTTGTTCGGCCACGTACGCCTTCGCCTGAGCCTCGCTCACTTGAGCCTTGGTCTCGTCGGGTCCTCGCGAATCCGAGGGCGCCGGACTGGATTGGGCTTCAATCTTGAGCGCGGGAGCTTGGGCGGTCGCGGCCGGACTGGATTGCGCGAGCGCAGACCGGATCTCGGCTTCGTCATTCAGTACGCCGTCTTCTTGGACAGTCGACAGCGGGCCTTCGTGCTTGATCGCCGGGGCTTCGTTCAGAATCTCGACTTCATCATCCGGCCGGGGAGAGTCCGAAACACGATCCTCAGCCGGGGGCTCAACCTCATCGGCGCCTCCCACAGACGCCTGGGCGGGTTCATCATCCTGTGCGGACTCACCCTCATCCAGTCCCGTCACCGGGTCTGGGACACATTCGGTGCCGGCCGGCACAGACTCGGTCGAGTCCGCCTCCGGAACCTCATCCTGATTTGCTTGGTGCGCATCCAGAACGGAGGACTCCGGGGCCGCTTGATCTTGATCGGTCGCCGACGCCTTCTTCTTCTCTTCCAGGGCCGCCTTGCGCTTCTCCGCGCCAGCCTTCCGACCCTCCCGGACAACGTCGTTCAGGGCCTTGTGCTCCTCCGGCGGCAGTCCTTGACCTCGACGCGACTGACGCGACGCCTCTCCGCGTCCGCCTCTGCGTCCACCTTCACGTGCTTCCTTCCATCCAGCCATAACCAAACTGTTAGCCCAGGCAGTCAGTAGAAACATCCCTTAAGACCAAATCAATATACAAACAAACAACTCGCGGTGAAATCCTAGGCAACCAAATCCGGGCACACGCACCAGCTGAGGCGAGGCGGGTGAACGCCTTGATCGTCCAGGTGTATAGCGCACTATGCCGGACCGAATCGGTTCGGAGTACCAGAGATATCCGCTGCAATCCGATAGTCCTCGAAGCACAGGATGTGAACCGGGGGGCGGGAGGATCGCTTGGACTTGGCGTGTGTCCTTGTGTCAACCCCTATAGGTATCGTTTACCTTTGGCGGACCGGACTTTACCGAGTGAGTTGTTGTAAATACAGAATCGAGTCTGCTGGGTGTGTTCCTGAAACAAACTACACCGAATGAACAGAAAGTCAGACCGAATCGAAGGGACCACAGTCAGATCCACAATTCAGTATAACCAACACACAGAAATACAATGCCGAGCTAAACGTCACAAAATATACAGCCACCACTTATTCTTTAAGACCCTTGGGTGGGGGGTCTATACGCCAGTCAACTTACGAGCCGTCACCCAAGGCACTGGTCAACCCTGGATGCACACTCACTTACGCGCACCACCCTCACAGAGTGAGGGAACAATACAAAATATAAGTCAATCCTATCACACAGTAGTCGATCAATTCAGTCTCGGGGTGACTACCTCTACCGCCTAAGACACACAGGATGGAATATGAAATGGATGCCCGGATAGAGCACGCAAATTGGAAATAAAGCTCTCACAGATCACTCCAGGGAGCGACACCCAGTCCCTGCCGACTTTGCCTTGGTACCTTTGAGTCAGTGCTCGCAACACCAGTGAGGCCTTGAAACGTCCTCCGTTTTAAGATCGCACGAAGGCGGATCCCACGTATAAGCTCTTGAAGACGTCAATGTCAGGGGGAATTCCCAGCCCGAAGAAAGACGTCCGCGTGTTCTCGGCAAATTGGTTTCTGTTTGATCTTACGTTTGGCTAGCTATCTGTTTCACTTCACTGACTTCTAATAAAGGTTTCACTATACTTGACTTATCTTGGATATGCTTCGACCTTGTGCACGGGACTTCGATCTTCTTGCACTGAGCTTGGGTACGCTTGACTTGGCTTGGTTATCGGGCAACTTGTCGACGTCAACGTTCCTTCGGCAACACTCATCATCTGGCGACAGAGGTACGTGGGTACGGCGTCTCATCAAATCCGCACTGGACCTCTGCGTCTAATCACGTGAGCCATCCTGTGTCGCTTGACGTTCTTGGTCGATCCGGTCCTGGATTGCTGCTACACACACAGCAGTACTGGACTTGTTGTTGGTGCGGTCACGATCCAGTATGGGCGCCAGGGGTCAGACCGAATTGATCATCCGGTCCGGCCTCATTCGGTACGGCACCTCGGCATCCGGTGCGTCGCTACCGGGTGCACCACGATCCAGTCCGGCAAACAGTGTACTTTGTCCAGCGAGGTCTTGGGCGCATGGGAGCATGGTGGGCATGGTGAACTTGGGGGTTGGTTCGATGTCTTGGCGGAGCCAATGCAGGCAGCAGCCAGGATACGTTCACTGGCTGCACTTGCGCGCCTTAGGCTTATCCTGCGGTCAGGGAAGTCGGCGGACGGACAGGATGTGTTACTCCACACCGAATATGAGCGCTCATCCGGTGGGCACATCTCCGATCCTGTGAGCCCATGCTTACTGCAAGCACCGGGTCCCGCCACATCCACCATGCGCATCCACTATCCACATGTCACACTCCACGTCACTGGATTCCTGTTCACTGCGACCAGTCACAGTCAGGCGAAGGGTCGTCCCATCCCAGCGGTCAGACATGGGTGCGGATAAAAATCCTTTCCCACATCGTGTCATCAGCATCAACAACGTATCGGCGTCTCCAGAGAAGAACCAATATGCAGCGTGACACAAGGCGAGTTTATTACGGCCACGACCATGACGGTGGCGATCAAACATGCAGCAAAGTCAACCGGTGAAGATCCTGACCGGTTCGGCACTCACTCGATACGAAGCGACCTCTCTTTTCACGGCCGGGATTGACCGCTTGGTCATAAAGAGATTCGGGCGGTGGAAATCCGACGCGTACGAGCGGTACACTCGCATCGACGGGCACGCTCTCGCTGGCCTTGCAGCCAACATAGTCTCCCACATCTCATCGGGTCCCAGCCTTCGTCAAGCACGGCTTCGCCAACATACGGGGGGGACTGCTCCAGGCCGCACCGGCCCGGAGCACCTTAACGAAGTCGAACACGAATGAATTGTGGCCCCCAGCCGTGAGCGATAGTGGAAATGTGAAGAAATGGTCGCTTGATCGTCGAGGAAATGTCACGCGAACACAGTACTGCCACTCAAATACAGTGAACGCAAGCGGAGTCTTGCCACCAAGCAGCTGGGCAGAATCGTGAACAGGAAATGTCACGCGAACACAATAATGTCACTCGAATACAGCGAACTCAAGCGGAGTCTTGCCACCAAGCAGCTGGGCAGAGTCGTGAACAGTAACGGGAGCGAATACATCGATAGTGAAATCAGGCGCAGCCGAAGATTCGTTGACTTGGGGGTCCGTCTCGACGAGATCTGTTGACTTGGGGTCTTTCTCGACGTGGTAGTGCATGAACCATCGTTATTGAAAGCTTCCCGTTGAGACGCAGCTCAGGGAGAGGAGCGTAGCGAGAGGCGAAATCCTGACGTCATGGCTCGGGCATCCGCAGGCGTGAAAGCCGTTTTAGCAGCACTTCCACTTGCAAGGACTGCTATGGCCGTGTCGCTGGCGCTGGTCCTGTTAAAAATTGCAAATACCAGTTAGTTGGCACAATGTGAACCCCAACGACGTACGTGTATGTGCGGTGGGGCCAACGTGGTCGTCGAGGCCGTGATGTTGGCAGTATGGGCTATCTTGTTGTCGGCCGGATAGCATGAGGACAGGGCTCGTGCTGCTGTCATGTCCGCTGGCGGCGGATCGTGTTCGATGGTCGTGGATGACCATGCTCGCAGGCCCTGGATGACAGGAAATCTCGTGGGCATTCAGCATTGGTAAGCCTGGGCTCGTGCTGCGGTCTTGCTGCTGCTAAGTGCGATGGTCGGGACTTGATTTGGTCAGTGACCACGTGGCCGTCGTGGCATCATGTTCGATGGCCAGAGCTCGCGCTGCTGTCCTGCTCGAAGGTCACGGCTCGAGGTTCGATAGGTGTAGATGGACATGCTCGATGGTAGGAGGTCGTGCTGGTATGGGCATGTTCGCCGGTTGTGCATGGGCAGGTAGACTCGCCATCGTGGAGGACTGTGGCCATGCTGCTGTCATGCAGCTGTCGTACTGCTGGGCGACTCGGTGACTGTGGCTGAATATGATCGGCGATCGCTGGGACGTTGTGGCGCCTTGGTAATAGCGCGCGAGAGCCGTCGCTTGAGCGCGCAAATCTGCGAATGACTGCCCGAATAGTAACTACTCCACTAATCCTATCCTATCACTACAATTCTCTATCCTATTCGATCAATCGTAATTTGGTCACTCCTGGTCCATCGTTGTCCCGGGTCGGCGTGCCGAAGCAGAGACTTGCCGTTTGAAAACCCCGATATCCATCTAGGATATCATTACAAAATATTTTTTAGATAATACTATTTAAAAAAGTATGCTTAGTGCATTCTGATCATGCATGGGATACCCCCCCCCTCCCCCCCCCCCAAGACCAACGGAGACAGTACATAAACAAACGGAAACCGTGCGAGATGACTGCGAAGAACAACTGAAAAAATAACACCGTACAAATCCGTGTATCGAAACTGCTACCAGTTGGACCAGAAGGTCTAAATGAAGACAACGCATTCATACCGGCGGAGGACGACAAAGATAAACACAGAGGACGCCTTCACTTTCCACATTCAAGCTCAAGTCAGTTCGCACTTGTCCCTCCTAAGGAGAAGAAGAAAAAGAAGAACCACATTCCAGCTCTGCATCTTTACGGCTCGCCCCATTCGGACATGTCGACCGCAATGAGCTCCACCAAACGCAGCTCCAGCATACTGAGCTCCACCAGACTTCTCGGGCCAAAACGCACGAGTTTGTCACGTCCACAACGCTTAATGTTGGAGCTCTCGCCCACCAGATACGCCGCAGCGTGGTTCTTCATCGTGACGTTCCACATCGCCTGTGGCTCCTACCTCATCTGCGTTGCGGTAACCTACTGGTTTCTCACCACAGGGACCATGCCGTTCTACGTCTCGGACTATTCGCTCACCGGTACAAAGTACTACCATTTCTACGGCTTCGTGTTCGGCGTCGTCGGTGGAATGCACGGCGTCTAAGTGCTGCGTGTCATTCTGCTGTCGATCAAAACCCGAAAATTCACTTTTGAGTCCAAAACACCCTCGGTTCAAAGCTACCTCATCAAACGCGTATTGACAGCCCATACCAAGACCAAAAGTTCGTTTTCAATGCCCAGTTTATATGAATTGGAGGGGCTTTCATGCACTTTTGGAACAAGTTTTTCTCGCGTAGAGGGCTGTTTGGGGTCGAGAGTGAGCACTTCAGCACTGTATTCGCGCTTCGTGAGGTACTTGAAGCAAGTTCCCAGACGTACCAGGCCTATCGAGTAAGCATCTTGCTGCCTCGTGCGGAGCTGAATAATGTGATCGTAGGCTTATTGATCGCGAACTGCTGGTCAACCGCAGCCACAGAGTATTTCCTTCGCAAACGACCCACTCTCGAGCGCGTTGCGACGTTAACTTACGACGCTCTGATCAGCTTTGGCATCATGACTGTCGTGCCGTTGATGATTTTCGTTCCGTATGTGAAGGCGTTCGACATTCCGAACAAGTTATTCAAGAACGGTGACTTTCTGTATGAACCAGTAGCCATCACCAAGCTGGTGCTCGAGAATCGGCTTATCTTTGCCTCCGGTCTGTTCGACTTTGGCACCAAACTCATCCCACAGCTCAGTATCCTGCTGTCTTTGGTGACAGTGAGCGAGTTGCTGGGAAATGGCGAGGTGAAGGTGCTACCTGGTCCGGCGAAGGAGACTATTCAGTCGGTGGCAGTGAAGTCGACGGCGACCAAGCCGCAGATTGATGCATCCAGCACCGGTAATAATCCAGCAGCTGACATTATTAATTCTCCAAGCTCAGATCAGGGGGGATTGGTGCGCGCTCTGATCAAGTGGAAGGATGTCGTTGCCATCGCGTCGTTTGTCCTGTGGGGAACAATCGTGGTCATTCTACACTCGATGGCTGCACACCGCGCCGGACACTACAAGGTTGTCGGCTGCCGGGCAGAAACTCGACCCTGGTTCTCCAACGGAAAGGAGCCGTGCTCCAGTCTAGTATATGACTGCCACGCCCACGGCACTACGTCGCCAAACACGAGCTCATTTAGTAAAATGGACCCCGCTGCACTCTCCACATTGGCGATTGTGCACTGTCCCGCTCTGGTGATGCCGCCCGACATCCAGCGCTTTAGCAACCTCGTCATGATTCACATCTACAACTCGACTATTGTTAACTGGGACACGGAGAGCTCCATCTCCGCTACTGCTCATACGCATCTGCTCTCCGTACTGGTCGGGAAGACGAACATGGCCGAATTTCCGGAGGGTTTACTGCAGCCTCTGCCTGCCACCATGATGAGCGTACAGTTCTCGGAGACGAACCTGACCAAGCTTCCAGACGATCTGTACTTGCGGTGGCGTTTTCTGGCCACGGTAGTGTTCGAGAACGGCATCCTGACCGAGATTCCGTACCAAATGTTCTTCTTCCCAGCGTACACTTTGTCGTTCGCGGGGAACCGGATCGAGTCCATTCAGTCGCTCGCCATGATGCCTCCTGGGATGGTCATACCGGAGCTGCTGCTCAAGAACAACCCGATCAAAGAACTGCCAGCGGCACTGATGGACCCAACGACATTCATCATGTCGCTCAGCGTACAAAATACGTCGGTGAGCACGATGCCCGACTGGGTGAAGACCCAAACGGTCGTCGTTTGGGCGTACGATACACCGTTTTGCAGTGCACCGATGACAGACCCTGAACTCGCGTCTAAGGTGATGTGCTTCGAACGCCCCAAAAAGCAGGAATCCTTCTTCCCGATGTACTTGTTTGAACAACTCTACCCGTCTGATTAAAATATATAGCGGAATAAATATCAACATTACACAAGACGCCAACTTTTTGGCCTGCAGGGTGTCTAGCAGCCAGAACAGCTTGCACTGCTAACCAGCTAAACGAGTCACGTTCGGTCATACCGATGTTTCTACATTTCGCCAAAAAATGATTTAGCAGCTGAAAAAAAGCACACAAGCCTAAACTAATGCTCCGCGAAGGCTGGGATAGGAGAATTTTGGTATAAACCTCTTTTTTATTTTTTTATTTACTTTTCTTATTAGCCACGGTTATCTCCTGCGCTTGCTTCGCAGCCGCAGCATCTGCCCCAGAATTTGCCAGTTCAAACTGTCAACCGGCAACATTTTACAAACTTAAAAATTCGAGCTTTGCTTGAGATCTATGTGGAGCTTGTAAGAAATACAAACGAGTGCTATTGTACAGTCTGCTTCAATTGGTCTCTTCAGTTCATTTTGTTCGTCTACTGCTTCATACTAGTGTTGTCGGAAGCGCACCGGTTCGATCTGCCCACGCATATAAAGGGCCCAGTGCGCCACCGGAGTCGTACCGGTTTCAAGAAAATGTACCAGTAGATGTCAAGAGGGTTCATCGTTTGACTTGATGTACCACGGATATATCCTATTTGGTCTGCGATAGCAGCACTAACGTTGCTTCCTATCCCAGTATAAATTATTTGATGAACTAATTTCGATTTCCGCTTCCCACCTTTGGAATGCCACGAACCAAATCGGGACTACTTAAGTATACGATGCAGGTACCTAAAGTTACGAGTGAAAGAGAGCTAATCGCCTTAAAACAGCATTGAATCGGCACCGGCTCTGCCAATTCACCTTGTCGACAACAGATTGATTGTGCAAGGAGAAGAGCTCTTCTCTCAACAGTCGAGATTCTACACTACATCAGTGCACTGGTGCCTCCTATCCACGCAAGCATGAGACAGAGCCCGCTCCCGATGAGCCACATAAGTTCAACGCGTTGAAGTTGTTGAAGTTGCTGCAACAACGTAAGGTAGCTATAATAGTAATAATACTATTTTGACAATTTCAAAATACTACTGCTAATAATAATAATGTACAAAAGTAGGTGAACATATATTAATACTAGTAATGGAGCATCTCAGTCGTGTTGCTCCTAGGGGTCGACTCCCTCCTATAAAGATATGAAACCCTACACAGGGTCTACCTGCAGCTACGTTATGTGTGCAAACAAAATGTGCAGGTCGTTCTTCCACGGCACTAACCATTAATAACATAACTCAGGTACAAATCAGCATTCGCGATTAGCGATACGGTTTATACTTTGCAGATTGGCTATCGCTCACATGTTAATGAAGCTTTGTCGTAAGTATCACCACCGCAAAAGTAGGGCGCATTCAATCTACGGCGCAGCGCCTATTTCCTTCGTAGTAGATGGCTATATTCTTAGTTTATGGCCGTGTAGGGGGGAAACAAAAAACTTTTTTTCTTTCGAACTTCGCCACTAGACTGCATGTGCCCTGAACACTAGCTCTAAGTTTTCATCGTGACTAACATAAACCCTGTGAAATACAGCGACTCATTCACGGTGGGAACGTATAATAAATATCTGCGTTTGTGCTAAGTTCGAAACTAAAAGTAGTACTTAAGTATCAGCTTGGTAATCAATAGTACTATTCCTTTGTTTACTACCGATCTCGAATGATGTGCTGCACACGACCTTCGTCTTCAAGCTCTCCTATCCCACTTCGACCCAAGCTCCATCATCGCACTTGTCGGATTTCCCCTTCGTCGTATCTGTCGTCGCAGTCGCCGTCCTCCTCCTGAGCGATGGAGTGGCTGGACATCGCCAAGGACCTGAACGCCGGCACCATCGGCGGCGTGGCCGGCATCGTGGCCGGCCACCCGCTGGACACGGTCAAGGTGCAGCTGCAGACCAGCCGCGAGGCCGGCGCCGGCGTGGTGCGCACGCTGCGGCGCGTCGTAGGGTCCGAGGGCGCCGCCGGCCTGTACCGCGGCCTGCTGTCGCCGATCCTGAGCAACGCGCCCATCAACGCCGCCGTCTTCGGCGTGCAGGGCCAGGTGGTGCGCGTGCTGCAGGAGCGGCGCGGGGCCGAGCGGCCGCTCACGAGCGTACATCACTTCGCGGCCGGGGCCAGCGCCGGCCTGGTGCAGGTGGTCTTCGCGGCGCCGTCGGAGCACGTCAAGATCCAGCTGCAGACCGGGGCCATGGGGGCCGAGCACAGCTCGCTGGCGGCTGGCCGGGCCATCCTCAGGCGGCACGGGGCCGCCGCGCTGTACAAGGGCTGGCAGGTCTGTCTGCTGCGCGACGTGCCGGCGTTCGGCGCCTACTTCTGCGGCTACGAGGCGGCCAAGCGCGCGCTGACGGACGGCCAGAGCGAGAACGAGACGGACCTGAAGCTCATGATTGCCGGCGGCGTGGCCGGCATGCTGTCCTGGATGGTCAGCATGCCGCAGGACGTGGTCAAGAGCTGCGTGCAGAGCCAGCAGCTGGACGGCCCGCATCAGTCCATGACGCAGATCGTGCGCGCGCGGATGCAGCAGGAGGGCCCGGGCTTCTTCTTCAAGGGCTTCAGTGCCACGATGCTCCGGGCCTTCCCCGTCAGCGCCGTCACCTTCCTCGTCTACGAGAAGGTGATGCAATTCATGTCCTGAGACGAGAGGATTGCGGTGCGACTAGCGGGAGATGGGGAGTTGGCTGCGGGAAGATACGCAGGGGCAACAAGTTGAAGGCGTTTAGGTGTGATCATCGATCGATCGGCCGTCCTAAGGAGAAGCAAGAACTACATGTATTTTGAAGATAATAGACCACAAGTAGCTATCACCGAACTGAGTAGACACCGCCTACGGGGAAGCTCCGGTGTCCGCGCCCTCGGGCGTGACCTCATCGTCCAGCACGACCTCGTTCTCGGGGACCTTGTGCAGCTCCTCGGGGGTCAGAGGCTGCTCGCACATGGGGCACGTCGCGTCCGTGGCCAGGTGCTCCACGAACTGCGAGTGCAGCCCTGGAAACGTGCACTTGGGGCACTGCGTCCAGTCGTCCTTGATCATGTGATAGCCCTGCAACAACTCACGTTAGACAAAACAAACTACGGAAGCGTAGCGTTCCTCCACTCAACTCACCGTCACGATGCAGTACGGGATGGAATTCTTGCATGTGGGGCAATCCAGGTCGGCCTCGGCCAGTTCGTGCGAGCAGTACGGGCACGGCGTTCGCACGTCGGGCGCTTGCTCCTTGTTGGGGCGTCGGACGATGGCCTCGATCTTGCGACGGATGTCCTTGTCCATCGAGCCGCGATACTCGGGCGTGCGCATCAAGGTCGCGGCGAAGTCGTAGCTGTACGCGCGCAGACCCGCGCGCTGGCACTCGATGACTGCAGAGATGAGGATGTTGGCCGCATGTGTGGGGAACTTGGACAAGTGCTGGGCCACTCGAACGAGCATCCGTGCGGCCGGGCCGTGCTGCGATCGCTTGACGAGCTTCTTGACCAACACGTAGCTGTGCAGCAGCGCCAGCGCGTTTTGTAGCTCTCGGGCCACTCGAAGGCGACGCGCACGGAGTTGACGCGACGTCTCCACCAACACATCGCGGGCCAACTTGTAGTTGCCCAGCTCTTGCTCCTGACGCGCGATGATCACTGCAGTCTTGGCCGCTTGAGTGTAGTTGCCCAGGGCCAAGTACAACCGGAAGATATGATGCGGGTCCTTGGGGATGCCGTCTTGCTCGCCCATTAAATGATCGATCAGCGTGTGCGTGAGCATATCGTTGCGCGCTGCTCCCACGACTTCAATCGCGCGAACAAGTGCCGTGTCCGCAGCTGAACCACTTCCCCCCGCTCCGCCCCCGCCTGCAGCACTGCACGCCAGTAGCAGCTTGAGCGCCTTGTGGTAATTTCCAGCGGCTTGGTAGAACTCGGCCGCGCGCTCGGGCGACGTCTTCTCGTAGTGCTCGGCCAGTTGTGAGGCCCTCGACGCAGACATGTTCTCCTGGCCCAATGTTGAGGCGAAACACTCCACCTCGCCGTGCTGCTGCGCCAAAGCAAAGGCCTCGTCTTCCTTGTTGGCCAGCAGCAGGAACTCAATGGCGTTCGGATAACGACCAGCTTCGGAGCAGTAGCGCGCGGCCGACAACGCTCCTTCGGACGATTTCGTCTCGCGAACGATCTCAAACGCGCGCTCGGCGCCGTCAAGATGCTCGAGCTGCAGACGGACGACGTTGTCCATTTCTCCAGCTCGCTCGTACGCTTCAGCGGCTGCGGCGAATTCACCTGCGGCCTCTTTGGCCCGAGCAAACTGCGCGTGCACTTTAGAAGCCTTGACTCGGGCCATGAGCGGCGCGGCTCGGGCCAGGTTCTTCATCTGCACAAAGAGCTGAGCAGCCTTCTCCACCTGGCCACCCTGTTCATACAACGCTGCAGCTTCGGCCGTTTGCTTCATCGACTCCAAGATGGCGGCGCACTCTTTGAACACTGCTGAGTCGCCCAGCTCCGTCACCAACTTAACGCCGCGACGAAGATCTCCCAAGCGAAAGGTGCATCGAGCAACACCCGCGAGACTCTGGATCTTGAGCTTGGCAGCCGCTTCAGGTTCCGGGGTCTTGGCAAGAGTTTCATCTCGACTGATACTCTCGATCGCATTGGCCGCGTGCCCATACATCCTGAGCGCGGCGTCAAACTCGCCTCGGAATTCGAGTTGAGTAGCGTATGCAGCGCTGAGCTCCGGTACGAGGTCGCGCGAGAGAGAATCCGCCAGCTTCAGTGCTTGCTCCCATTGCAACAAGTGCCGCTGCATGTGTAGAGCTGCCAACGGGTCGCTAGAGTTCAAGAAGAGGCGACGAGCTTCGCTGTAGTCGCCAAACAGCATGCACACGTGGCCCGCCAGTAGGTTCTTCTCCTCGATATCTGCTAGACGGTCTAGACCGAGTACCATGCCCGAGTCTCCAAGCGACCGATAGGCCCGACGAGCTGCAGGGATATCGAGCGTGTGCATTGCACGCCCAGCGAGAGCGAGCCAGTAGTCTCGTTGATCGATACGTGACGCAAGTCTCCAAGCTTCATCGAGACGTAGAAGGCTGAGGTTCTGTCTGAAGGCCGCTTTCTCGGGCTCACCGCCTCCAGTTGAGGTGGGAGGAACCTTGCGGAGCTGGTCGTGAGTCACTGCGGTCAAAGAAGCCAACCGGCCGCCGCCTGAAGCGTGTTGGCACGTAACAATCCCGTCACTTACGAGAATGGGCTCCAAGTCGGACGGCACGGGTGTTGTCTGCGGGGCGATGAGTACGTCTCCATCGGGCAGCACCTCCAGAACCCCAAGCTGCGTGACTTCAGGCCCGCGAATCGTGGCGTCTGCCAACTGGAAGACGCCCATTTCCTTGGGCTGGAGTGCCACGAACACCTGCTGATCCACCATGTCCCAAAGCACGCCCGTGGTGCTGGTCGGCAGGTTGGGCACGCTCATGGTCTCGCGCGTGGCTGCGTTGAGGATATACCCGCGGCGCTTAGTGTCCAGGAAGAAGATCCGCGTGCCGTTCTTGTTCGGTACGAGCTGCACGATCCCCACGCCGTCTTCGTGGCGATACGCGCAGCCGTCGAGGAACTGCCAGGCGTTCAGGTAGAAGAACTGGATCGAGCCCGTGCCGTTGGTGGTCGAGTAGATGAAGAAATCCTTCGTCAGGGCCACGGCGCTGATCTCACTGTTGCGCTCGTCTCGACCTCCACCGGAGAAGACTTTACCGTGCTCTCCCTGCAGCTCCCCGCCATTTGTGGGCGAGTTCGAGCCACTGGTACTACCTCCCGGTTCAATCAGGTGAAGACTCGCTTTACCGTCGCAAAGCACAACGGCGTAGTCACGGTTCAGCTTCATGCTGGTGACTCGGCCGAGGTATTGCTGCTCGTTGACCAGCGCATCGGCTGAAGACCCGTCGCAGCGGTAGAACCACACGCGGTTGTTCATCCCAACAGCAACGTGACGAGGTCCGATGGCTACAAACGAAGGCTCCACGGACAGTGCGATGCGAATTGCACCACTGCTGCTGCTCCCGGACTCATTACGGCGCGTGTCGACCACGCTTAGCTCACGTAACGAGCTGAGGTACGCGACGTAGTGGCCGTAGTGGTCGTGGATGCGAGGCATCCTCGCCAAGAAGTTGAGCACCGTCCCGCCCTGAGTCGCTACGGTCAAAATCTGCCCGTCGGACGCGAAACTCATCAAATGAGCCTCGTTTTCCTCGGTATCCGAGAGTTTGATGGAGTCTGCAGCGACCTCAGTAAAGGTCGTCATATCGATCACTTTGATGCCGCTCTCACCACTGAGAGCCACTCGATCCAGCGTCTGCGAGTAACACGCAGTGAAGATTCGCTCCGAGAAGAAGCGTTGGGACTGCAGCTCCTCGCCCACCTCCTGTTAGGCGACAACAAACACAAAAAGTCAACATCAAGTAGAATAACATAAAGTGAAATCCAATGCCGCACATACATCAATCTTGGTGGAGATGACGATGAGATACCCCTCCGAAAAGGCGGTCATGATCATGCCGTCTGCGAACCACTCGATGAAGATAATATTGCCGTAGTGCTACGAACCACAAGATCGTTAATCTCAATCTGACACTATCAGATACAAAGTCTCCCCAGTAATTTACCGTCTGGAAGGTGAGCTCGACGGGGTTTGCCGGATCCTGCAGGTTGAAGAGGATGATCGCCTTGGACAGCGCGATCGCAATCAACTGCTCTGCTGCCTTGATGGAGTCACCACGCTTCCGACCGAACTTGATGTCCCATGGCTAATCCCAACCAGAATCCAACACATTAGAAAGAGCTACTACCAATCTCAAACAAAGTACTAAAAACTCACTGTGTGGCTCAGCTCGCGCTGCTCAATGGTGTCACCCTGTGGGTTGCTGACCGTGAGCATCCGGTCTTCCCCTCCCAACACGAGTTTGTCGTCCCCGTTCCACGATCCGCACAGGATGCGGCGCGAGTGTTTCCCCACCACGGGGACGAGCTTGCGCGTGATCTTACTGTAGAGCACGAGGTTGCCCTTCTGGGTGCCCACAGCCAGGAGCGAGCCCTCCCGTGACCATCGAGCGAACGTCGGATCCTTCAGGTTGGTGTCCAGACTCAACGTAGAGCGCGTGCCGTTATCCCATAGCGGGACGACACTGCTCCCCTGCTGCAGAATGGCGAGTGTACTGCCCTCCGTGTCCCATTCCAGCGCGATCACCGGAGCGGTCAGGTCCAGACCAATCTCGTCATGCTGCTCACCCTGCCGGTCGAAGATGTGGACCAGTCCGTTCTTGCCGGCCGTTGCCAGGAACGTCCCGTTCGGGTGCCACGCGAAGACCACGGGCCCCACGCCGTGGAACTTGGACGCCAACTTGAACAACTTCTTCATCTTTTGGGCTTTGCACGTTCACGGACTGAAGGGACGAAATCAAAGCGTCTCTTCAAGATCGCGGCATCTCGGATATTTTTTGCTAATTTGTAGGATTTGATTGACTTCCTTTAGTTGCGGTGGCGACTTCTAGCAGTTTGCAGTCGATGATGACCTCGGGGCTGAGAGATGCACCGTGTCGGCCGAGTTCCGCGTCGACGAAGTCTCCGGGCGAGAATGACCCGGGCCAGAAATCGTTGGCTTCGGAGGAATTGGAGATGATTCCGAGAGCCTTATACGCTTGTGCTACCTACGAGTAGAATGGTCAATACCAAAGTAAATTGCGGAGTCGATTTGGAGTTGTACGTACCAACTCGGAGCAGAAGAAGGTGCTGTCACGAGATAACGACTGTTCTGCCTGTCGAGCGTGGAGAAGCGTTCGTAGACTTAATCCGTACGAAAGGCCTTCCACCTGAAGAAAAAAAACTGGTTAGTAGAGAGGAAGGTTCGCTCGTGCTGCATCGGTCACTAACCTCAGCCGCGAAACGCTCGAGTAAATCGTTCACGACAGCGCGGGAAAGCAGCGGCGTGCGGAGTTTTCGTAGAGCGAAGTACTGGATGTGGAAGGCTGAATAGGCTAGCAGTCGTGAGGTCTGCAGGAAGAAACAAAGATGAATGACCAACATTAACTGGAATATAAGCATCCGAACAAACGTAAGCTGAACGAACACACCAGGGGGCAAAGGGTAACACCGTCGCCAGTCGCTTCGAGTAACTGGAGTTGGCCATCCTCACGAGAGGGAACGACGATGCCGACATGGTCCCATTCTGCTCTCGTTAACTGTAGTGATGCAAAGCAAAAAGATGACCGTCAACTTCACCGCTTTAAAGGCTGAACATTGTCTTTCGACGATAGCGCATGTGAATACTCACAGATCGCTGAAGTGCGCTCACTTTAGCTCGGCCATTGAATAGGATCAAATCCCCTGGCCGTGTGTAGTATTCGAGCACTTGGAGGTGAAGGATCTGCCGTCGATGTCGTCTCAAAGCCACGTGATCGACGTAGGAAGCCGAGAGCACTGGTGATCCATGCATAGCATTTCGTACGAGTCAGACCCCATACTTCCGATATATCGAACGGTTTGATGCTCTCACCTCCGAGAAATACAAGAAGCGGAACCGAATCCTGGAGCTCGTCAACCATAAAGACCCCTTTGAGGTAGTTTTCAAGCAGCCACTGTCGCTGAGCAAGGAAGCTGTGCTCTGTAGCTGCGAACCTACAAGAACGTGAGTATTGTTACGAGGTAGAACTTTGGTCCGAGCACCATTCGGCTTACCATTTTGTAGGTGGCAGTACAGGAAGGGTAGACTCCTGTACCACCAGTTTCAAACGAGCGTGCAGTTCTGCAAACTCCCGATATCTTCTGGCGATTCGCCACGTCAAGTCTCCTAGGCAAAGCTCCACCTTGAACACCTACAAAACAAAATTAAAAAAAAATAGATGTCGGTATCCAACACGAAGCTTTTGTCCTTCCAGCAGTACTCACGACGTATGGACTTTCGACTATCGGTCGCTGCACATTATGCCCGGAGATCCGGACTCCAAAGTTTTCGGTAGTCTTGGCACTACGCTGGCCAAACTGAAGATGGTAGAATGGCTTCGTCAGGATTGAAACCTGTGGCTGTTTAACAATGAACGACTATCAGCTTTAAAAAAATGCGCTGGAGGTAAATTAGAATTCGACATCTACCAGCTTCGTCGCGATAAAGTGCGCGATATCGTGCGTCTCCATATCTGGTGGAATGGTATGCTGTTGGCGCCACCCACAGCAACATTCAACGCTAGCTCCGCAGTGCGCACACAACTGCAGCGAAAATGCGAGCCCAACATCCTCCTTCGTGTCTTCCTTATCGCTTTCGAAAAGTACTCGCACATTCTGGGTAAATGATGCACTGGTGATAACCAACTCGAGTGGTGTGTGGGAAGCTGTGGATGGGACCACGATGGCCAACTCAGAGTTGTTGCTGTGGTTGTTCTTTCGTCCTAGGAACTCCACTAGCAGCCGCTTGAGCAAGACAAGCGGAACCTGCTGCAAGTCTCTGCGAGTCACGTGGGTCGACAGAATCAAATGGTCGGTAATCGGAAGATGCGAAGATGGCATCTCTGGCAGAGCTACATCGATCTCGAATACAACCTGAAGCTCCGTACGCCTGTAACAGCAAGCGAACAGTCAGTAAAAGGCGAGCACTTTCAACAAGCCTGGACCGTACCTTGAGCTGACTATCAGTCCTTGGTCTAGAGCAGGAGAACTGGAAGGGGGCACCCACGTGAAACAGGAGCATTGAGTCAATGCTACGGCCCCCATATCTACATACAGTAGTTGACTACGTCTCTTCAGAGCCAGCCAAGACAAAACGCCAGCTAAGAAAAACAACGCTTGGTAGCGTCATACTATCAACAGCATTATCATTATCGTGTTTCATCGGGATCATCTCTTTGTCGTCTCTTGTGCGTGTGATCTGATCTTTGTTTTGGTTTTCCATTGAGTTTCTTGACTTGGGGGGGGGGGGGTCTTCTTGCCATTCGAGCGCGCTGCAGTGCAGCGCCTACCGCCACGAAGCTCGAGCAGTCTTCGCTCGACCGTAGCCACTGGAGGTCGTAGTTGAAGTTCGACGGACGCCACGCGTGGTCGAGCTGCTGGTAGTAGCAGGGTTCACGTCCATGGCTGCGTAGTCGACGAACGAGTGCATCCGGTACGAGGAGGACTTGGGGTCGATTGTGATGCGGCTGAAGCCGCCCAGCTCCACCTTCTTGCTCTGCAGTAGGTCCTTCGTCTCGACATCCTTCCGGCCGCGAGGTGGCGCCGTCCGAGGACGCGTGGGGGCGGAGGTTTGAGGCTGCTGGGACAGCGGCTCGGCCATCGAGCGGCGTGTCGAGCCCGTGAGGATGTGGCCGCCTCGGCTGCGACTCGAGAGCGACGCGGCCGAAGACTGAGGGGGAGGGAAGTCGACGCTGAAAAATACACGCCCTCCTGTTGGTCCTGCGCTTGAAGCAGATCGGGAGCCTGGGGTAGCAGTGATGGGTTTCCCTGTCCTCTTCGTCACACCCTTCGACGTAGCAGTCGGTGCTTTATCCTTGGACCCCGTGGAGCCCAAGATGGCGCTGGAGCTGAAGCTGCGCCCACTTGCTGGAAGCGACACGCGCTTGGTAGACGAAGTGGTCGACGAGGGGCGGAACGAAGAGGTGGAAGAGCTTGAGCTTGTGGTTGCGCTTGATACACGACGCGGACGAGAGTTGATGGACGCGAGGGTCTCGCGGAGATATCGCGGGTTGGAGCTGCTCGTTGGTTCCTCTGGCATGAAGTCGAGCTCTTCGCTAACCGTCGAAGGCGACGTGGACGCTTCATCGTCCAAAACCTCGGTTCTCTTGGGTGCTGAGAACGAGTGAAGACGCTTGCTGCTGTGCACCAACGGCACTTCTGCTGCCGACGGAACGGACAAGTCGAACTCGGGGCCAGGTGGGTCCAAGTATTTGGAAGTGGACAAGTCGGCGAACGCCACTCGGGTAGCTAGCAGGCCCGCTTCAGTAGCCATCTCCTACAGAGACACAACCAGTATCGCGGCATCAGCATTTTGGATGTTATTTCTCGATATGAACGCGGCACTTTACCTTGATCTTTGCTTGATGAGCGAGTGCTGGCGAAGGATCCAGCAAGTCCACCCAGCCGTTGGCCTGTAGAGCCAATAGTTAGTTACGTGACTGCACGTTCAATTGAACCGCTTGAGATGGCGCTACCTACCGCAGTCATCTTGCTGTAGGAATGGTTCGGTGGACGCTCAGGACGGACCAACAGCGACGGGTGCAGCTTCCTCTGAACGTACAAACCAACACAGATATTAGCCGTACAGTAACCAAATGTACGCATCCGTCAACGCGTCTGACGTACCATTTCTGGGGTCTGATCGATCCAGGTCAGTCGTCGTTCTCGATGACGTCGGGTGGACTCGTTGCGTCTACTCGAGGCCGCGTTCACGTCGGGGGCACTACCGGAATTGAGGAACGTGTGGATGAGCACAACCTCGTCCGTCTTCGGGTCAGCTGTGTGCGTGCTCCACTCGTAGAGCTGACGCTCTGTAGCTCGAGCTGGACGATCTTCCTGGATCTGCGCCTCCAGCGAGCAAAGCTGGTCGATGTAGGACTCGTGGAGCTTCATGTCCGAGCGCTTGGTCATCACAAACTCGTGCGCCTTGTCGAGGCCCCAGCAGTACTTCACCATCAGGTATCCGATCATGATACTCGGGCTGCGGTTGATGCCGTTCAGCGAGTGCACCAGCACGCTCTCGGTCCTCTCAAGAGCCCGGTCGATCAGCTGAATAATGTGCGTGAACTCGCGGTTCTTGAGGTCGAAGAAGGGCCGCCGCAGCACTTCGTCCAGGTCGCAGGCGGTGTAGGATAGGCCGAGGCTTTGCTGGAAAATGTTAGGGACTTGGCGAGGTACGCAGTTGACAATGTGCATGATCCCATTCAGCTGCAGGAAGTCTGCGTCCTGGGCTGCGTCCATGTCCCCCATAAAGAGCCCATCCTTGATTTTGGACGACATTCCTGGTCTGCGTACGCTCGCGCGTTCCCTCCTTCGGCTGCTCTCCACTTCTGTCTCCACGAAAGAGTGGAAGAGTGAGACATACGAAGGCTGCTGTTCTCACATGGGCATGCCCCAAAATACATCACCCCATCTAAAGCGAACCGCAAAGCTACAGCGTCAACATAGAGGAAGCGCACCATGGTATTAATAGTGGAGGCAGACTTCACCTTGCGCCAAGTCTCCAAGCCTTTCGAGCCTTCATCAAATATAGGACCGCAGCAGCGCGTGATTGGCCTCGGGGACGCTTTTATCGATGCGAAATTGGACTTTCACAACCTCCGCGAACCCTTCGTTGACCTAGCAGGTAAATACGTGCGCGTCATTATCACGGCCCATGTCATTTTTTGCGTTGCACGCCAGCCACTTACCGTTGGCGGCACCAAATTCTTATAAAATCCGTGAATGGCGACGTCGGGGATTTTCTTCTGCTCCGTCAGCGACCTGAACGTGTTGAGGTGCATCGATAGCGGCTTGGGGACATCCATTTCGAAGCACCGAATCGGCAGATTCTGACGAAAATGCAACAACATATCGGTAAGTATTTTCGTCGGCAAATGCTGTGCGTATACGCATGTGCATACAGTGCTTACCTTTTCCTTCGCAATGGTGATCCACTCTTTCCGTGCGCGCGGCTCACGATTGGTGTTGTCGACCACAACGCTTTTCTTCTCCGCGATCGCCTCCAGGCACTTCTTCTTGCAATTAGCAGCGGTACGCAATTCGTCTAGGCTCACTACGGTGTAAGAGCTCAGGTAGGTCTTCGCGAAGAAGGACTTTCCCGAAGCTGGAGGGCCCACGAGGACGACCATTTCCTGGTCGGGCTTGGCAGCCTGAGCTGAAGCTGGGCTAAGCAACGGTTCTTCCAATACAACAGCAATGCGCGAGTGTGAGTTTGGCAACTCCAACAGCAGTAGTTAGATCAACGCTCCGTGGGTGCTTACCAGCAGAGTCGTTGAGGGCGACGGATTTCGGGTCAAAGCCGAGTTCCCAGGTGTCAGGACGCGTGTGGAGTCGCTGCTTCGTGCCCAGAAACAAATCTTCCGGCGTGAAGAAGCGGATCCCTGCGTTGAGCGCAAACTTGTAGTCTGTTGCAGCGAAGTCCTTGGCTCTCCCAGCGATCTTCGGTCGTCCCGCAGCATCTCCGCAGTAGAAGCTCGCCTCTTTGTCAATGGCCTCCTCGCCCTTGGAGCTCACCACGTTCACCATTTCCTTCCAGGCTCCCAGACGGGGCTTCCGCATGGCGTCGTTCTCGGTCCCAAGCAGCACCAGCATCGGCAGCTTCAACTGCTTGACGATCGTCTCGAGCTTACTCTACACAGCAGCAGACACCGACACACCGTCAGTTGCCAGGACACACAACAACAACACAATAGACGAAAGAGTCCTCTCTCTCTACCTGCACTTGAGCGGCCGTGATGTGTCCTTTCGCGATGCCGTTCTGGTTGGAGAAGATCACGAGCGTGAAGCCGTCGCGCGCGAGCTGCGCCAGCTTCTCGCGCACGAGCGTCGGGTGGAACCACTTCCAGTCGTCCTTGTCCTTGGCGAACTTCTTGCCGCTCTTGGTCACGATGAGCGTGCCGTCCAGGTCGAAGCCCGCGACCTTGATCTTGTCCTCCGTCTGCTTCTCCTCCTGCTCCTGCTGCTGCTTGGCGCGCGCGTCCAGCACGTAGAGCGAGCCCTGCACGGTCCTCCACGGCGTAAAGTGCGGCTCCGGCAGCTCTGCGTCAGCCGCGGCCTTGGCCGCCCCCGCAGCAGCGAAAAAGTCCGCGCTGTTGCTGGCACTAGAGAGAGACTCGACCTTCTGCTTCTTGGCCGGAGGCTCGGCGGCTGCAGCAGCTTGTGCGGGCTGCAGCGCCGGCACTTGGAAGCCGCTGGCGCTGAGCCGCCGGTTCTTCTTGACGCTGTCACGCGCCCACTGCGCGCGCAACACTTGGGCGCGCGGGAAGCGCGCGCTCAGCAGCGTCTTGAGCCGCAGCATCTCGTCCTGGTCCGGGTCCTTGTCGTCGGCCAGCAGCGCCACGTTGACGCGCGCGTCGTCCTGCGCCTCGTCCTGGTGATCGATCACGACGCCGCCGTGTGTCTCCACGAGCGCGCGCAGGTCGGCGGCGTGCGGCTGGCCCAGCAGAACCACCACGTCCTGCGCGAACAGCTGGCGCCGCAGGAAGGCGTCCATCTTGGCGGCGGATGATGGAGATGGCCGGTGCTCAAAAGTTTTGGTCCCGCAGTGGACTATTTCACAGTTTTTTTGCGAATTTGTGCAGAGATGCAGGGCGGCCAGATGCTGGTGGCTCGGCAAAGGCTGGGCTGGCCATGACAGCGCGTTTGTATGTGGGAGGGCTGCCGCGGCTAAAGCCTCCACCTGGCCACCGCGTCGAACGTAACGGGCTCAGCCGTGACATCGACAGCTCCGCGCGCATCAAGCGATCGGCCCGGAAGACGCCACCGCAGCAACAACTAAGGTATTAGGCGCGCGCGCAGCCTCCAGACGAAGCGAAGCGCTGCAGAGCGCAGTGTGTATAGGTACTCAATCATCTCAAGCTCTTCCTGGAGGAGAGCGCTCGAGTCGAGCCGTGCCGCCGCCGCCGCTGCTGCTGCTCCCTGCGCATCTTCTCGCGTTCTCTCCGGCCGCCTGTCTTTCCGCGCGCGCGCGAACCGTACGGCGTTCGAGCGAAAGTCTCAATTGAGTCCTCTCCTGTGCTGGTTGCTGCTTGCTGTCAGTCTGCAACGTCGCGCTCCGTCTCGGTCTGGGGGGGCAAGCGGCGACGAAGGCGGTGGATTGTTCAGTAGTCGGCGGCCGCAGCGGACCACAGCACAGCAAAGGGAGAAGAGAGAGAGAAGAGCTGGCTGCTGGGGGGCTTTCGACGACCGAGCGAGCACAGGCGCAGCGCTGGTGACGAGCAGACAATTCTCCTCTCCTCCCAGTACTATCCGACGGACGGATGCCACAACCGCAGGCGCCGCCGCGAGCCGCACCCGCAGCCGCAGCCGGCGCGCACCGTGGCAACAGCGCCATGGCCCAGTTCAAGCCCAAGCGCTGGCAGGTCGAGGACCAGTGCGGCCTCTGCGCCGCGCCCTTCACGCTCATGAACGCGCGGCACCACTGCCGCCACTGCGGCATCTCGGTCTGCGGCAAGCACTCGAAGAACAAGGTCATCGTGCCCACGTCGCTCTCCAAGGTGCCGCAGCGCGTGTGTGACAAGTGCTACCCCAAGTGCCGTAGCGCGGCGAGGGGCCTGCCGCCGCCTCCTTCGCGGGACCTGCCGGACGACCAGCCTCGACGACACACGCTCGAGCGGGACTACGGCCACCGGATGCGCAGCCCCCGAGACGGGGCCAGAAGGACGCTCGAGGGCGCGCGGCGTGATAACAGGACGTGGAATGGAGACGCCGACTACGACGAGCCGAGGCGCCTCATGCGACGCGATGTAGACCCTCGCGCGGCGCAGGAACGCCGCATGAGGTCTCCGCACAGCAAAGAGAAGCCTGCGCGTGACGGAGATCTGCATCCTAAAGAGCTTGGGCGTGAGAGAGATCCACGGGAGAAAGAGCGACGTCACAGGGACCCACGCGAGAAGGACCCGCGTGAGCGAGAACGAGAACGGCGCCATAGAGACCCCCGTGAGAGGGAACGACGTGAGCGAGACCCTAGAGAGAAGGAGCGTCGCGAGAGAGACCCTAGAGAGAAGGAACGGCGTGAGAGAGACCCTCGAGAGAAGGACCGGCGTGACAGGGACCCCAGAGAGAAGGAGCGCCGTGAAAGGGATCCGCGCGAGAAGGAACGACGTGACAGGGACTTGCGCAAGAGAGACCCCAGTGAGAGGGAACGCCGTGACAGGGATCCGCGTGAGCGCGAGCGGCGAGACAGAGCTCTGCTTGAGAGAGACCTGTTCGACAAGCCTCCGCGCGAGAGGTCTTCTCGGGACTCACCGGCTCAAAAAGAGCGTCACCGCATACCGAGCACGGAGCCGATCAGGAGCCGGAAGAATGAGCAGATGCGCAGTCCGGCGCCCAGTGCCGTCAAGCGAGTGAGCGACAAGATGCGTGAAGAAACAACCTCGACATGCCGCACCACCTCGTCGACATTGAGCAATCTCTATGCTGCTATCAACGCGACTGAGGAGGTCAAGGCAAAAGTGAAGGCGCCTCCACCACCACCGAAGCGCCCGCCACCGCGCAAGAAGGAGAAGGAGACGCCGAGTGCTTTTGCTGACTCGACCTTCTCCATTTTCAGCCTCGCGGGGTCCGATCACTCGGACTCGGGAGCCAAGGCCCGCGTGGCTAAGAAGAAGGAGGCGCGTCGACCTGGAAAAGGTCGGACCCAAGAATCGATGGAGAAGAAGGAGCACCTGGACTTCAGCGCTTCATCCAGCAGCGTCAAGAGCTTTGAGGTGTCGGCGATCACGCAGAAGTACCTGAACCCGAAGCCAGCGAAGGCGGCGATGCAGAAGACTACCCTAAAGCCGATGATTGAGGAAGACAGTGAAGAGGAATCGACTCGAGGACCAAGCAGACGTAAAGCGGTCCCGGTGAGCGAGAGAAAGGCAAAGCCGAGTCAGCGCCAGCACGACAAGAAGCTCCGCGGTGAATCGCATAAGATGCTTCCTCCGTTCCAACGTGAGGGTAGAAAGCCATCGTCTCAAAATAGTGGCGGCGGCAAGTCATCGCGCACGTCGTCTATCTCTGACGACGACTTCGACGAATTTAAGGCGACGCAGTTCTCGCTGAGCAGCGACAATTTCTTTAACGCCGACGACGAGTGCTTCAGCAACGACGAGGACGAGGCGCTCGCCAAGCGTATCGCTGCGTCGAGTCGAGAGAAGCAGAAGCAACAGCTAGAGCAGGCCACCAAGCTTCGGGCCAAGAAGGCAGCCATCGCTGGAATTGACCCTGCCAGTCTCGAGGCGAAGGAAAAGGCCCCCACCACTGCGAACTACAAGTTGACGGAGCAAGATCAAGAGATCATGCGTCAGATGGCGGAACTGGAAGCGATTGTCCTTCAGCACCAGAAGGAGCTGCCGGACCTGCTGGACATGTACAGCGAAGCCTCCAAGCGAGCGGAGAAGGCGCAGAAGGAGCTGCAGAAGGCGAAGGCGCGCGTGGCCCGATACGAGAAGGCTCATGCTACTGTGGCGCGAGCTATTCGCTCCGGGCGACTGTACATGAAGCAGAAGGAGTACATGGCGGCAATTCTGGAGCTTTCACGCGCCATCGGCATCGAGCGCTCGAACGCCACGCTGTGGTACATGCTAGCGGAGTGCCGATTGAAGGTTGGCCAGCCTGCCGCCGCCGAGGAAGCGTGTATGACAAGTCTGAAGCAACAGCCTACTGGCGCGGGCGTGGCGCTGCTGGGCCGCATCCTGCACGAGCGTGGGCGTCACGACGAGGCCATTGAGTGTTATTTATCAGCTTTGGGGCGAAACGATGAGAGCGAGGACGAACAAGGTAGTGAGTAGTGAAGTAGCGTGTACGTGCACCCCGCGCCGTAAACGCCCACAGGAACAAAGCTGTTAAGGATAATTTTGTGTTGATAATTGACGTACGTTTGAAGTCGTCGGCATGTTCAACGGTAGAACTTACCACCTAAAGACGGCATCGAAATGTGCCGGGCGGTTCCTCCGTCAGCCTCGTCTTTCTGACGAAGAAATTTTGGTAACACTTGAAAAGTTTTACGAAAAAAAAGAGCTTCAAGTTTTGGGAAAAAAATGCTGAGAATTGCATACCCGCAAATCACTCAAATTGCGGGCCAAAATTTTTAGCCAAAATTTTCTTTGTCGCGCATTTTGGTGAGGCAACACTTGGGAAGTTTACAAAGCAGCACCTTATATTTGTGTTTTAAAAAATGAAGTCCTTAAGTAAAACATTTCATAACCAAAACATTTGTTGAGTGACGGATTCAGATTTCGGCATGATATGCAGTATTAGTCAATGTATCGATCTATTCTAAATGTTGATATATTTATTGGCCTGATTAAACTTGTACGCGACAGTTTTAGTGTGGATCGGCCTGTCAAACCTAAGTCTGCGGTAAGTCCTCAACAATGAGTCCGGAGGTATCAGCGTACTTTATAATGAGGCAACGCAAAACAAAATCGTATTTCCAATACTACAGTGGAGATATTGCTGGTTGATTACAGTAATTTGCCTTAATAGCGCAATGGCTGCATGTATTCATTATTAAAGATAATTGTATAGGAGAGGCTAGCGGGACTCCCATTAGGTGGATTTGGGGTATAGACAATTACCCGTTTCAGCAGGTTATTGGATGCCACGACTGCGCTATTGAGGCAAATTACTGTACAAACTTCAAGTCATTCGTACTTTATACCATTATTGAGAAAATTGATTACCAGAATTGCATCAACCCAAATCTTTCACATCACAAATCTATACAATCCTAGAGTGCCACAATCCTGGTCTGCGGGTCCGCATGGTTTCAAAAGCGAACTGATTTGTTTCGATTTGACATACTTCTGAGCTGATCTACTCTAATCTACGCGAAAAACAACATCTAGAACAACAACACAATATTTTTCCAGAATTAAAAAAACACTGATGAAAAATATTTTTTGTTGCTTTAGATGTTCCTTAAATATTTTCGAGATTTCAAAAAACTATCTAAAACTATTTTGTTGTTCTACATGTTTTTTTTAATATTTTCGTGACTTCAAAAGAGTATCGAAAAATATTTGTTGCTGTAGATTTAATGTTTCGCGTAGATTCCGAAAATGGCGTCGGATTAGCTCGGTCACCACTTGCGATCTCGGAGCGTGCGATAGCTTAAGGTGAAGCTAAGATAGCTACATGTAGCTACACACTAGTATAGCTAACTCGAAACGCGTACTTAGACCGGAAGTGTTTTGCGTCGCCTCTAATAGTCAGAAGGCCGCAAAGCATGTTTTTTAAACGTTTTGCAAATGTTAAAACATTTGCAAAACAACTTGTCAAAAACTCCCAAACTCACGCATTCATTTGGTATTTTACGTTACAATACGGCAGAAAACATGTTATGGACCAAAATATAGTCCGCTCAAAATATAGTCGCTCAAGGCCTCCGAGCCGCACACCAAACAATTCGCCCAATCCCGACACTAGCGGCACGATGGCGTCCAACTCGATGCGCTTCCTCGAGGCCTTCACGCGCGCGGCCAAGCACCAGCACGTGTCGGGCCGCGCCCAGCGCGGTCTGTTCGCCGGCCGCGACAAGGCGTTCGGCAACAACGTTTCCTTCTCCAAGCGCCGCACGCGCCGCGCCTGGAAGGTGAACCACCAGTGGAAGACGCTGTACTCGGAGGCGCTGGACGAGAAGGTGGGGCTCAACGTGACCACGCACACGCTGCGCTGCGTGGACAAGTGCGGCGGCCTGGACAACTACCTGCTGAGCATCAAGGACGAGCGCGAGCTGGGCGTCAAGGGCCTCAAGACGCGCGACCGCGTGCGCGAGGCGCTGGCCGCCATCGACGCGGCGGCCGCCGCTCAGTCCACGGCTGAGGCCGAGGCCTAGAGACACAGAAACCGACAGCAGCAGCAGAATAGAGAGGCAGAGAGGAGGAGGAGGAGGAGGATAAATGCAGAGAGGCTCTGTTTACTGCTGACGTTGCTCTTCTACTTGTGTGTGTTGACCTAGGTGGAGAGTAGGCGAGGGCTGGTAGAACGGTGGGGTGGTCATTTAAGTTAACAGGGGGGTGGGGGGCTACTACGCACGACGTCTATTTGGCTACTGGTGGGTGGTAGAACGCTTTAGATCTCGCCTTCACTGAGCTCGGAATCCTTGGAATCCTTGGACGAGCGGAACACGATCGAGTCCGAGTCGCGGCGGAAGAAGTCGTCGTCCGTGTCGTGTGTCGAGCGCATGGCGAAGCTGCCCTCAGTAGCGAAGCTGCCCTCGGTAGCGAAGCCGTCGTCCATGCTGAGGTTCGTGCCGAAGCTGTTGTCGGTGCGGCGGTCCGACGTGTAGCTGTTGTCCGTGCTGCGGCCCGTGGCGTAGCTGTCGTCCACGCTGAATTCGCTCAGAGCGTCGCTCATGTGGCTGTCCCGGTAGCTTTCGCCGCTCTCGCGCGGCTCCGAATGCTCCGACGTGGTGGATGGCAGCGCCGACACGTCGATCAGCTGCGTGCTCATGCGATAGACGTCGTCGTCCACGGACGCGTTGAAGACGGAGAAGTCGCTGCTAGATCGGTCCGAGCGGTGGGTGTCTCGCGGCACGTCTCCGATCGACGTGGCCGACGAACCGCGCTTCGAGGACCGAATCTGCGAGGCTGCGACCGTCTCGAGGCGTGTGGGGAACCCTGGAAGCTGCGCGGACCGCTGGCTGGACGTGGCCGACGGCGCGATGCTGCCGAGAGAGCTGCCCTCGGAGAACTCCGAGTTCGTCCGGTGGAACTCCGAGTTTGTCTGATACGCGCCCGAGGACGCGACCGACACCATCGACGGCGCGTTGTGCCGGCCTGTGAACGAGTCGTATTCGTTGGCGTTATAGCTGTCAGTCGGGGTCTCGATGCTCGCGTTGGAGCCTGCACCGCTGCCAGGCCGACTTCTGTTGTTGAACGCCATGGCCGCTGCTCCGGTGACGACGTCGGCCTTGTTGTTGGACGGCATGGTCACCGCAATCTCGTCCCGCGGCGTGAGCGGGTCCGAGACGAAATTGCCCGACGACACTCCGGTCTCGCGCGGCACAGTCACGCGGTTCTGACGGAAGAGCGAGTCCATCATGCGTTGCTGCGAACTGCCGCGGTCCCGCTTGTTGGCCGCGGCCGCGCGTACGTGGCGCATGTGGACGAAGAAGATGGCTGCGATGACAGCGCCTACGGCGCCGACAACGACTATCGCGAGTTTCCAGCCGCCGAAAGACTCGGATTTTCCGGAGGAGGTGGAGGCGTTGGTCGGGTCGGACTCGGAACTCTTCGCGTTTGACTCGGCATTGGTGTCCGTATTGCTGTCGTCTGACTTGATCGGAGAAAGCGGAAGTTCTCCCGACTCATAGCCACCGGTCGACGTGTCTGCGCTTCTGTCACCTGAAGACTGGGACGCGCGTGAAGACTTGCTGGATGATGAGTCGGTGCTGCTGTCGTCGGAAGACTGCTTTGAGCTTGAAGATTTGCTCCCTGAATTCGAGTTCGACGACCCAGTTGATGAACCTGAAGTGCTGGAAGACGAAGACGCTGCCGGCTTAGGGGTTGCAGGTGACGGCGTTACTGCAGGGGAAGCCGTGGTCGGAGTCGGTGCCGGGGTCGGTTCCGGGGTCGGAGCGGGTGTTGGGGCGGGTGTTGGGTTAGCTGTAGCCGGCGACACCGTCGTGGCAGCAGGGGCTGGTGTGACTGGGGCTGCTGGCGTGCTAGCTGGAGCTGCCGGCGTGCTAGCTGGAGCTGCCGGCGTGCTAGCTGGAGCTGCCGGCGTACTAGCTGGAGCTTCCGTGGCTGGCGCCGCACTCGTGCTAGCTGGAGCTGGCGTCGTTGCGGCAGGCGCTTCCGTCGCTGGGGCTGCGGGTGTATTAGCTGGAGCTTCCGTCGTAGGGGCTGGTGGCGTACTAACTGGGGCTTCCGTCGCTGGGGCTGCTGTAGGCGCTTCAGTCATTGGGGCTGCTGTCTCTGAGGCGGCATCCGTGATAGCCGGCGACGTCGTCGATGGGCTTGTAGTTGCCGGTGCGTCGGTCGCTGGCGGGTTTGGCGTCGAAGGGCTTGTAGGTGCCGGGGAGTCTGTCACTGCAGGACTTGGCGTCGCTGCGGGCGTCGTTGCCGGGTACGTTGTCGCCGGCGCATCTGTCCCTGTTGCTGGTGCTTCAGTTGTTACTGGCGCATTGTTCGCCGACGAAGACGTCGTGGTCGAGCCGTCACCGCTTCCACCGGCAGGCATGACGGTCGCCGGTCTCGAGACAGCATCCGTCGCCGCGGGCGTGTCGTTCGTGAGCCCTATCTTTGATTCCTCCAGGCCTGTCGGCATCACCGTGGCCTGTGCCGTGACTGCCGACGCGAACGTCGCCAGCAGCAGCAACGCGAGCATGAGCGACCGCTTCATGGGAACCTGTGCTGTGGTCGAGAGCTCCTAGCTCTCGGGGAATACTGTCGCTGCCTGTACAGTTAGTTAGTCGACGTGTCGGTGGCGCCTTGACGCCCAAACTCCAAACTGTGTCGTGCTCGGAGCGTGTTAGCTCCTCCTGTTGACCACAATGTCCAGTTCCGCCAGCAGCTCGCAGAAACGCCGTCACGCCAAACAGCTTGTGTATGTACTGTGCGTATCAAGTCCGTCTCGCTTGGTGCGGTGCAAGTCAGGCTTGGTGCTTCAGGCGGCGCAAGTTGCGCCGCGCAACGGAGACTGGCCGCCTCTTTTCGTGCAAAGCGGGAAAGCCGGCTGGTGGCTGGTAACAAGATGACTCTCTCCTCGCTTATGCTCGAGACAAAGCGCCCCATACAAACTCGCAGAGTGGAGCCCAGCTGGGCCACGACATGTTGTCGTTTGAGCGAGTTCCCGACGCGGTCTCTACTCGTGCGGCCTGGTTCCGATCTGGATGAGCTTCTCGGATGCCAAGGTGCGGTCAGTGCAAGCGACGCTGGCACTGATGGGGCCCCCAGCGCGTCTATCCAGGCTCGACGCATTTGGCCATCGGTTCCGCCTCGCGTTCGTTGACGAGGTGTGCTTGGGTTTCGGCTGGAAGATCTCGTCGAGTTGACGAAGATAAGCTAGCGCTCTCAACTAGTGATGGGGACGTAAACGACGTTAACTTTTACCTATCATATAGTATATGCTGTATAATAGGCTTTTGGGCGAATTTTGCGTAAACGTATGCTAGTCATAACTATGCATCTGGCGTTAAAATTACGAAACTCGTACTAGGACTACATCAAAACTACAGCTCAACTTTTGAACCTATGATATAGAGTACGCTGAATGATGGGTTTTCAGTTAACGTCGTTTACGTCCCCATCACTACTCTCAACAGCGTCCGAACGTTTGCTCGATTCGCGTTGAGTCTGTCGGGCCGGTTCCATCGAAAATGGTCGAGATCAGGAGAAGCTCTCGAGGCCAAGAGAGGAAGAAATCCGACGGTGACTTCGCGGGCGGTATGCAGGTCGTCCCAACGTGCGTGGGCAACGCCTTCCTGTAACGCTTCCCGGCAAAGTGGTTGCACCGATCTGCTCGGTCAAGTTGACTTTATGTGTTCGGGCTTGACTGTTGCTGAACAGCGTGGGCAGCGAGTTGACGTTGCACACTTGTCGGTGTATCCTCGTTTCGATGGGAGTTGTACGAAGATCGAAGCTTTCGACATTACTGCATCGAGTAACGTGGAGAAACACTCGAGGAATGCTAGTAAGGTGTTCTTTGTATTCATGCGAACTACACGGATGGGGGTTCATAGATCGTTGCGACTGCTATAATAGCTAGGTAGCTGCTCTACACTTGAAGCAGCATCTTGAGGCAGTTCTTGGTCGCTACACTTACGTCGCGATGCACCGCACGAACCCGGACACGGTACGCGTTACCGTCGCTAGCTTCCAGGCGCACGAGGCAGCCAACCGATAGCTTGTCGCCATTGGGACCCACCGCTCCAGTGCGGTAAGTCGCGGCTCCCGAGAGACTGCCACTCGTCTGAGAGTCCATTCCGTCCACCATGGCGAACTTCAGGTTCGTGCTAAGCCACTCGCGAGCCTGGGCCAAGTCCAACTTGCTGGCCGCAGGCACCACCTCCTGCTGCTCGCGATCCTGTCCTGCCAGAGCATTCCACCGCTGGAGGAATGCCTCTTCGTTCACAGCCACCGGGTCCATGAAGTTCGTCGCCTGGCACGGAAGCGCCACTCGGTAGGCGTAGCTCGTTCCATTGCGCGAGAAACTAACCGTCATCACTGGGGGTTCTGTGAACGGAGCCATGGCTTCGATCATGATCTGCTGCTTGGCCTGCTGCTTGCCTGCGAGCTGCGGCGGCACCTCCTCGGCCTGGACACGGAAGAAGTTGCCCGTCGCGAGCTGCACCGAGAAGTTGCTGAGCGTGTCTGCGGTCTTGTTGCCGAAGAAGAGGTTGATTCGGCCTTGAGAGCCGCGGTACTCGTGCTTGGCCCCAATCTGCAGCACGTCGTTCTCGACCAGTACACCTTGGGGATTCAGCATGAGGTTTCGAGCCCAAACGGCGATCTGCGGCGTCAACGACGCGTCCAAGCCAATGGGTTTGCCTCCGCTCGAGCCACCACCACCGAAGATGTCGCCCAGATCTGCCGACGCCGGGTTCGGGCCACGGATAGCCTCCGGAGCTGCTCCCATTTCAAAGGCTGATGAGGTTTTGGGGGCCACCGGCTCATCCAAAGACAGCAAGTCGACGCCTTGCGACGCGGCTGGCTGTTGTTCGCTCATTCGCGCCTGCGCACGGGGCGAAATCGCTCCCTCCTCGGGCAGGACGGAGCCTTCACCCACAGCGGCTGCAGCCTTCTGCTGGTTGCGAAGCCGAACAATGAGCCCGGACTCGCGGTTCTCCGGGAACACGGGCATGGGCTCCAGCACTGCACGAAGCACCTCCTCGCCGTTCGGAGAGCTCTTGCAAAGCTGACGCAGCGCCAAGTACTCGCAGGCACGCTGCTGGATCTCCAGGTTCATGTTGCTGGCGGCCTTAGCAAGTACACTGTGAACCGTCGAGCGCAGTTCTTCGTACAGGTTGTCCATCTTGACGAAAGCCGTCAGCAGAACGCCCTTGGTAGGCACGCTCGAGTCAGCGTAGTGCTGATGGAGCACCTCGAACTGGCGCGTGCCGCTCATGGAGGCGTCGTCACACAGCAAATAGCCGAACTCGCCTAGGACGTAAGCACCGAACTTGGTCGTGGTTTCATCCACGTAGCGTGGCTCCATGGCCTTGAACATTTGCTCAGCGGCATACCGCTGCAGCTCCTCGCGGTTCGTCACGATCTGAACCACGCGGTGCCATACTGCGTCGGGAACCTCGCTGCCGGCAATGGTCAGAAGCTGGAGCACTGTGTCCACGTACCAGCGCAAGTCGCGCGCGTACTTCTCGGCCAAGATGGCCGCCTTCAGCACGATCTCCTCGCGGATGCCACTGACGGGTCCGGTGGTCGGGACAGTGCTCACGGTGCGCTCGGCCACGGCCAGGTAGTTGACAAGTTCGCCCACGATCTCTTGAGCGTTGCTCGAGTCGCACATGGCGAACAGTAAGTCGAGAGCACGGCGACGCACGGACGGATCGGCGTCCTTGAGCGAGAAGAGCACGGTCTCCTGGTGCTGTTTGACGCCGGTGCCATCTCCATCCAGCCGAACCATTCGGTACATGGAGTCGAGTCCGACGTAGCGAATGTTGGGCTCCGTGACGGAGATGAAGCGGGCCAGCAGGGCCACCGCCTGCTCGCGCAGCTTGTACGCCGGGCTCTCCGTGTCGCCTCCAGGCTTGCCCCGAGCAATGACAAGGTTCACGGCCTCGATCAGCACAGCATAAGCGGCGTTGTTCTTGGCACTCTTGCCTGGAGGAGTGCGGGCCAGGACACGGTTGAGGGTCTCGTTCAACATGTTGTTGAGTCGGCCATCGGCCGAGTCGGCGTCCAGAGCACCGTTGGCGTGGAACTGCTGCAGAATACGCAGCAACTTGACTTGCAGCCACGGGCACGGCGTGTTGTAGTACATGTAGTCTCGCGGGCAGTTCTTGTGCGTGACCAGAGCATTGAGTCTCTGAATGCAGGGCTCCACCAGTGAGCGGAAGGCCGTCGGATGCAGCGACAGAGCCGTCTGCAGCAAACTGGCCGCGGACGTGACGACACCCAAGTGGCTCTCGCTCATGAGGTCGTTCAGTCGGCTCTCCATGTCTTCGACCGGTAGCAGCTCCGGGTTATCCGGCATCAGGCGACGCGCGCACAGCGCCGCTTTCTTGCGGACGTGGGCGATGCTGGCCGAGCTTGTGAGCAGAGCGGCCACGTCGGGGCCCATGGTCTCACTAAGGTCAGCTCCTCCCAGGTTGGCCACGCAGCACAGCGCGAGACACTGCGAGCTGGCCTCTCGTGACTTGAGGTCGTTGCGGATGGAGTTGATGACGAGCGTCATGAGCTCGTCCGAGGCCTTGAGCAGGATGGAGCAGCCCAGGTAGCCCAGACACTTCTCCGAGTACTTGGAGCCCGACACGAGGCTGATGATCTGCACGTGGCCGAAGTCCACGTCGTAGCCCAGCATGTAGATGTAGATGAGCTTCCACGCGTACTTCTTGCGGTCGTACGACTGCAGCGCCGGGCCGCCGCTGCCCAGGCCCGAGTTGCTGGCCGTCTGCGTGAACTTCTGGCGGATCTTGCCCAGCTCCTTGTCCACGCGCTTCTGCTCCTCCTCGCGCGACGTGCACGCGCGCAGCTCGCTGATGAAGTTGTTCAGCCCGCGGGCACTGAACATCGCCATAGTGACCGAATGCTCTTCCTACTTGCTTCTTGCTTGGGCGGCTTCTTCCCGAGTGAGCGAGCAGCGAGCAGTCGCAGGCAGGAGGCAGGAGGCACCGGCGGTTGCGATCAAATGTGGCACACTTCAACTTCACGTACGGCAAGTTGAAGTGGTCCTGCACGCTCGGCTTGACTTGGACCTACAAGACACTGATAGGCACAGGCAGACACAGGACACAACACATTCCATCAAGTGAGAGCAGTACGTGTATGTGTATGTAAATCATCTATCTACTCCGACCATTGAGCGGGTTGCGAGGACAGGAGCTTACTTCTTCGCCACCTTCTTCTTACCCCGGGCCTTCTTCTTGGCCGACGGGGTCGTCGTCTCTGGCTTCTTCTCTGCTGCGGGCTCAGCCTTCACGGCCTTCTTAGCCTTGGGGGCTTCCTTCTTCTTCTTCTCCGCCTTCTTCGCGGGGGCCTTCTTGGCCTCCTTGGCCTTGGGGGCCTCCGTCTCCTCCTTCACCGCCGCCTTCTTGCCCTGCTGCTTCTTGGCCTTGGGGGCCTCCACCTCCTGCTCGGCCACGGCCACGAACTCCTCGAGCTTACGCTTCTTCAGGTTGGCCGTCTTGCCGACGGGCGGCAGCTTGGCAAGCGTCGCCAGCGCGTTGTACACGGGCAGCGCGACCGAGTCGCTCGTCTTGACACTGATAGACTGCACGCCGTTCCAGCCCTTGGGCACGAGGTTGGCGCAGTTGTTCATGGCCACCATGATGTTCTCCACGATCTGCTCGGGCGTCATGTCCAGGCAGGCCACCTTGACGTTGTTGCACACGCCGGCGCTCACGTGGAAGGCCGTGCGGCGCGAGGCCAGACGCAGGCTGGCGGCCAGGCTCTTGCGGGACACGCGCACGGCGATGGGCTGTTTCTTCTTGACGAAGAACTTGGTGCCCAGGTGGCCCTTGAGGTAGGGCAGCACGCGGTCGTCGGCCAGGAACATGTCGTAGGCCGCGGCCAGCGCGCGCTTGTCCTCGAAGCGCGAGAAGTTCTTGCGCAGCTTCTTGACCGTCATGACCTTGGTCACGCCGGGCACGGGGTCCTTGGCCAGCGCCTCCTTGATGCGCTTCTTGTCCTCATCCTTGACGAACAGGCAGATCTCGGCGCCCTCGTCGTACAGCGAGTGCGGCAGGGTGCTACACAGCGATGCAAAACAGCGGCCAGAGGTCAGAATAAGCTGCAAAAGGTCGCAAACAGCGTGGCCCACCACGTGCCGTGGCTATAATGCTAGGTCTTACACTGGGATGGGCTTGAGCGTCGTCTTGCCGGGCACCAGCTTGCGCGTGAGGATGCACGAGACGTACTCGGTGTCCTCCACCAGCTGCGCCTTAGCGCGCTCCTCGCTCTTCTTGGCCACGAAGGCCTTCAGGGCCAGCACGGCGCGGCGCACCTGGGCCTCGTCCAGCGGGTTGCGCAGGCCCTTCTTGATCGTCACCTCGGCCATGGTCCTGATGCGGGTAGTGATTGGCAATAGCGACTGCAACGGGCCGAGTCTTTGGCTGGCCACGGCTGGCTGGGCGGCGCTGTACCACCAACATGGTACGGGGTAAAGTCGTGGAGTGGTTGTTTGTGCAGGGTAAAGAAAGAGGGTGGTTGATGTTGAAAGCATATGTTGATACCCCAAGACTTCTTTGGATTGATTTGGATTGACATGTGAACGAAGAATTCGGGGCCCCATCCGCTCGATGTTGGACCCGAGCGTAAGATGTACATGTAGGTTGGGTGGGAGGCTTAAGCCGCCGGTTCAGATCCAAGTATGCCAGCAATGTTCTAGAACAGGTCGATTCGGACGACGGTGAAGGAGGCTCGGTCCACGATGATGATGAAGAAGAAGAAGGCGAAAAGAGGGCGGAAACGGCGACGACGGATGTCATGCCATGCTATAATACGCAGCGTGGCGAATCGTCTCGATGGGCCACTTCGCCATACCCGCTTGTAGCCTTTACATATCGTCAATCTTGACTGAAAGTTGGCTGCATTCTGTGGGGTTTCGCCGTTTGGGAACACGCAAGGGCATATACAGTAAAGTGTCTCGATAAGGAACGCCTGATATGAATAGAAAGAAGAAGGTATATGCATGATTGAAGGTTTGTCTCGTCACATCAAATTCCCCTATGTACTGATTTACCGGCACGTGATGGGTTGGAGCGTGGCGAAAGCACGACATATCTTGCTACGCACACAGGAGGAAACCACTAGATCATGTGACATCGAGTCGATGTTCTTTCGCATGCCTGTGTGGACTCCGAATTGATCAGGCCGCCATCATGGCTAATCAAATAGTTAACGGGCAAGCGTCAAGCTAAAAGATGTAGCGGAGGATTCCTCCGCGACCTTTGAGTTAGCCCGGTTCCTGAGCTCGGATTGGCGGAAATTTTCAGAAGAGAGAGGATGGTGGAAGATGTGTGGCGTTAGCTCCCTAAAACAGTACATCAGACAGACAGTGGTACAAAAGGGGGATGACGACTTCCTACAGAGTATAAAATGTAGCCCGTTCCTTATCGAGGCACTTTACTGTAAAACAACTCTAAATTACCCTCGAGTCATGGTATCTCAAGCAAAATCAAGCCTTGGTCTCCGATGGAGAGCAAGGCAATCGTGAATTACGATATTCACGATATGAAAGTCTTTTTCTACTCTTCAGCTTCAACTTGGTACCCGATCTAAGCAGCGGGGGACTGCAACGAGAACTTCGCCGATAGCATTGGGGCCGAGAGGCTGTCGCCGTGGGTGGGCAGGCTCTGGGCCAGCAATCGGCTCCAGCCACTGCGCGCCTCGGCGTGGGAGTAGCCGTACACGAAGTACGAGAGAGCGCCGACGACCATCCAGGCGACGCTGAGAGCCTGCGCCAAGTGGTCGATCTGCGCGATCATGTACCAGTTGGCGAGGATGCAAACCGCCGGGATGAACGGCACCAGCGGAGCAGCGAACAGGCCAGGCGAGTTGGCTGTCTGCAGGCACTTGACAAACAACACCACGGCAATCCCCATAGTGACGACGAGGCAGGCGATGGCGAGAACCAGACACGCCGTGGACGAGCTGTTTTCGTAGCCTTCCTGGTACAGGAAGACCGTGCATCCGGCCGTCACAAACAGCGCGGCGACCAGACTGGGGGCCAACTTGGGCGACTGCGGCTTCATGCGCGCCAGCGTCAGCGAAATGTTGGCGATACTGAACGACATCATGACGCCGAAGTTGACGATATCCCAGAGCGTGTCGAAGGGCACGACGACGGCGATCGCCGTGAAGAACAGACCCGTGATGAGCGTGTTCTTGAACAGGTTTCCCTTGGAGTCGACCTCAGTGAAGACGCGAGGCAGAAGTCCGTCGCAGGCGAGGGCGTAGTTGAGTCGCGGCTGCGCCAGGAAGCCGATGAGCGCCACCACGGGCATCGTCACCACCTCACCAGCACGCACGATAGTGCCAGCCCACTTCCATCCGTGGCCCTCGAATCCGTCTCCAAAGCTGCCGGCGTCGAGGTACGGCACCATGCCAGACAGCACAAGAGAGCAGAGCGCGCTGAGCACCATTGTGGCGATCACTACGGCCATGACGGCAATGGGCATGATCTTCTTGGGGTTCTTCGTCTCACCGGCGAGGCAGCAAACTTCATCGAAGCAAACGTAGCCGAAGAACGCCTGGGACGCTCCGGTGATGATGCCCTGCGTTCCGAAAGCCATAGCGCCGTTCAGCTCGGTGCGCGTGGGAACGAACGGCGACAAGTTGTCGGGGTCCATGGCCGCAAAGCCGGCAACGATGATGAAGCCCACGACGCTCATTTTGATTATGGTGACGGTATTCACGAAGTTCTTGCCGAACCGCACGCCCACCAGGAGCACCACCATGCTCAGGAACTGGATGAGGCCCCCGCACAGGTTAGCGGACTGCAAGTTGAGCCAGTTGAAGCTCTTGTCGGGGTACTCAAGCAGCAGCCACTCCTCGACCTTGTCACCCCAGCTGCGCGCCACACCCGCGCCGGACACAGCGTACTCGAGCGTCAACAACCACGCTGCGACGACAGCAGGAAGCTCGCCAATCGTGTGGTAGGCGTACGCGTACGTGCTGCCCGAGGACGGCACGCGCGTGCACAGCTCCATGTACGCCAGCGCATTAAGGGTGCAAATGACGCCGCCGATGATCCAGCTCACCACCGCGGCTGGCCCGGCGGTCTCCGAGATGATCGAGCCGGCGGTGGAGAAGATACCGCTGCCGATGGTTCCTCCCACCCCGATGCAGCAAAGGTCAAACATCCCCAGCGTACGCGGGATATCCTGTGAGTTCTCCTCGGCGTGGATCACCGCGAGGGGCTTGGTGCGCCACAGCGCAGCGAAACCAGAACGGCGGGTCTCGGTCATTGCTCGGATCGATAAGACGAGACTCGGGATCGCGTGCTTGCCCTTGGACCGACAATAGAAGAATGAGTGGAGGTGGAGTGAAGTCTGAGTGCCAAAACTTACCTACGCAAAGCTCGCAGCGATGAGCTGAGGCAGTGCGAGCCTCGTCGACATGCACCCACTAGCGAAAGCAGCACGTGGCCACCCAATGGAATAACGCTGCCCACACGTGTCATGCCAAGCTTGACGTTTGCAGGCTCGGCTGCACGGTTTTCCTCGTCTCTGAGCGTCTAGCAGTGCATACGCCGGACGGGGGTTGCTCCGTCGCAGTCGCTATGCATCGGCATGTTCTACAAAACGTGGGAGTGGTTAGAGCAACCATAAGTATGGTTACTTTTAGCCATTCTGAGACATGTATGGTTGCTTTTAGGGATTTCAAAAATTACGAGCGTAATTTAAATGTCTAAATTACCATTAAGCCCTTAGGTACGCAAATCACGCTAAAGTGCGCTTCTGATTAGGTACGATGCCATTAAGTGCGCCACCTCACAGCCGCTCATTTTAAGAATCGCGCTGCTGAACGGAGGCCACGTGGGGCACGCACCTCTCGCGAATGAGTCAAGCACCAAACGGCGAGGGGGGACCGATTGCTTCTGCGGGGGGAGCCATTATAAACGGTAATCAGTATGCTCCATGTTGGTGGCAACGAGAGTATCTACGTGCCTCACATTTTGTTTGAATTCTGTCGGTATGTATTGTTTAGGCCGAAAGCTGCGGAACGTAAACGAGGAGCTAAACTACATGTACGCCGCTCTCGGGATTGAAAAAGACGACGACGAAGACGAAGCCTTTGTTCTGGATGAGGAGGATGAGGAAGACAACGGCGACGAAGAGGCGGAGGATTGCTACCAAGAGGAGGAAGACGAAGAAGAGGTCGATGATGACGAGGAGAGCGATAGCGATGAAGAGGAGGGTGACGACGATGAAGAGGAGGCGAGTGACGATGAACAGGAGGCAGACGACGACGGAGAATCCAGCACAGAAGACGAAGCAGAAGCGGGTAAGACTCGTTTGGATTATTGTTGATACTTATTGAGTTGAACTGATAATGTATTGTGTATTTTTTAGTTTGATTAGAACGCAGGACACGCAAACAGAGCCCCGAGCCGAGAAAGAAAGCCACAGCACGCAAGAAAACACCAGGTATTCTCGTTAAAGTTGCTTTAAGCAAAAAGGTTGCGCTATCATTAATATTGACATTCACTTTGGAATCGATAGATACCGCTCTGGCCACATGCAAGCTTTCTGCTGGGGATGAAACCCAATCTTTCGCGAAAAAGCGTAAGGCGGAGCTGCAGCTTCACGAGTCTGTCGACGCTGATTCGGCCCCGCGTTTATCCAAGCGGAACAAGCAGTACATACCGCGGAAGCGATCAAGCAAGCACCTTGACAAGTTGCGGGAGATCAACGAGGAGCGCGAAGAAATTATCAACCCCGTTCCGCCCTTTACCCCAGCGATTATCAAGAGTTGGAGCAAGTTCAACGCACACTCGAAAATATACAAGCAGAAGCACCACCTCAAGTTTCGAGTACGAAGCTCGGAGACACGAAAGCAGTACAACAGGTATGTGTGACCTCTGTTTGATGAGAAATTTAAGTTATTAACGAACCCCCCATTCATATGCAGCAATCGTCGGGACCAAATCCCTTCACGTTTTAATTGGAGTCACAAGGTCCTCCGCTGTACACACGGTGTTTCGCAAGCGTCGCGCTCCAAGGGACATCGCAATAGAAAAGGCAACTATTGCGGGTGTCCTGCACGCATGACACCAACCGTTCAGCGGATGGAAAATGGCAAATTTCGAATTGTCATAAGAAACGAGGTATCTGCCTTTTCGTGTATTTGTTTGCTTTGTTAGTATTTCTCACATGTCGCTGTTGATAATCAGAATTTTACCCACACGCACCCGACCACCCGAACGCAAGCATCGTTGTACCTGACAACAAAGACACTTCCGTTGGACGAGCAAGATCTCGAAGATGTTAAGACTTTAACGGATGCTAGTGTTTCTTCCAAGCACATTACGAACTTCCTGAATGAGAGAATCGGTGCGTAGTTTTATATACGATATGCTGAAGTGATACTTACGTTACTGTTCGCGCTTTGTGTGTTTGCTTGGCTGCAAAATAACACCTCAACAGACCCGTAATCTGATCCGCAGTATTATGGGGCACGACGCAGCGGAGGCCCGTTTGAAAGACATGCTGCAAGCTATCCGCCAGTTAGACGGTAGTGACGGCCTTGTTATTCAAGACCAAATGGACGTGACATGCGCTATCGTGATGCAAACAAAGGTGCAGAAGTTGATGTTCGAGCGCTGGGGCGACACTCTTACGATGGATTTCACTCACGGCACGAACAATTTGGGCTATCACTTGGGTGCGTATGAGTTGTTCGGTATAGCAACTTTATCTTTGTTACGGCAACCTTGCGTAGTTATAGCAACCATATCGATGATATAGCAACCTTATTAACAAAGTGATTTTCTACTGTTGTGTGTTGGATATTTCAGGGAGTCTGGTCGTCACAACCGCTACTGGTAGAGGGTTCCCAGTTGTAGACTTCATATGCCTCAACCAACGAGCTCCGATGATGGCAACAATCCTGGAGTATTTCCAAGAGAAGAACCCAAGTTGGCGGATGATATCCTCCATCGTGATCGACAAAGATTTCGTTGAGTGGAGGGTGCTGAAAACACTATTTCCTGCTGCAAAAGTTTTACTTTGTCAATTCCATGCCATTTCGTACTGGAAGAAGGTGATGCAGCGGGCCCCATACAAGCTGAAGGTGTCTGAACGCGACGAGTTACTCAACTTGATGATAAAAACGCTGTACAGGTACGCAACAGGTTCTATTTATGATTCTTGTGATAACGCTAACTTTTGAAAACAAACCATATGCAGCTCCACAGAGACAGGTTACGATTCTAGTTACGGTGTATTGAAGCAATACTGCGAAGAAAACAAGAAACAAGCTTTATTCTCGTACTTTGAAAAGAACTGGGATTCGTGTCGAGACATGTGGGCGAACTTTGCTCGCAGCAAATTTTTCACGGCTGGGAATACTACGACGAACATGATCGAGTCAAACTGGAATCAAGTGAAAATACTGTTGGGGCACAAGACACGAATTGACAAGACTATTGCGGGCTTGGTGCAGCATCAAATCATGATAACTCAGCAGATCGGGTTCGTCATCGCGCAGCACCATTCGACTTCGCCCGTTCCTAAAACCATACCGATGTTTCTCCGGACGGTAGCAAATCGACTGTACCCTGACATCTTCGAGAAAGTGAGAAAAGAGTGGGAACGATTTGTGAACTTCATGGCAGATGCGACTTGTGAGCGTACAGCGTCGAGTCCTTCACAATGGAAAATTTATTGCGGGAATCAAACCTTTCGCTGTCACGATGTGGAGTGGACGTGTACTTGTCTATTTTATAGCAGTCACCATTTACCATGTCGTCATCTTATGCACTTAGCACGCGTGGGGCATGGCTTCAAACCGCTTCCAGCTATGGCAATTCATGATCGGTGGAGTACGTACCAGACCTTGGAAGTGAAAAACGAATTGACGGCTGCAGCGGAAATGTTACAGCCAATTGTGCAGATGTCCAAGTTAAGGTTGCCGAAAGTAAAGTTGCCGAACGACACTGGGGCTGAACCAGAACAACCACTTTATGCTGCGGGGGGTAACGCTTCGCCAACCAAAGCTAGGAAGCAAGTTGCGTACGTACGGCTACGGCGAGGTGAACGGGCAAACCAGGTTGTATTGTCTTCTGCTGAAAAATACGCATACGCAAAAGCGATGCTGGAACCGCTATTGGAACACCTGTCAGATTTGTCTAGTGCAGACTTCTACCAAGAGCTAAGTGCCTGGAAGGAAACGATCGACATAGGGATCAACCGTGTCAACCCTGCCCCCCAACCGAGTTCTACAGAATCTGCTGAAGATAGCAAGCAAGAAGAAGATGTATCTGAACCTGTCTCAGACTCCATTCTGGACCCCGTGGAGGCAATGGGGACTATGACGCTCATGGACGCATTGGAAAGCAGCCCCATGACCATGAATTATGGCGATTACGAGTCCGACGAAAGTATGTTACCGACACAACGCACTCACCTTTCGCAGTCATCTCCAATTCGACCCCCCATCGACGAGAAATCTCATGACAGCTGCGGAATGAGTAGCTGTGACAAGGTTTCAAGCTCTACGAAGCCTGACACAGAGTCGCGCGTGCGCCAGGTCGATGTCGTTAGAGTACCTAAGCCACCAAGCCAAGGAAAGTCAAGGTCAACTCCGAAACAGCTGAGGCAAACTACGATCAGTCTCAAAGCCGACCGGCTTGCTGTTCACAAGTACCCCACTGAACTTGCCGTGAGTTTGGATCAGTTCCTGATTTGGGCCAGAAACACCTCAAATCTGAAGCGCGTGATGGAGATGCTGTCGAAGTATCCTGTTCAGCTGGAGGATGCCTATCTAAGAGCTCGGAAGATTGATTGTCATTGGGAAATTGTACGACCTGCGGACTACATGCACACATTTGTAATTCCACAAGACCTCGCCCTATCAACGCAGGCAGCAACGACTACTACCCGGAAGGAGAAGCAGCCAATTGTACTGGATGAAAAGGCCAAGAAGCAAGGACTTGTTCTCGACGTCGTCTTGGCGATTGATCCAAAACTGTGGATCTCCTTCCGGGTATTAGTCGTGCTGC